TATTTCTTTCTTTGTTCATCATTATCTTCTGGTTGCTTGAAATCACCTTTGCCAACATTAACGAGTTTCTTTTATTTGTATTCATTCAAGTGTTAGAATGTGAATTCATCGACTGGATCTTCCAACAATAAGACTTCATATCCTTTTTTGATTAAGCCTTGAATGATTGGAGATGACAACAATTATTCTTTATTTTCACCTGCCAAATAATAGATAGAATCTTATCCTGGCTTTGCTCTTTCAATATAGTCATCGAATGAAGTTAATTCAGTTGAATTCTTGCTTGAATACCACCTAAAATAAATATTAGGCATAATATTTAATATATGGATAATGTTGGATTAGAAATATGTTATGTTAGATCAGACGACTGTTTATATGATCACTTAATAAATGGAAATAATTCCATTTATTATCCATATTAATTTGTCATCATTACATAACATATTTCAAATAATAGTATAAATAATAATGATACCTTGTTAATTCAGCCAATTTCTATCTGTTTGATGAATCTTCAATGACACCTAATTTGATATTCTTTCCATATTCCTTCCAGAATTCATTGTACTCATCTATCTTCTTCTTTCTCTTCTCATCTTTCAATCTTTATTATTCCTCTGGAGTTGTTTCAGCCATGTTATCATCTTCTTCTCCTTCTTCAGTATCTTCCTCGTCTTCATCATCATAAGAGGCAGCATCTTGGAACAATTCCAAGATCTTTTTAACGATCTTTCTACTGATAACCTTCAACATCTTAAGTTATTAAAGTGTTTCTCTATTGACATTTAAGGGTAATTCATCTGAATCAATAACTCCTTTGACGAAACTCAAATATCTTGGAAGAATGTCTTCGAATTCTTCACTGATCAAAACTCTTCTAACATACAATTTCAAGTTTGTAGTTTATTTTCCATAATAGTTATCAAACATATCACTGGGTGCTCTCTTCGGAACATAAATAAGAGATGTGAATTCAACTTCACCTTCTGCTTTGAAATGAACCCAATTAAATGGATCTTCGCCTGAATTCTTAGACAAGACTTTATAGAATTTCTTATAATCATCATCTGATATCTCTTCCTTTGGTCTCAACCAAATAGCTTTATTTTCATTTACTTACACCCACTCAGACACCTTCTCTTTAACTGTTTTAGTAGCCTTCTTCTTTGTATCTGCATCATCATCATCATCTTTAACCTTGACTTCATCATCATCAGTTTAATCCTATTGATCTTATTGATCTTACTATTCTGATTCCTCTTCTACTTACTTTGAAACTTCTCTTGTCACCTTCAAGTAAATTGGGAAGTTGATAAATTCAGAATACTTTTTGATCAACTCTCTTATTGTTGACTCTTCAGCAAATTCAACAGCGTCTTATTTCAAATGAATAGTGACTTAAGTACCACGACCCAAAGTGTTTCCTCTTGGATCTTTAGATACAGCAAATGAATGAGCTGCTTGAGATTCCCAAATGTATTAATCATCATCTCCGTTCTTTGATGCAACAGTAACCTTCTGTCCTGCCAAGAAGCATGAATAGAAACCAACACCAAATTGACCAATCAAATTTACATTTCCACCTTTTATGGCCTCGATGAATTGAGTTGTTCCTGATTTTGCAATCGTACCCAAATTGGAGATTAGATCATTCTTTGTCATACCAATACCACTGTCTGTTACTGAAACTGACTTTTCTTCTGTGTTTATTTCAATTCTAATTGCTAATTCTGTCTTGTCTCCCAAGATCTCTGGATTTTTCACACTTAAGAAACGAATTTTATCAAGGGCATCTGCAGCATTTGAGATTAATTCTCTAAGAAAGATTTCCTTTTGAGTATAGAGAGAATTGATAAGAATGTCCATCAATCTACCTGTTTCAGCCTAGAATTCATGGGTTTCTTAAGATTGTTCCAATAACTTTCTTTGTTCATCAGTCAGATCCTATGTCATCACTTATACTCCAGAGAGCATAAAGAGCAACAGCAAGGCAAAGGCCTTCTATTTACTATTCATTAAAATATTAATGATTTGCATCCACCATAGCTTAAATAATATATATCCAAAAACACGTGTGTTATCACATTTTCTAGAAATTAATTAAAAAACCCTTTTTTATATACATTTTCAAATTCCATATGAATATTCATGTTTCATTCTCATTGAATTATACAAAAATTATTCATTCCTGAGCGCACTTACACTGTTTCTTCATTTTTATTAGATTAATTAAATGGAATTTCAAAAAATAAAATAAATTAATTTGTAATATATATATTCTACCTTAATTATTAAAATCGACAGACATAAAATACGAATCAAATCTCACTTTGAAATACTACCAAAAAAAATTTGATTTTCCATTTAAATAAAGAATTGAATCTGATCATCAATAAAATAATGGTTGATATGATTTATTAAATATATGTTGATAACTAAATGAGAAAATTATCTATATGTTTAATTTTATGTAATTTTCATTTTCTAGATATTTTGATAGCCAGCACAACAATATTAGCTGCCAATAGTAGAAATACAATTAGATAGAGAATTAGTTTCATGCAGAATTCCCTCCTGATAATTTAGTTTGTTTGCTTATCAACTCTTCTTGTCTTCGTCCTTATTGAAATGCACTAATTTTAAAGTTAATTGATACTTCATGTCTAATAACCACTATTTTTTCTTATTATTCCAAAAGTGCCTTCTGAACATTCGCAGCATTTTGATTTGTTTACTCTAAAACATTGCAAATGTCTTCTATTAATTAATTCTAATTTTAAAGCATATTGTTGTTATCTAACAAGATTTCCTTTGATTTATTTGACATTTAAAAAATATAATAATTTCAATTTTATTACTACTTTTTATATTTCTCTAATTCCTAATGAAATTATTTTAGAAATTTAATTTTAATCACCAGAATACCTCATAAATAGTAATATCTTAGAATAAAATCATAGATATCATTCATTTTACACACATTTAAAATAATATATCAGTCTAAGAAATTCTCACCTTAGTTTTGCTAATTTATAATGTACATTAATTAATATTCTAAAATCTTTCGTAATTTTATTAATTATATAAATAGATTTGCCATATAAATTTCACAATAAACAAAATTGGAACATTTTTTAACATCCTTTTAGATATACTAAAATAGTCTTTCTATATATGTTTAATTACATAAAATAATTTATCCGAATGAAGTATAAAAGTGAATCTAAATAAAATAAGATTTGAATCAGATATACAAATTATTTTTGTTAATTATATAATTAAATTTACAAATAAAAAAGGTTATTCATAAAATTTTATACATAATCTGCCGTGCAATATATTGAGCAAATCTATTTTTATGACCTCTTATCTTATCCAAGACTTTTGAATAAATATTTTGATTGTTAATCAACTTAATTACTTTTGTAATATTATAATGAGGATAATAATAATCGTATTCCTCTACTTTATCGATATTTGTTTCTGTATTAAAAATTTAAATTTGGTTGTCCTCTTAATTTTCTTGGCCATTGTTACCAGAAGATGTAGCTGTAAATAAACATCGATGACTCACTTACCTAGTAATTCTATTCTTAAAAACGAATTTTTGTTCTAACTGACTTTGTGGAGTTAATTGAGGAGGTTGTGCCGAAGTCTAATCAGGATACGATGTTTCGTCATCATCATTTCTTTGTAAGCCTAATCTAATGAGAAGCTTGTTGTCAACCACAGCGAGCGACTTATTCTACTCTAGAAATTATTCAAAGGCTCTTTCCTTAACCAATAAGGAATTAAACCTTCTTTTCTTTCTCTATCTCATATACATTTGCCTTTCGTGGTCAACACTGCTATTGTAAATTGAGATCACTTTATTCTTATTTTTCCTAAAGAAGACTAATGGACAATGTTTGAATTGGTGATGACTAGAACATGCCTCACATATTATCTGATTGTTGTTGTCTCCAAATTAGGTTCCATCCAAAATTTTTCTATATTTTTCATACTATCTTGCGTCTTTCTAAAGAATACTCAAGAAATCATTTTAATTGATATAAGCTACTTAGACAAATGTTTAGGCCACCATGTCAAATTACATCTAATCCTAAAAGAAGAACTCTCTTTCACAAACCAGTTTACCACTTATATATCTTTTGATTGTCCTATCTAACAAAACTGATTTAATTTTTCCTGATAGCACAATGTAGAGTTTTTCAGGATGATCATCCTTCTTGATTATAAATTCTTCAGGTGCATAAGTTCTTTCATGAACACAAAAACACAGTTTTTTTAGTATTTCATCTGAAAGATTTGAACCTAACAATTTCGATTTCTTGAAATAACTGAAATACATAGCTATTTGAACTTCTTACTTTAATTTTGGATTCAATTATCCCATCAATTCATCCAAATCTAATTCCTCCTCTTATTTAAATTACAAATAATATTCAATATATTTCCGAACTCTAAATTGCAATTAGGTATTTAACCCCCGCTATTTTATGTGATTGCTCACTAATCTAAGTTTAGAATTATTAAGATTTTGTTATTCGGCTAATTTGTAGAATATGCTTTAAATCATTCCCAAGGCATATCCAAAAGTACCCACAACTAGAAATGTCATAAAGGTTACTAGTATTTTCTCAGGTGTTGTCACAGGTACTATGTCTCCATATCCCACAGTCATTGAGGTTATGGTTACCCAATACAATGAAGTAAAGTACTTCACATATGCATCTGATTCGTATATTCCTTGCTGATGTAGCCAAGTATGCGAGTATCCATTATCCATCTCAAGAATGGCAAAGTAATGAAATAAACATGCACAAAAATGAGATATCAGCAACAGAGAATAAATCAAGCAGAATAGAGAGTATATAACTGCGGTCTTTTCTTTGAAATTAGAGATCTCTTCTATGACTACCATAGTCCTTCTTACCTTGGTCATGCGAATCAACATAAGGTAATTGGCAAATGAGTAGCCGAACCATGAGATTATGAAGGGTAGCACAACTGTGAGATCAAGAATGAACTCCCCTTTTATGTAATGCCAAAATATATCTCGTTTGGAAGTATGTAATATTCCTCTGACATAATAGCCTTTAAAAAAATTCAAGATTAATTCGATTAAAAAAATGCAACTTGGAAGAGTACTAAACAACAAGTAAGCATTTCCAATTTCTTCCTTGCCCAAATCGAATGACAACTAGAAAGGAACATACAAAATATTCACTATCGTCACAAACATTAAGATGACATCCCAAACAAATAGAAATTTGTCAGCAGGTAATAAAACAGTTTGATTACTTTTAAGGAATGACCATAGTCTCCACCAAATTGCATTCATTAATTTGGCTTTGTACTTGATTTCGCCAAACTAAATTTATTAAAATGCCTTATACCCTTGTAGGCTGATTTTCTAACAGTCGACTATATAGGTAATATTAAAATGAACTCGTTCGATCCCTAATCAGATAAAATATATTCTTGTTCAAAATCTTAAATCTATAAATAGGGGAGAAGTGTTTCATTTTTGTGATAAAAATAGCTATTTTTTGAATAATCTTGAGAGGCTTCATTTTCCATACACTACTTTATTTTATAAATTTACTCACTGTTCTCGAATCGTTATATTTCTTTTTCGACATTATTCATGGCTTCTAACTCAATCCTCTTGTCCTCCTGATGTTGAGCTTCTTTTATGGAAAACTATAATAAGAATCTCGTCTTTTTCATGTTATATTTAGATTTATAAATTGTGTTTAAAAATTAAACCATTCCAGTCATGGAATATGTTTTAGAATATGATATAGAGGTACCAATAGAAACAACCATTGCAACAGTATTGTAAGTGAAACCATTTAGGCAAAAGAGCACTATTCAATAATTATCTTGAGGATAACTGAACAAATGGGAGATTTGAAACAAGATTCTGTTGGCGAGTGATGCTATTCCGCAAAGAAGACGAGTTATAATAGAAATTGTAATTGGCTATATTATTGACCCATTTTGGTTAAATTAATTGATTAAATATTAAGAATATAATAGATTGTTGATATTATGAGAAATACTTATTTAGTTTTTTAACAATGTGAGATGAATGTAATACTGAATAAATGAGTTAAATTTATGATCTTATATTTAACTTTTGGTGGTAATGGGAATAAAAGGCAATCTCGCTTATTACAACAAAATATAATTAATTCATTTATTTTATGGAGGAAGAATAATAAATCTTGAAATATGGAGATAATATTATTCTTAGATGCATGGTGGATAATAAGATCTATTATTTGCTCGCAAGAAACGAACAGTACCTCATGGAAACAAAGCTTTAATTAGGTAATTCTTGCACATTTAACATGTACAATTTCCCTTAACACATGGTGTTCACAGTATTCCCCAAACTTTTATACGAAGCTCAAAAAAAATACAATTCAGACAAGTCCATTGGAGCCTCCTTTGATGTTTAGAAACAACTTCTGTACACGAGAATGGAAACCGAGAAAAAATATAATCAAAATCTGTTGAAACAAACCAGAGGGTAAAAAATAATGTACGGAGACACAATAATGCTCTATTAACCATTGAGTTAAGTCTTTTTACTAAGAGCAGAGAACAATAATTCAAATTCAAATATCGGAACAATTTTGAGTTCTTCAATGTACTTCACAGTTCAACCTGATCCCTTGGCGTTAGACATTAAATAGGGATGTCCAGTACACTCTTTCGACCAATTCCTTCTAGTTCAAAGTGACACAATTTTAAAATTTGACACCTTACAAGAAATTTACCGCCTGCCTGAAGTAGTGAAATCTTAGAATCTTGATCACAATAACGAATTTCTAACTATCCCAGCCATGATTGAGAATCAATACTAATTCAAGTTTTACAAGGCTCAATACAAGCAATTCACAACCGATTCAAAAGAGTCCATCAGCCACAACACCCTTCAAGCAATTGTGTTGAAATAAGACAAAGACAAAAATCATTTGTTCTTTGGTTAGTATGTACGCATCGTCCACATGCAATAGAAGATAAAGAAAGAAAGATAGGAATCAAGGAAAAGATCAATCAAGGTTGAGGAAGCATAAGAAAACCAAATTAATAAAGGTTACTTGACATCATCGATTAATGCAGTTGGATGCTACCCGTCAGTTTATCTATAGATTAATGACATCTAGAATTCTGATTCAATAGAGAGGGCAGCCTCAATCTTCTAGATCTTGCCAGAAAATGACCAAAAGTATAGTGATGAAATTTAATTCTCTGTTGGAAATAAGCCCAATTTGGTAGGCTACACTACTTTCTTGCTTCGACACATGTTAACAGGGGAATTCTTAAGAGTCAATCCTTTCGATAATAAGCTGCAATTATCAAAAGATGTTATCTATAAGTATCGATAAATCAATACTACGTCATCAAAAAAACTAGAGACTAGTAAATAAAATGAACCAAAGTCTACTGTGTAAAAGAATCTGCCAGGTATCAAATTATATAGAAATCTAATTACTCAATCAAATAACGTCAATTAAAATAATTTTAATAATATTCAAACCCAATAGGACGAACGTATTGCAACTCAATACTAATAAACTCAAGGAAATATGGAAGAACCTGAATCAGGATCATGTTTGTCTGATCATCAATTGCTATTTGTAACTAAGCTGGGCAATAATCCTATATTCTATAAAGATTAGTTGCCATTTACAAATGATACAACATTTAATATTGCAACGAGAGATGGAAAATGTCCAATTGAAGTCGACAATTAGGAAGAGGGTGGGTATTAAGTTAAATTAATTACAAAGTTAGGGATGTTTAATCAATATGGAGAGGATAATTTAGAGTAAACTTTGTATAGATAATAGCACGATGAATGGATTACTTTGATCCCTGATTTAGATTCATTCGTAAAAAAGAATAAATATCAATTATCATCATAAGAAAAGGAAGTTCTTGAGTTTATCGAAAGTGAAAAGAAGAGTCAAGCCAAAAACAAAGTTGATATGAGACATTATAAATCTGATGATGAAACCTTCAAACCTACTTTTATTAATTTGAATCCTCTCAATACTAAATATTTGGATGTATTAGCCAATGAGGAATTTTCAGGTTCCAATTTTAAATTTGAAGTTGTAGACTAAAGTGAAATAGAGGAATTGAGTGAAGTCTTAGATTTAATGTTCCCACTCACAGTTTTAGCTAAAAACTCAATCCAACTATCCACCTTAAAATTCAAATTCAGCAATCTTAAATTCAAAGACTCCAAAGAATCCAAAGATCTTGCTTCCCAATTCCTCAGGTGCCAAGCCTAAACCGTGTAAAATGTCAATCAAGCAGTCAAGTCACTGTTCAAGATCATGTTATGGTTAACCGCCTCTCAAGAAGCCTTAGCCTAAGAAAACTTAATCTCTGAACCTTTGGCAAGAAGGCAATGTATAGCCAGAGAAATTGGTTGCATAGACTATGTCAATAAGATAATCTACGAATTAAATATCAATGGGTTATTATACGAAGATAAAGATTCTATCAAGTAGGATGAGGAAATGTTTCAATAGGATATCAATCAACTAATTGATTTACTTTCCTCGTTTTTGTAATTGGTTTGTAAGAATTCAAATGATAACTCCTTATATGTCGTATAATGGTATTGTCTTTATAAGCACATACTTCTGAAAGGATAAGTAAATGATTTGATGAGATTAGACATCTTGATTACTTAATTGTTCTAGTAGTCTGACGTTATGGTTTCGTTTGAATTTGAAGTAACTCAATTATCTAAGGAAACCAAATATACAAACTACAACAAACATGCCTTTAATTTATTAATTGCCTTCTGTCTTTTCACTGAGTTCAGAAAAAAGGAGGGCATCGAAGGAATAATTGATCATATCTTCAAGCAAAATAAGGATTCCATATTTGCCCAACTCATATTTGACGGCAATATTCAATCGATTTTGAGGGAAAAGATCTAGGATTTTTAGAAAACCATAAGACAATCCATGGATTCTGGTCTTCCTATTTCAAGTCCGATAATGATAGATGGCTTGAATTTTACAAATAGATTAGCATTGCATGATTACATCATTTCTTGTGTGAGGTTGGCTTCGGAAATTTCTAAGTCCTCCCCTGCTTTGACTCTTAAGGAAATCAAGCACTTATTCCCCTTCTATACGGTAGCCAAGATAATCCAAGATAATAGCATTTCATCATTAACCAAATCGTACTTTTTGGAGTTATTCCAGAATTCATATATGGCCAAACACTTAAACCCTTTGCCAAGAGCTTAATTCCCTTAGTATTTAAAAATGGTTGTCAAATAGAACAAAGGGAAAGGATTCTTATCCATGTTTAAAAAAGAGGAGTACGACATCATTCTCTACACATTTGCATAGAAGAAGATTGCTGATGTCTTTTAAAAGGTAGCCAAAAAATATTTGGTGGAAAGCGATACAACAGTTGATTTTTGGTTATTTTTATCAGATTTCATCACAAACTTCTGGAAAAGCAAATCCATATATGAAATAAAAGGCACTGATCACATCTATATCAAACAATTGATTTTAACATTCACAGAGTTCTTAAAAAAAGGACTATTCATTGAGTATCTTAACAATGCTCACAATTTTTATAATATGTATCACAAATTCATTGAATTCCTCAAGAACTCTGTTGTTTCAGCTACTCTGGAGGAGAAGTACATCAAACATCAATTGTAGGACAACAAAAAGTCAAAAGAACAGAAACCTTTAGAAGTGAAGGATTATTTGTTTGAGAGTTCAGTGGCATAAAGGGCAGTGTCTAGAACGACTTATGCAAAGAGTATGATTTGGCTTGATGAATTAATTGAGATACTAATTCTGTTAGAGTAATTCTAGCAATCCAGAATGGCAGACCAATTTATTATCACAGATGACAACTAAACAATGTTCGATGATCTCCAATACTTATAGAAGTTCGCCAAGGATAAAAAGTATGCAGACGTCGTTTAAAGATTGAGATAAGCCAAACGAGCAAGTTATCATACAAGAGGATAGCAATCACAAAGTCAACTCAATCAAAAGGATATATTCACAACTCAAGAATTGACAACAATATTGAGAGAGTGTTCTTATGCTCGTAAGACTGTGATCTTAGAATATTTAGGAGGTATAAAATAAACTGATATATCGTTGGTGTACTTTTTGATTGAATTGCTTACATTGAATCAAATAAGACTGTCAGCCAAAGTGACTGAATTATTGTGGCTGATCTACTCATCAAGAAGTAACTTTCTTTAAACGTTGAATTAAACTATTTTAATTGAGGCATTTGATTAAGGAGAGTTGCAATTATAAGTAAATTAGAACATATTTACAGACTTTTCAAATATTTATTGGAAACTGCATTTTGCAATCATAGATTTAAAAGAATCCTTAGAAAAAGACTCTAACAAACACTATGAAACTATTAATGATGCCTTATCAGATATGCTAGTGATATTCTTCCCTGATTATGCTGCAAAATCTGATATGCAAATGTTCATGGAGATTAATTAGTTGGAAAATGAGGAGAAGCATTATTAGGCACAAGAAGAGAAGATGGTTAAGAGCAAAATAAAATAAGAAGTAGCAGTCTTAGAATAATTTGTATCAAGGGCAGAACTTGATCTAATAGATGTCTCAGCACAGAGTCCAATGAGGGATAAATAGGAAGAACAATTATAATCACTGAAATCGGCCACAATCGATCAATAATAAAAGTATGTTTGGAAAATCAATAACTCATTATCAATCGATGTGTTGACCATATATTATAGATAAAAGTTATTGAGATACTTGGGATTTCATGATTTGATGTATAAATTGATTGAAAACCTGATATAAGAAACAAGTACCCTATTTAGAGAGAAGNTCCATATATGAAATAAAAGGCACTGATCACATCTATATCAAACAATTGATTTTAACATTCACAGAGTTCTTAAAAAAAGGACTATTCATTGAGTATCTTAACAATGCTCACAATTTTTATAATATGTATCACAAATTCATTGAATTCCTCAAGAACTCTGTTGTTTCAGCTACTCTGGAGGAGAAGTACATCAAACATCAATTGTAGGACAACAAAAAGTCAAAAGAACAGAAACCTTTAGAAGTGAAGGATTATTTGTTTGAGAGTTCAGTGGCATAAAGGGCAGTGTCTAGAACGACTTATGCAAAGAGTATGATTTGGCTTGATGAATTAATTGAGATACTAATTCTGTTAGAGTAATTCTAGCAATCCAGAATGGCAGACCAATTTATTATCACAGATGACAACTAAACAATGTTCGATGATCTCCAATACTTATAGAAGTTCGCCAAGGATAAAAAGTATGCAGACGTCGTTTAAAGATTGAGATAAGCCAAACGAGCAAGTTATCATACAAGAGGATAGCAATCACAAAGTCAACTCAATCAAAAGGATATATTCACAACTCAAGAATTGACAACAATATTGAGAGAGTGTTCTTATGCTCGTAAGACTGTGATCTTAGAATATTTAGGAGGTATAAAATAAACTGATATATCGTTGGTGTACTTTTTGATTGAATTGCTTACATTGAATCAAATAAGACTGTCAGCCAAAGTGACTGAATTATTGTGGCTGATCTACTCATCAAGAAGTAACTTTCTTTAAACGTTGAATTAAACTATTTTAATTGAGGCATTTGATTAAGGAGAGTTGCAATTATAAGTAAATTAGAACATATTTACAGACTTTTCAAATATTTATTGGAAACTGCATTTTGCAATCATAGATTTAAAAGAATCCTTAGAAAAAGACTCTAACAAACACTATGAAACTATTAATGATGCCTTATCAGATATGCTAGTGATATTCTTCCCTGATTATGCTGCAAAATCTGATATGCAAATGTTCATGGAGATTAATTAGTTGGAAAATGAGGAGAAGCATTATTAGGCACAAGAAGAGAAGATGGTTAAGAGCAAAATAAAATAAGAAGTAGCAGTCTTAGAATAATTTGTATCAAGGGCAGAACTTGATCTAATAGATGTCTCAGCACAGAGTCCAATGAGGGATAAATAGGAAGAACAATTATAATCACTGAAATCGGCCACAATCGATCAATAATAAAAGTATGTTTGGAAAATCAATAACTCATTATCAATCGATGTGTTGACCATATATTATAGATAAAAGTTATTGAGATACTTGGGATTTCATGATTTGATGTATAAATTGATTGAAAACCTGATATAAGAAACAAGTACCCTATTTAGAGAGAAGGATGTTCTAGTAAGTAATGCAAATAAGAAAGGATGGGAGATTAAGAGCGACATCTTAGAAAAGAGCATTCTATTCTTGATTTATTTTGTTATTAGAAATGAAGAAAACCAAGAGATGATACTCAATTTAAGCAAGAAGAAGGATTCGTTTCTACATGAAATGTCTAATGTAAAGAGAAAGCAATTGTAGACTTTAATTTATATTTTGTTTGCTGAATTGTTTAAAGACAATTACAACATTTTATTCTCATTAGATAAGTACAACGATGAAAATTCAATATTGGCAAAATTGTTCGGTATTTTTGGTAACAATTTTGCAAATAAAAATTATGAAGCAGCTATTTATTTCCTTTAATTTTTATAAATCCTTTTGAAAGTGAAAGAGAGTGAAGTTGTGTAAAATTATTCTGTGATTATACAATTGTTTTAATCAACCAAACAATTAGCCACATTTGCCAAAGATATTGCTACTTTGATCCATACTATTTATCTCTTACGATTGGAGTAATTCTTTACTGGCAGTCATGCACCTCCACCTCAAACACCCAATAATTAACAAAGGCATGCATAATTTAATGGGTTCATTGAAATGCCGTTAGAGGTGCTATTCATGACTGAACTACTCAGATTAATGAGAATTATTTGTTCCAAAAGATCAGTTCTAATCAATGAATTCGTCAATAAACTCTTCCCAGTTACAAGAGTAGCTGAAATGTTGAAGCAATTGGACGAATGGTACCCTTTGAAATCAGAGCTAATCCTCTATTTTTAGAGTGTGTTTTTGGATAATTTACAATTCTTAACTTTTGAAGAGAAACAAGAAGTTGTTAAAACCATAACTGAAGTGATCTTCAAATAAATGACATTGAGTTTTATTGAGAATTAGAATCTTAAGAAAATGGCAAATGCAAAATTAGTAAATAACATTGTATTCAATATTTTTGGAATAAGAAATTAGTACACTTGTTAAGAATTCATTATGTCGATATCTCATGAGAAAGCAAGTTATATCTATGTGATATTTGGAGTCTTGGAAGTGACTGAAAACTTTGTGAAGAAGGTGTTCCCAAAATATTTTTCGAGTGAGGAACAGGAGCATTTTGAAGATGTTTAGAATGAAATTATTTTTATGGCCTAAACTATAAATGAGACAGTTCAAAAAGTAAAAGAGTACATTAATGATGTTCCTAATGGAGGCACAGGTGGGAAGATGAAAAATTCGAATTATAAGAGAAGAAGTGGGCAAAAAACAACTAAATTGTTTAATCTAACACATAAATTGCTATCTAGTAACTAGGATGAGTAGAATCAAGAATTAAGTATTTTGGCTAAAGAAGATAATGAAATCGATAAAATCAATATAATTATGATAGTTAAAACAATAGACTCGGTCAAACTCTCAGAGGTTGCCTTTTAATTGTAAAGGAATGATATGCAATAAGCAGAATAAGGAATTCTTAATAAATGGACAAATTCCATAAAATCCTAGAGAACAAAACTAGTAGATGAACATCTTGTGGCTTCAGAGAGGGAAAATGAAATTTAATAGTTAGTGAATTTAATTATTACTTTAAAACGAGATGATACTACAAAATTTAAGAGGATGGTGACTGCCCTTATTTAAATGTTATCTGAAACTTCAGTATCCCCCTCTATCAAATTGAAATCTATCAATATCGTGAGAAAACTATCGAATTATAAAGAAGACTTTCAAGTGACCAAGTCGATTCTTAAAGATTTGGGTGAACTTGGATTCACAGATTTTCTATGCGATTTAATCAAACAAGAGGTGGATTCTGAATAAAAGCTCGAATACATTAAGGCCTTTGTAGATTACATTGATGATTCATCGAGAGAAATCTAGAACTCCTTTTTATTATATCTACAAAGGGATCTTTAGAACACATTTATAAGAAATTTGTAAAACTTCATAACAGATATGTTCTAAGATGTCAGAATGGCAGAGATATCGAGAATAGAGAGGAATAATAAGAATATTAATAAGATATTGAATAATAAGATAAATGGTTGCATTTTGATATTTGAAATGTTTCGTCTAGGTTGTGAAGATCATTTTAGTGACATGTAAAACTTTTTGAGGATTCAACCTAATAGTAAATAGCCAATAAACTTTATTATGTTTACAGCTGAATTATTCGAGAAATACGTTGAAAAAATGAATGAACATAACGCAGCTCTAGGTTAAAAAATACTTGATTTTTTAATCGAATGTGTTTAAGGTCCTTGTCTTGAGAATTAAACTGAGCTCTGTTAATCTACTAAAATTTTGGAGGTTCTTGAATAAATTATCATTCAACAAAGAGTGGATAACGATAAGTTCTAAAGAAGAGATATTGTATTTTCAAGTTTGAGAAGTAAGGTGTTCTTACTCTAATTATCCTTAATGGAAGGCAATAGCGATTAAGAAATTGCGAATAAGATATCTCAATATTTCAACCCTCAGATACTCTTTGAGAGAATATAATTAGTGTACTGGAAGATTATCAAAAAGATAAGAAATACATAAATGCAAATAAATTTAGAATTGAAAGTATTGGATCGCGTGAAGACTGAAGCGGAAGAATCTGTAAATCTGCATGGAATCATACAGACCAAGGATACTAAGGAGACTTTGCCTAATTAAAATTTATTCATGGAATTCTTTTCAGAGAATTTTAATAGTTCTCGTGGTCCATCGCATCACAAAGACTCACAATAAACTTTAGTAAATGCTATACAGGAAGAAGAGATGGAGGAAATGGTTGGCGAAACCTTTATGATGTATCTATTACTCAAGAAACTCAGCAACTACATTCCTCAAATCAAAAACCTAACTGATGGGGAAAACAATCCTAAATTGAGAAGAGCTCTGAATTACTACAAAAATGAGACTGCCTCCATTGAAATCGTGAATATGAATGGCAAATTAGAGAAAATATACTTTTAGGTTCCCACTCTAATGAAGTATTTGACAGAGGAAACCAAACGTTAATTCATGGAAGAAGTAGAAAGAGATTCTATCAATGATAAGATCAACGGGTTGTTAGATAACATGGATAACTTTTATATGGAAATGGTGCATTTTATGAGGTTACGAAAAATCGGAATTAGATTTAACAATAATTTTATTGTTTATCTCAGAAACGTCTGCATCATTTTGGCTCTCCTGTTGAACATCCTAATCACCATAAATGACACTGAAGAAAAACTGGCCAACCTTGCCAAAGCCATAGCTATTGTGAATTGCATTTTGTATGGGTTGATTATGCTCACCTGGGTATTCATCAGAATGCAATTGGAGTACGATCGAATCTACAAATAGGTGTCAGATTTGATCTAATTAAATTACAATAAGAAATCGAATCAAGGATAGACTTAATAGGTCAATCCAAAGACAGTCATCTATCCTTTCTAAATTACGTTATTGCAAGCATTCTTAATAATAAAACGAATGCTATTTAGTAGTTATACTTTTTATTGGTTTTTATTGCTAGTCATCAATTTGTTGGGGTTGTTGTATAATAAATTATTTTATGGATTTCTACTGTTGGACATCATAGATCATTCGCAAGTGTTAAGAAATGTTATCAAAAGTATTTCACTCAATTACAAACAACTTTTGATGACAGCCCTATTGGGAGTCTTGATCATGTATTTCAATATTGTATTTATTTAGGTACTTGTACTCCTTGGTCGCATACTAAAGCACTGATTTCAAATAATAATTAAAAGATGGCAATGACAATAATGGAAATGACGAAGGAACGGACCCTTTAGACTAGACAGTCTGTTATTCTGCATTTTAGTGTCTTGTGTATGTAATTCACTAAGGTTTACGAGCAGGCGGAGGAATAGGAGATGCTCTTGAAGCTCCTCCCACTCATTCGAACTTAAACTATTATTCATAGAGAGTTCTTTATGATGTGAGTTTTTTCATTCTCATTAATATCATTTGGCTGAATATCATCTTTGGTATCATTATTGATACCTTTGCTGAATTGAGAGATTAGAAGAATCAAAAAGGTATTTATATTATTGTACTATTCAAGATTTCGATTCTCAAAACAGATGTTATATTTGTGACTTAACAAGAACTGTATTTGAAAAAGAAGGTATATCTTTCGACAATCACGTTCAAAAATATCATAACCCTTGGAACTATTTGGCTTATTTGTTATACTTAAAAGTGAAGCAGAAAACTGAGCATACAGGCACAGAATCATATGTCTCTAGTAAATTCCTGCAAAACGATATAAGTTGGTTGCCCATTTAAAAGGCACTTGATTTAGAATTAATTGCAGAACAATAGTAAAAATAAACAATTAATATCAACATCGATGAACACAATTAAAAATCGCTCCATTGAATCAATCATTATTCTAGTTAACAAATATAAACATCATCATAAATCTCAATTTTTTACTACACAAGATATTTGTTGATATCTTTTTAAAATATCTAAAGTATACTTTTTATTTAGTCTATTTTTGTACAAAGCATTACTTTGTTACTGTAAAAATGCATTCATCATCAAAATAAATCTATTTTCTCTTAATCATTATCTACAATAGTTCTATCTTATCAAAATTATTTAAGGATTAGAGAATACATAATTTTGAATTTAATTCACGTTTTCATTCCAACTTTAAATAATATATAAAATAGCCTTAATTATTAATTAATGTCTAAATTGGATGACTTTTGGTTGAGAGACAAGATGTACGATCTCTTGGGTCTGTATGATAATATCACACACGATTTTATTAAAGAATGTGCAAAAACCTCAACAAGCGCAACGGAGTTGAAAAAGAAATTGATTGATTCAAGTTTTCCTGCAGATGACGAGTTCTGTTCAGAGTTGCTAGCCAGATTTGCAGGAATCAAGCCTCCCAAGCCTTCAGAATATGAATTGTGGGAGAAGGAGCAATAGGAAAAAAAGCAGAAGGAGTACGAATTAGTAGAAGCAAATAAAGCTTAATAAATTTAAGTTCATAATCCGAATGAGAATAAGGAGGAGGACAAAAAGGCAAAGGAGGAGTTGCATTAAAAATTAATAAAAAAGAAGCCCTTGGATAGATAGCAGGAAGAATTGTTGAAGAAGATTGAATTGGAGAAAGTGAAGGAAGAATCCAGGATGAAGTATTTGAAAGAAAGAGAATTGAAATAGTTGAAATTGAAGCAAATGATTTAGAAGGACGAGGAACAAATATTCGATGAGGCAGAATTGACAAAGAAGGAAAAAGAGGAGAGAGAATTGAATTAACTAATATTGAAGGCAGCAGAGACTCAGAAAGACAATGACATAGTGGTTGAATATTATAAATAGCCAGATTTATATGAAGAGGATGGTAAAATATTGAAAGATAAAACTGATGTCTTGAAGAAGAAAGCTACAGACATTAAACCTGAGATGCCTGAAGAGGAACAATGGCAATAGCACATATCTACAAGGGCTAATTAACATGTGAGAACTTGGGATGAAATTGAGTAGAAGAGAATTAAGAAGTACGAATTATTGTATGAAAATGCAATAGACTTCGTTTAATTAGAAGTAATCAAGGAATTAGGAAAAATCTAAATGAAAAAACAAAAAAGAAAGAAGGAAAAAGAGAAGAAGAAAAAGAAAGATAAGAAGAAGAAGAAACATCGAAATTCTAGCAGCAGTAGTAGTAGTTCTAGTGGTAGCAGTTCAAGTGAAGAGGAGTAACCTAAGCCTTAATATCCAATGGAACCTTAAAAGCCCTAAAAAAGTGCAATGCAGATTGTCAAGGAAGGATTGCCCATCTTTAAATTCAGAACTCAACTATTATCGTTAATTAGGGACAACAAAGTAATTGTTATGGTTGGAGAAACAGGTTCAGGAAAGACTACACAATTGGCATAATACTTACATGAGGTTGGTTACACTAGAACAGGGATGATTGGATGTACTTAGCCAAGGAGAGTGGCTGCTATGTCAGTGGCATCTCGAGTGGCATTGGAAATGGGTGTGAAATTGGGACATGAGGTAGGTTATTCAATAAGATTTGAAGATTGTTGTAATGAATCTACTATCATCAAATACATGACAGATGGTATGTTATTGAGGGAATTCATGATTGATCCAATGTTACAGAAATATAGTGTATTAATTATTGACGAAGCTCACGAAAGAACCTTGCATACTGACATCTTGTTGAGTTTAATTAAAGATATAAGCAGAGCTAGGGATGATCTCAAAGTAGTGATTTCCTCAGCCACACTTGATGCATAGAAATTTAGCTAATATTTCGATGATGCACCCATCATTCAAATCCCAGGTAGAAGATATTAAGTAGATATCTATTACACCCAACAACCAGAAGGCAATTATGTCGAAGCAGCTGTTGTCACTGTTCTTCAAATTCATGTTACCTAAGGTGTCGGGGATATTTTAGTCTTCTTGACTGGACAAGATGAAATTGAAGATGCTGAAGAAATGCTTAAAGCGAGAACCAAAGGATTCTCTAAAAAAATACCTGAATTAATCATTTGTCCTGTTTATGCTGCCTTACCCAGTGAGTAGTAAGTCAAAATATTTGAACCTACTCCTAAAGGTTGTCGAAAAGTAGTCTTGGCTACTAATATAGCAGAAACCAGTATCACTATTGACAATATCATTTATGTTGTTGATTGTGGATTTGTCAAGCAAACATCTTTTAGTCCATCCACAGGTATTGAATCATTACAGGTTGTACCATGTTCTAAGGCTAATGCTAATTAAAGAGCAGGCAGAGCAGGTCGTATTGCACCAGGAAAGTGCTTTAGACTTTATACTGCATGGTCGTATAATAATGAATTAGAAGACTCACCGATCCCTGAAATCCAAAGAACCAACCTTGGTAATGTTGTGTTATTACTCAAAACAATGGNAAAGATAAAACTGATGTCTTGAAGAAGAAAGCTACAGACATTAAACCTGAGATGCCTGAAGAGGAACAATGGCAATAGCACATATCTACAAGGGCTAATTAACATGTGAGAACTTGGGATGAAATTGAGTAGAAGAGAATTAAGAAGTACGAATTATTGTATGAAAATGCAATAGACTTCGTTTAATTAGAAGTAATCAAGGAATTAGGAAAAATCTAAATGAAAAAACAAAAAAGAAAGAAGGAAAAAGAGAAGAAGAAAAAGAAAGATAAGAAGAAGAAGAAACATCGAAATTCTAGCAGCAGTAGTAGTAGTTCTAGTGGTAGCAGTTCAAGTGAAGAGGAGTAACCTAAGCCTTAATATCCAATGGAACCTTAAAAGCCCTAAAAAAGTGCAATGCAGATTGTCAAGGAAGGATTGCCCATCTTTAAATTCAGAACTCAACTATTATCGTTAATTAGGGACAACAAAGTAATTGTTATGGTTGGAGAAACAGGTTCAGGAAAGACTACACAATTGGCATAATACTTACATGAGGTTGGTTACACTAGAACAGGGATGATTGGATGTACTTAGCCAAGGAGAGTGGCTGCTATGTCAGTGGCATCTCGAGTGGCATTGGAAATGGGTGTGAAATTGGGACATGAGGTAGGTTATTCAATAAGATTTGAAGATTGTTGTAATGAATCTACTATCATCAAATACATGACAGATGGTATGTTATTGAGGGAATTCATGATTGATCCAATGTTACAGAAATATAGTGTATTAATTATTGACGAAGCTCACGAAAGAACCTTGCATACTGACATCTTGTTGAGTTTAATTAAAGATATAAGCAGAGCTAGGGATGATCTCAAAGTAGTGATTTCCTCAGCCACACTTGATGCATAGAAATTTAGCTAATATTTCGATGATGCACCCATCATTCAAATCCCAGGTAGAAGATATTAAGTAGATATCTATTACACCCAACAACCAGAAGGCAATTATGTCGAAGCAGCTGTTGTCACTGTTCTTCAAATTCATGTTACCTAAGGTGTCGGGGATATTTTAGTCTTCTTGACTGGACAAGATGAAATTGAAGATGCTGAAGAAATGCTTAAAGCGAGAACCAAAGGATTCTCTAAAAAAATACCTGAATTAATCATTTGTCCTGTTTATGCTGCCTTACCCAGTGAGTAGTAAGTCAAAATATTTGAACCTACTCCTAAAGGTTGTCGAAAAGTAGTCTTGGCTACTAATATAGCAGAAACCAGTATCACTATTGACAATATCATTTATGTTGTTGATTGTGGATTTGTCAAGCAAACATCTTTTAGTCCATCCACAGGTATTGAATCATTACAGGTTGTACCATGTTCTAAGGCTAATGCTAATTAAAGAGCAGGCAGAGCAGGTCGTATTGCACCAGGAAAGTGCTTTAGACTTTATACTGCATGGTCGTATAATAATGAATTAGAAGACTCACCGATCCCTGAAATCCAAAGAACCAACCTTGGTAATGTTGTGTTATTACTCAAAACAATGGGTATCAATAATTTGGTTAATTTCGATTACATGGATGCTCCACCTCATGAAATGTTACTAAGGGCTTTGGAGTAATTATATTCTTTGGGAGCATTGAATAACGAAGGCGAATTGACTAAATTAGGAAGAAGAATGGCTGAATTTCCATTAGACCCTATGCTTTCAAAGATGGTAGTTACATCTGAACATTTTAAATGTGTAGATTAGATTATCACTATTTCTGCCATGCTTTCTGTTGGAAATACTATCTTTTATCGTCCAAAAGAAAAGCAAGTCCATGCTGATACTTCAAAAAAGAACTTTTATAGACCTGGTGGAGATCACATGACTTTATTGAATATCTACAATTAATGGAAGGATTGCAATTATACGAAAGAGTTCTGTTATGAAAGCTTCATCCAATTCAAAGCAATGAAAAGGGCACAAGATATTAAGGAATAATTGACTTCTTTGTGTGAGAGAGTAGAAATTGATATCAAGGATGAAACTCTGTCTATTTACGAAGATGGTGGTATCAATATCAGAAAATGCATCACTTCTGGATTCTTTTATAATTCAGCTAAAAAATAAAAGAGTGGAGTCTATAGAACTCTCAAGAATAGTCATGAAACATAAATTCATCCTTCCTCCTTATTATTCCAAGAAAAACCAGAGTGGGTAATTTATCATGAATTAGTGTTAACTACAAAGGAGTATATGAGGAATGTATGTGAAATCAAACCGGAATGGCTTTATGAAATAGCACCTCATTATTTCACCGAAGACTTTATCAAATCAAATTAAAAAACATTGCCTAAAGCAAAAATTGATATTAATCAATTTTGATAATTATATCCTCATTTTTATTTAACCTTTTTGTCTTTTTTCGCTTTCTTCACTGGACCTTATGTATGCTATTACACAAATCTCAATCCTATTAAATAAATGGTGAAATAGACCTAAAAATAAAATGACACTAAAGAGCGAAATCAAACAAGCAAAGATAATTGTCTAAGTGGTACCTGATAGCTTTGACAAATCAATTCCAAATAACTTATAGCCCTATGGTTGTTGTCTTCTTCTTGGATCCACTTCTTCGTCATCGTCATCATCATCGTAACCTTGTTCTTACTTATATTTCTTTTATTATTCTTGCATGTTTTTATCGAATTGCTAGAGTGATTATAAGGGTTACCTCTATCTCTTTTGATAATATCTTCTCCTAATCTGTTAATGTGAGATCATCTTCCAAACTCAGATCAGTCATCATGAAAACATCCTAGAAATCCTAATATTTAAAGGTTTATTGTCTCAATTAATTAAAGAGATCAGCCAATTATTAGTATTAGATTTTTTGGATGCACTGCATCACCAATTGAACCTATAATTTTTCATATGCATTTCTCTTGTCTTATTCATTTGTAATCTATTTGAATAACTTCATCAATTCTTGGCTTCTCTCCTATAAGTGGTACTTTGTCAAAATAATGCATCCATATTGTTGCTACTAATAATAATTTTGTTATGCTATCCTAGTAATCATTTATTCATACAATCCTATTATTAGAATTAAGATTCTTGGTCTTCCTCACTCAATTCATCCTCCTAGGCTCTGAGTTGTATAAAAGTCAAGGCAATCAAAAGTAATTTCCACATTAATAAATTAATATGTGATATTAAATTTATACAGAATTCTAAATATGAGTTATTAATATTAAAATCATCATAACAACTAATTTAATAGTACTTTTATTTCTTCCTTGACTCTCTTGCCAAACTAAGGACACTCTTCAATGTGTCTTTTAACTAAGCCAAAGAAGAATTTACTATCTATCTTTTTCATTTATATCAATCTTTCAAGTTATTGCAATAGTTTTCTAACTGTTTATTTGTTATTAATACTCATTAAATTATTTTTAAATATCCAATGTAGATTGTTTACTGCTTATTCTCTCCGATCTTTTTTTTGATTCTGGATAATCTTAAGACAAAGCAGATTTCTACCTTGCTTGTTTCTCAGGCTTATCCACGCATTCTTTAATTACTAATTTCTAGTTCTACTCAAATTATTTCTATTTTGAATTGTCCTCAATTAGTTAACTATTCTTATTTTTGCTCTTTTTATCGCTCTCTCTTTTTTAAATCTAATTATTTCTTAGCTCCAACATTATATTCTTGAACTCATCTCTATTAGTGCCTGATGAAGATTTAATGCCCATTTTGGTATTTTGAAATCTCATCTCGTCTCTTAATTATCCNCCTAAAGCAAAAATTGATATTAATCAATTTTGATAATTATATCCTCATTTTTATTTAACCTTTTTGTCTTTTTTCGCTTTCTTCACTGGACCTTATGTATGCTATTACACAAATCTCAATCCTATTAAATAAATGGTGAAATAGACCTAAAAATAAAATGACACTAAAGAGCGAAATCAAACAAGCAAAGATAATTGTCTAAGTGGTACCTGATAGCTTTGACAAATCAATTCCAAATAACTTATAGCCCTATGGTTGTTGTCTTCTTCTTGGATCCACTTCTTCGTCATCGTCATCATCATCGTAACCTTGTTCTTACTTATATTTCTTTTATTATTCTTGCATGTTTTTATCGAATTGCTAGAGTGATTATAAGGGTTACCTCTATCTCTTTTGATAATATCTTCTCCTAATCTGTTAATGTGAGATCATCTTCCAAACTCAGATCAGTCATCATGAAAACATCCTAGAAATCCTAATATTTAAAGGTTTATTGTCTCAATTAATTAAAGAGATCAGCCAATTATTAGTATTAGATTTTTTGGATGCACTGCATCACCAATTGAACCTATAATTTTTCATATGCATTTCTCTTGTCTTATTCATTTGTAATCTATTTGAATAACTTCATCAATTCTTGGCTTCTCTCCTATAAGTGGTACTTTGTCAAAATAATGCATCCATATTGTTGCTACTAATAATAATTTTGTTATGCTATCCTAGTAATCATTTATTCATACAATCCTATTATTAGAATTAAGATTCTTGGTCTTCCTCACTCAATTCATCCTCCTAGGCTCTGAGTTGTATAAAAGTCAAGGCAATCAAAAGTAATTTCCACATTAATAAATTAATATGTGATATTAAATTTATACAGAATTCTAAATATGAGTTATTAATATTAAAATCATCATAACAACTAATTTAATAGTACTTTTATTTCTTCCTTGACTCTCTTGCCAAACTAAGGACACTCTTCAATGTGTCTTTTAACTAAGCCAAAGAAGAATTTACTATCTATCTTTTTCATTTATATCAATCTTTCAAGTTATTGCAATAGTTTTCTAACTGTTTATTTGTTATTAATACTCATTAAATTATTTTTAAATATCCAATGTAGATTGTTTACTGCTTATTCTCTCCGATCTTTTTTTTGATTCTGGATAATCTTAAGACAAAGCAGATTTCTACCTTGCTTGTTTCTCAGGCTTATCCACGCATTCTTTAATTACTAATTTCTAGTTCTACTCAAATTATTTCTATTTTGAATTGTCCTCAATTAGTTAACTATTCTTATTTTTGCTCTTTTTATCGCTCTCTCTTTTTTAAATCTAATTATTTCTTAGCTCCAACATTATATTCTTGAACTCATCTCTATTAGTGCCTGATGAAGATTTAATGCCCATTTTGGTATTTTGAAATCTCATCTCGTCTCTTAATTATCCAACATCAATGTCATGCTTTCCAATGAATATGTCAGAATATTTAATTGTTTCTTGGGTCCTTGTATTGGAAATGTATTTATTATATCTACTCAATAATTCCTTCTCTTAATTGTTTAATAATTCCATTTTTTATTGTTATTAATATAATTATATTTCATTATAAAATAATCATGTTATGTACATATGATAATCTATTCACCTTAGTGATCTATTGAAAGTTGCTAATTTCTCTACGCCTTTGATCAATTCAATTTACTATAGGGGAGTTAACTATTAGGTGAATTAGTTGACATTCTCCTCCACTTCTTATTGAATCAACTTCAACCTTTTCATTTCGGTATTAAACTTTAATAATAATCTACTTATAACAGATGACAATACTATTGTGATGTCTTTCTATGATTTAATAATTTATCAATTATGGGGAGTACTTTATAAATCAAATTCTCGTCATCTAATTTGGTCTGCTTTTTTACTATCTCAACGTAGTTATTGAATTCTTCGTCATCTAAAAAGATACCAAAGACAATATTACAATTCTTAACATCCTTATTGAAACTAATCAGTTACAAACCATAATTGCCTTTTAAGAAATTCCTCTGAATATTTTTAACTGCATATTTGAAATAGTCTCTCCTTTTGATTCCACAGGTACCATACCTCATCTAATAGTTAATAGCCATGAATACCAAATATGAATCTAAAATAAGCTACGCCTAATCGGATTACTTGCATTATATAATTTGATCAATGGCATTGGAATTCCCAATGATCATACTATTTAGAATTGGATGGGAAGTAAGCAGTTAAGTCAAATACTCAAATGACTGTCTTGTTGTTTTTTTATATTCCTGTATTTTTTAATCCAAATCCGAGACCTAAGCGTGACTAAGTGCAATGTTACCTTCTTCTCCAATAACTTCAAATACACCTTCTTTCGTAAACGTGAATTCTTAGCACTTTGCCTTAATCGCTTATTCTTTGACTCAGCACTCAATAAATCATTCGCAGATCCCAAGAGTCCAGCCAAACCGAATTTCTATTCCTTCGATACTTCCTCTGATGAACTGTCTCCTTGTAAATCCTCCTGCAATTCCTCATCCAAGAGTTTTTCGCCTTCTACACTGAGCAAGGAGGTAATCTTTTTGATGTAGGCATTTTTGACGTTACCCTTAATTTCCTGTATTTGAGGGGTCTGTTCCTTTATACTGGCATTAGATTGAATTCTCTGGAGTGTCGATTTGGTCTTCCTGATCTTTTTGCTCTCATGAGTGATTTGTGAATTTATGAAGGGGTTCTGCAGTACACTTTAAGTGAATAGACTCTGCAAATTCAACATCCTCTACTATTCATGTAATTGCTAGAGGAGACGAGCATTTTGTGCCAGCAATTGATCCTGCGTGAGAGCTTATTGTAGGAAGGGAATGGTTGATTAATTATTTAAGGTTTGTATAAATTAATCTAATTCTTCCGCTGGTTATTACATATATATATTTATTATTTATCTTAGACTGACTATTCATTATATTAATAATGCTAATGAAATTGAATTGCAAAATCCTGTAGCAGTTCTTTATTGCACTCTCAATTCGTAATTTGGATTCTGAGAATCAATTAATAGATGGAGAGATGATCTTTTACATTTCTGTCAATTAGTAAAGATTGGTGGAATAAATTGATAGAGTAAAATGAGTTATGATTCACATGAAGCAAAAGCAGAAAACTAAACACAATAAAAGATCAAAGTTTTTTGTAGCGAGTGTATGTAAGGATAGAGTACAAAAGCGAGATGACTAGCATTACAACTACGATTATCAAGTAAGACGTGGGTACAAAGTCGAACTGTGCCATCAATCTAACTGCTGCCTCATTAAAAAATTAGTTTACTAAAACTGTAGTTTGTATTACTAGTCAAGTTGTATTGAGTATTGATATACAAACGCTCATAAATAGTGAACTCTTCGATCTCCTCTCCATCTAAAGACAGTTACACATCAAGCAGCAGAATATCAGTTTTGGAAAACATTTGTACGCTAATTGGAGGATCCCATGTTTATTCCATCGTAAAAATTCCTCCTCTCTCGGAGACATCCAACTCAATATAATCTGCCTATAGAACTATAGATGGGATCATTAGGGCCAAAAAGAAGAATGCTATGAGCTATTATGGTTTCAATGTACACAGTAATATATGCAAAATTATTCTTCTACGGAATATCTAGAAGTACTCCTACAAACTCTCTACAAATGGATCTTGTTTCAAGTGCTCTTTCTCATGTAGGAAGTACTTCTATTTGATTGGCTGAAATTCACCTCCTAATTAACCTTAATGTTCTTTCATTTAATTATTATAATTTAATTATATAAATGTGTCCAACCTCCGAAATACAATTGGTTATAACTTGTAGACTCAAATTATCCAATCTCTCCTTCCTATAAGGAACCATTAAAATTGTGATCTACAGAGGAGTTGATAATCGAATCCACTCCGATATTAGTCTAGAAATGAGGAAGGACACATAACAAAGCGTTGTACAATGACTAGAAGAACAGAATTCAGAGTTCAACTTCTATTTTATATTTACTATCCGTTGATATGATTTAATTTTAAATATAGAATACAATTTTGTTAGTGTGTGTTTTTGAGCAGTGAAAATTATTCAATTTCAATGATAAATCGAAAATGGCAAAATTAATCAAACTTAAGATTTTTTCTTTATCTTTTTATTTATCTGAGTATTTTATTAATTCTTTTTTTGTTTCTTTTGTGGGTTCCTTCTATTTTCACACTCTGTACATTAGCAATGAGATGTACACTTTTTTCCCCTAATGAAGCATTCACAGTAACCTTTTACACATTTTGTCTTTTTGCATTTACAACCCCACACCTATTTAGTATCGAAAGAATCCAAATCATGATGTGATGCTCTCTGTTCCTTTATCTTAATTTATTCAACTGCCTTTTATACTTCCTCCTCATGTTGCCCATCATTATAACAATCATTGCATCCACATTCAGCCATGCATTGACGTCGATTATGAAAACAAGAACAATATAATTATAAACAATGCGTTTTTGTACAGTGACAAGGTTTCATCTCGTCTTATTCCACAGGAGAATCATCAACATTATAATTTGTTTTATTTCCTTTTCTTCTCGTTTGATTCTATTAAATAGTTTGTATTTCCTATATTTCCAACTCTTTTATTTGAAACACAGCCTCCTATTCCACTTTCCTCTCCTATCTCTTTGGAGGAGAATATTTCATCGGACTCATCCCTTCTATTGACATTGGTTTCTTGCCTTGATTTTGACATTCATCTATCGACATTTGTGAACTATTCAAATCATTCCCATCTATACATATATAGCATTAGTTTAGGTACTGGAACATCCTCTATAAATTCAGCAGATGACAATTAACTCTGAGTTTGTGGCCTTATTAATTCCTATTTCATGTTATCTTGCTATTCGTCATCCTTTAGCATAAATAAATCCTCATGCTTTGCCAAATCATTAGATGATGAAATATACATTCCATTTTAGCTCTCTTTATTACTCATTCTTTAATTTTAAAAAAAATCAATATTATTTTAAACAGTTTCCATTATTGCATTAGAAAATGCTAAAATATAATCTTTTTATAATAATCAAACATTAACGCCACTACTCAAAAGTTATTGTTTCTTTTAACCTTTTAAACTGTATGCCTCTCCTTTTCAAAGCACCGACCATCCTCCGTAAAGATTAATTTGATGTAGGAGATCTAAATTTAATATTAATTCTAATTATTCTATTATTATTAAATATAAAAAGAGCAATTCGTCAAAAATACAATCAATTATATATACGTTAAATTAATTAATGAATTTAGAAGAAATTCTTCTGCACCTGTTTGATAAGACCTTAGACTCTAGTTCCAATGATCACCTGTAAACCATTTTAGCCAGTCAAGCCAAGATTATACAATTGAAAAAGGAGAATGTCACTCCAACCATTATCCATTAAAAATCATCAATATAAAAAAAATTAGATACCTTAGATAAGAAAATTCTTAACCGAGACTGTCTTAAAAGTAAGAGGAAATCAAAAAATGACAATGTATTCAAAACTGCCTCCCAACATGAAAATGACAATACATAAAAGTTCGTAATCAACAATAATGAAGATCAAAAAGATCAATCACTATTAAAATTCTAGAACAAATAACTGTAAACTCTGATTGCCTCATTGGAATTTAAATAAAGAGAAAAATACTTACAAAATTGCAATCGCATCAGATAAATTCAATAAGAGAAAGAGAAACTATTAGAGAACAATACAAACTTGAATGAAAAATAAGAAAAACTCAATCAAAGATCACAAACTCTTATGTAGAAATAAGTGATACTAGAAAAACAAGAAAAATAAATGCAATATTAAGGATTATGCATATAACAAAATGAATAAGAATAATAAAAAAATGTAATAAATTTTATTATTAATTTTAGGATGACTTATTGAATGAAAGGAGAGAACACATGGAAGGATTGCAAATGAAACTTAATGAATTCGTTAGTCAGTTGTTAAATTTGGCAAATTCTAAAAATAAAGTCGAAAATTAATTGGCCATCTAATTTGATGCTATTGAATTCCTGATTCAATACATACTAAAAGAAAGATCTATACTGCAATCAGAACAACAATATCTAAGAAAATTTAAGTAGGATGTTCTAAATGAGAAAAAGCAAGTCTTAGAGTTGAAAGATTAATTTTCATGATTTCAAACTATTAAATAATTTTCATTTGTTTTAGGATATATCTAAATAATTAGCTTATTTGTAGCATACATAATAAATTCAATAATGGAAATTACATTTATAGAAATAAATATTATTTATTAAACTCTTATGCAATAATTGGAAACTCAATATTGCTATTATAGCAATTTCAATTTATATGAAAGCACATCTCAATTATTAAAGAAAGATAAGTTTGTTAAATCATTATTGCTAACTCTAGGAGAGGAATGGCGTATATATGCTGGACAAGCAATCACTATAGAATTAGATGGATAAATGAATCGTTTCGCATGGCAATTTTGTTTTGAAAATTTACTTTTTGCTTGGTTAGAGAACGAAGATACACCGTATTAAGAATTTTATGATTAATCAATTTAGCGAATTAGTCCTTACAATATAGGTAATAATCAAATAATTTAAATTAGATGTGGTTTATTTTAGGCCTGTTTTTGATGGTTTCTTTTATTCTGCTTAATAATTGTGGTAGAAAATGAGATTGAGCAGACCACCCTCCCAAGAATCCTTCAAATCTTTAGATCAAATTAAGTAAGAGGAAATTAAACCAATGTCAAATATTCTAAAACCATTAGTGGTTGTAAGTGAAAGGATTATCAATTATTTCAGAAAAGATGAGCAAGCTTAGCCTTAAAGGATGGAATATCCATAATACTAATAGCCAAGTTGGAAACAAATCTCTAAACTCACAGAAGATTCTTTGCCCCTTGAATTGATCGAGAATGCATACATTTACGTCAGTTAATTCATTTAAAAAACATACAAGAATTGTCAAGTAGCAAAATCATTTATCGTTAATATTATTGAACTAAATCATGATGTGTTGAGCAAATTCCAAATCTAAAATTAACAAATTAAAATTAGAATAATGTAGCCATCATGTTTAATGTACGATAATTTACTATCAATTTGGACGTTAGCAAATGCAGGTATTTAACCTCAATACTTTGACCTTATCGACAGAGCAAAATCTTTATTGGGTAATAATTGGAAAGACAATTATTAATAGCCTGTGGAAGTGTTTTTTTAAATGATGTCCAAATTGTATGGTAGCATCATTCTAAATCCGTAGATAAAGTCAGAAGATTAATTGAACCATTTGTTATAGAATATGAGAATTCAAATGGCTCAGTTGTGGGAATAAGAAATAGTTTAATCAACTTTAGAAAAATAATGATTAATGTTATATTGTGTATAAAATGTGAAATATTTTCAACTTAATTTAGAAATAATTAATCCTCAAATCATTAAAAAGTGGAAAACAGAGCTTTTCCAAGATCTAGCGCTGAACAATCTCTTTGACTAACATTTAACCTTGAAGGAATTTGTCCTATTAATCCTCAAGAATTTTTTATAATTCTCTGTTCCAATAGATAAAATGATTTAGTTGAGGGATATATTCCAAAGTTAACCTAAATAAATAAATCTATCTATTTTAATGCAAATAGATCACCACATCAAAAAATAGTTATAAGTTGTTAATTGAAGATCTTAAATATGTAAGATTGAAAAGGATGACAACAAATATTAATAATGTGACAATCATTTCATTAGTGAAGCCTTGAAAACAATTTAGTGTATAAAAAAACTTAAGGAAGAATATGCAACTAAATATAATAATCTTATGAATGAAATAGTAAGCAAGTAAAATAATGAATTAACTTGTAAAAGTGTAAACAATTTCAAAAGTTTAGTGTTTAATTAAAGTTATACTATTAATTATCTTGCAAATCTTATTATATTATTACTTTATGATAGTGAATATATACTAGATTACTTTAATTTAATTAAAATAATCTATTATGAGATATTTTTCAATGATTGACCATCGCACATAGGAAGTGCAACTGATTGTAGCTCAGAAGGTTATGGTTCGATTCCATATGGTCATAATTTTAGTTTTTTTCCAAGAATAACTTGATAAATTCAAGATACTATTAATTCTTATTATATTATTACTTTGTAATAATGAATATATGCTAGATTATTCTAATTTAATTAATATACTCTGTTATGAAATTTTTTTCAATGATTGACCGTCGCACATAGGAAGTGCAACTGATAGGATGTCGGAGGGTTATGGTTCGATTCCATATGGTCAAGATTATTTTTATTAATACTTTTATTTTTAATTTTAACCATTTTACATAACCAACTCTTAATACATCCAAGAATTAAATAAGTTATTTTATTTTAGTAATCATTTATTTATAAAATCAAGTAGCGGCCCTCGCACAAATGGTAGTGCAACCAATTGAACATCGGAGGGATGTGGTTCGATTCCACTGGGTTGCAGCTTTTTTTATCATAACTTTTTTTGTGAAGAAAGGAGTATTTAAAAAACAACATATAAATTCAAGAAATGCTTATTTATTTTGTGACCTTTTTATATTATGATGAGAAGTTTAATAGACATTAGATAATTGCAAAAAAGATCTTATGTAAGTTTATTAAATAATATTCAATGATTGACTTTCGCACAATGGTAGTGTAACTGATCGCAAGTCAGAGGGTCATGGTTCGATTCCATAAAGTCAATATTATTTTTAATTAATATTATTATTATAAATTAATTAGTATTTAACAATAACAATATATTAATTTCTGTAATTGGTAGGATCAGCTACACTTTTTTTAAATAACCTGTTTATTGAATATTATATGCTTTTACAAATTATATCTATGTAAATTCAAGATATTTGGAAATTATTCAATGAAACTCGTCATTTATTTACTAGATATTGTATAATTACAAATTACTTAATATTGTAATTTAGAAAAAAATCTTTATAGATTGACTGTCGCACATAGGAAGTGCAACTGATCGCAAGTCAGAGGGTCATGGTTCGATTCCATATAGTCAATATTATTTTTAATTAATATCGTTTATTATAAATTAATTAGTATTTAGAACACAATTTAATTCAGGAAATTCTAGAATTATTTTTGAGTCTTGTAATAATTATAGTAAAACGATTAAATGAAATAATTATAATATATCAATTGCTCAGCATACTTTATTTAATTTTCCAATCGAACTATTCATAAAATATGATTAATAATATTATATTTTTGGTTTCAATAATTTATACTCAGAATTTCCATATAAATAGAGCTATATTCTTGAATTGAATAATGTTGATTTTATTAAATTAACATAAATAATCGAATCAAATTTTTTCTGCAATAATTTGATCTAGCAGATCCTTGTGTGTATCGATGGTATAGAATTCATCAATCTTTTTATCTGGCATAATCTAAGAATAGGTTTTGGTTTAGAATGTAGAAACTAATTTTAAACAGAATAATACTTTTTTCTTAAATATTTCTGATTCTTGATGAAAGCATGCATTAGTAATTGGACAAAGTTTATAGGTGCATTAATTTATATTGTAAGGCTTCATCTACGTCCATGTTTGGTTGTTTTTCGTAATACTTGATCATATTATTAACAGTGGTAGTCAATCGTTCTAATTGTTCATATTATTAAATAATTAATTGTTCTTAATATTTTTAGGGAACAGAAAACTATTAATTAAGTCTAACTGTGCCAGATAATTGATCATATGATTCCTTCATTGTTTATTAAGCTTTTTAATAATCATTGCATTGAGCCTCTTCTTTTTTTAAGACTTCAAGCCCATCCTCTGTAATTTTCTAGACCAATCCAACAGTTGAAATATATTCATTTAGATTTTTAGACAAATCCTTTTAACCAGCTAGAATCTATTCAGAAGTATCTAGAACAGATTTTGTATCAATTTGAAAGACTATTTGAGAAATTGGCTAGATCATTTATTACCATTACTAATTTTAAGCAGGTTGATTAATAAAGGTTTTTTCTGTTTCACCGATCTTTAGAGTCAATGCATTATATTTTTCTTTAAAGGCATTAGAATCATTAATGAGAGTTTGAATCTAATTTTATTGAGGATATTATAGGCCATTTTATATAATCATTCCTGGTTATTATTATTAAGGCGTGGTAGCAAATAAATTAGGTTATTATCCAAAGGCTGGTTATGTGTTTCCAAATAGATTAGGAGTAGTTGTCGATGTTTGACCAAAAATACCTTAATTTTGAGCTGGTTATCCTAATAATGATGTTTATCCAAATCCACCTATGGAATATTATATATGGAAATACCTATCCCGGGTTAAGTTTAAGTATTTGTCTATCCAAACAACATATTATTTTATTGTGTTGTTTATGGGTTGTTAAAGAGGTTATTTGGTTATTGGGCAGCAGGCGCAGTGAATATGGAATTTGTTTAAGGAGGTTTATTTCCGAATAAACCTTATGGTGGATTATTATTGATCATATTAAATACTTTAATTATTTGTTTAAATAATTTGAATATTTATTTTAGTAAAATAATGGATAATTCTCAATTCAATGGATAGTTTAAATATTATGTAAATTGAGGAATATATTTCTAAGGATAATGATGACCATAAGATAACAAGAGAATTTTATTTGAAATCCTTTCAATGTCAGTCCAATTAAGCGGCATCAGTTTGAAGGCTAATGATGTTAATCCATTTCTATCAAATGAGCCACTGCAACTGGAGAAAGTATCACCTAGATAATTTAAATAAAATACCATAATTTTCAATGTTAAATGACTCTCCCTAACAAGATGCTTTAAAGTGCATAGATTAACCGTTATATGTCACAAATTATAATGAGGTGATGTAAATTCCATCATAAGTACCACTCACCTACTATAAATCTACATAACTCATTAAAATTACAATCATCTTTTTCTATAACGAATTCTTCTTCCCAAACATAAAAATAAAACTTGCTGAGACTGTTGGCACAGAAATTATGACATTTATAGATTTATCTCTATTCATAAAATATTCCTATCGCTACTATATTTTGTTTATTGTATTGGATTTTGACTCTACTAATTTTATCTATCATTCCATCATCAAAATCGTCCCCCTAGGGTTTACCAATCGGTAGGTATTTGCCTTCCATCTTTTAAAATCAATATTAATTTAATTATATATAATTTATCAAAGTCAATTTATTTATTCCTATTTGATATCTGATTAAAAGTTAGTTTGAGGATTCTACTGCTTATTCTATATCATCGATTGATCAATGTCACCTAGTTTTTACTCAATAGATGCCCATTAAGGTAAATTAAAATAAATAAGATCGGAAGTGACCCATTGACGTTTCATGTCATCATCCTTATTCTTTAAACATTGTTGCAATATAGCTTATTACGAGGCTGGAGATTTCCCTCTTTTTGGACTATTCTTTATCATAGATTTTGATGAATTTAATTTCGATTAAACCTTCTTCCTCTTCTTTGGTTATTACTCTTCGTCACTTGAATTCTACACCTCCAATCTAGCCTTATATTTATGCTTATCACAAAAAAACTTAAACTGATTCTCTATCAATTTGCCTTATCATAACATATTTTGCTTTACCTGTTTGGGAACTCTTCATTAGACAGGTAAAATGAAATGATTAAGGACACACTGCACAACAAATTGTTGCTCCCGATCTGCTACACAAAAAACATCTCTAAAATTAATGATATTCTTACAGTTTTCTTAGATTTCTCAACCTCTTCATCTATGTTCTTGGGATCACTTTATTCCAACCCATTAAAAAACACTAAATTCTAACTCCATAATCCACACATCTCATGTATTTAATACTTCTAACTTGAATTATTGTTTGAAGGTATTAATAAAAGAGCCCCTAAATTTTAATCATTTGCTTCCAAACCACAAAATGCACAATTACCATCATTTTACTTTGGGTATATTAATTTTTAATATTAAAATTTCTATAATCTCCCAAACGTTATGACAGATTCCTTTATTTCTTATCTTTGTTTCAATATTGGTTTGATCGTTTCCGTCTACTGTTCAGATGAATTTTAATTTTATGTTGTAACCCTCTATTGATTATTTTCTTTTTAAGAGTTTTAATTTTATTAAGTCTAAAATTATACCGAGTTCTATGCTTATAATTATTAGACTTGCAATTAAAGGTGTGTTTATTATTGACCTAAAGTAGATTAACTCTGGTTATAAGAATTTTGGCCTGGCTGACCTGAATTCCTTGTTTATTTGAACAATGGGTAATATTTTTAATCTTGCTGTACAATTTTTTAGGGGACTTTTTATTCAGTCTATTTGTTTGTTTACTCTTATTGATTTAATTCCTCAATTACATATGTTTATGGATTGGAGGGAACCATCTCTTTCAAATCTCTTAGTTATTTATCCGCTTCCTTATGAAACTTATTAAAATATTCCAAGATCTTCAATTGATTATATGATTGTTTATCTAGTTGTTTCATGCTATTGGAGTCCTCAGTAATATTATTCAAATGATATCTTCGCTCCATTTTTTCTTATTATTTCCTTTTCAGATAATTGGTAAATTTTTGAAGAGTAGCCTTTGTTAATGCTAATAATTGATCGGCATCTGAAATGGCTTGTTCAAACTCTTCAGCGGCTTATTCTAAATACAAATTCATTAAATTATTTATATTAATTTTTTCAAAAAATAAACATGACTTTGAATTGAACTTATTAAATTTTAATGTATTGTATTTTTTTTATGTTTTTCGTTTTTTATCGATTATATATTCTATATATTCCTTATATCTTTATTATATATTGTATATATCAACACACACACAAAAATTAAACATTGGCTACCTAATTTATTTTTCACTCTTTTCTTCGTTTTCTTCTTATTAATTTACAGACTTTTTTTCTATAATAAAATAGTAATATTTGATAAATCAAACGTATTATCATTTGCAATATGAAACTGCTTCAGACTTGAGAAAGTAAGGAATCTCAGAATCTGAAATCACATGAGACCCATGTTATTTAGACTGAAACCAGTCATCAAATAAGATATTTAATGACTTGAATTTAGTTTCATTAAATATTTAACGTATTAAAAATAATATGTTCAGAATTAATAAATATTTACTCAAACTATCATCAAAGGATTTCATATAGTTTTCAATCCTTAATATTAACCATTTTATTAAAAAAAAACCATAAATTCCTTTGAAGATACAACCCTACTTGAAAGAGTGGAAATAATTTTGTATTTTAGGATTCTATTTTCCTATATTGAGGTATATTTGCAGTTTTTGGACTTTATCTTCATTTATTTTACGTTTTCTTTGCGCATGTGGAATATTATGGTCTTAGCAGTAGCGTATTTGATGCCCAATTTTTTAGCAGCCTATTAAATACTTAATTCAGTAGTATACATCTTTGATTTTAAACCCTTCCATGAATACCAATTAAGCAAGCTATTCCTTTGCATTAGACGGTACTTTAACGTAAGTTCGTTTATATTCTTAAAAAACACCTGGCCCTAAATTATTTCGAGGTCTAAGTTCCTTCTTTTCCTACGATTTCTAAACTTCAGAGCTGGCATTATTTGAATATTCATTTTCATTGAGACAACGAATTATGTTCATTATAATTAATAATTTTGATCCCTTCAACATAATCTTGAATATAAAGAGATATTTTAATGCGTCATAATTAATTAAACATGAGTAAATTTTATAAATCTCATGTAATTGATTCATATCAACTCGTCATGTTGAAATTTAATGATTTAACATTATCATTTTTAATGATACTTTTTGTACATTTTATAGGAAAATATACGGTATCAAATAAAATTTAAAATTAACTCCATAATTAATAAAACAAAAAACTCGCATTATTTAATAATAATAATTAATTAAATCTAAGAGGTTGTCAAGTGAAACAGAGAAAGGAATATTTAAATTCTCGTGATATTAAATAAATTAGACATTATCCTATTTTTATATTTATTCCATAATTTTACTAAACACTGCAACTTATACAATAGAAAAAAGATACCATATTTATTCTTTCCACTGACACAAGCTAATTATTAATATATAATATTGTCTCATCTTAGGTTGAATGGAATAATATTTTTGGTAAATTTTAAGAAAAACCAATAAAAAATAATTATTTAAGTTTTCACTTTACTAAACTAAGTTGAAGCGATCTTCAAATTCGAAAATATCTTATTAAGAGAAACAGATTAAGTCAATTTTGGTACTTTGAGAGGTGGGATTAATTAGGAAGTATTGATACATCCATAGTAGTTTTAGTTTATAATACATTTCAATTATTTCATAAAACTCAAGCGTTTGAAAAAAAGAATATTAATCTCTTAGAATCAATAATTCCCATAAATTAAATATAAAGAGAGTTCGAAAAAACATTAAATATGTGAGAAATTTAAAAAGGAGAGGAATTTAGGTTATTATAAATAGAATGGCAATACAGGAGCCAAATTTTAATAACCAGCATTTTAATTTGATGTCTGACTCAGAAATTCTTAATTTATTTAAGTCACAATACATATCTTCATATGCGTTCAAAAAATGCGATACATTCAAATTCTCTGAAAGAAGCTATTTATTGTACAAATTACCTCATTATTAATGAAGAAACGAAATATTATTAGTTAATAATTATAGTTTTTGCTTATTTTAGATAATGATATTATCTTTAGAAAAATACATCAAGATTTTACTACTTGAAAATAAATGTAAAACCCTGCAATTATCAAACTGGAAGATTTCTTTCTTTTATTAAATACTTCTTTCAACAGGAAATATCTCCTTCTAGTGCACAAAGATAGTTATCAATTTTGTTTTGATTGCCATCTATTTTGTGGAAATATCTTAGTTTTGAAGAGAATAAATATTTGATTAAATAAAGTTTATATATATATATAGTTTTATTATGAAGGATGATAATTGATATAGAGAGGCAAAGTTATAATAGATTTCAATAACAAAATAAATTGATTTATTTTTTTTTTATTGATATAAATTGATTAATAGGGAATGATGAAACTTGTCAAAATTAAAGATTTTTGATAAAATTAAAAAACAACTACGGTTTCTTTGTTTTATTAATGAGTTTTTGATTGAAATTGAAAATCTGATTAAAATAATCGTTGATTATAATGGAAAAGATAAAATCAATTTTTAATTATTAATTGTATAAGAGAAGAATGAGAGTTACATAATTGAGAAATGAAATATAAAAATAATAATTATATAAATCAAATTTAGTTGAAGAAACAATTTATAATGAACATGGAATCTCTCAGTTTTAGTTGTATTAGGCCACATACGTTTTTTTCTAAAACATATTTCTTGAAAGTGATGGAGGATGAAGTTTGGATATCGGCTGTAATTCTTTATCCAAATATTCAGTTTAGCAATTACTAGAACCCAAAATATCGAATAGAACTCAAATTAACGACATAAATTTTATGGAAAATGGGAAAGCAATCATTAAAAGCCTTTGGAATAATTTACCAGAATAAAATTAAATATTTTGAAGCCTAATAGATACATCTTGAATCCTTAAAAACAACTATTGGAGCCAAAGTGATTTATAGGAACATGGCATCATTTTATGAGCCAGTTGAATTTATAGGAGAAGGATTGTCAGCTAAAGTAAATGCAATTATTATTTTAGGTATTCTAAAGTATTGAGAAGAAGACCAAAAAAGAAGTGGCTGTGAAAATGATAAAATAGGAATTTGGAAGAGAAGATCAAGCTTTGGTAAGTAAACTAAATTGATTTTTATGTTTTAGGACATTGTCAAAACTGAAGTATCAATTCTAAAGTCACTTAACCACTAGAATATTATAAAGGTCCTTGAAGTTTATGAAAACGATCAAACTTTTTGGATAGTTTAAGAATTTGTAGCAGGCACTCCATTAAGTCAAATATTAAAACAAAAGCTTCCAATCCATTAAATTAAAACAATCATGATTGTAATATTAATAAAACTACAAATAGGGCTTATTGCAAACTGTTTGCTATTTATAATCTTAAAAAATTGTCCATAGAGACATAAAACCAGAAAATATCATAATATAAAAAGATAATTCGATAAAAGTTATAGATTTTGGGTTTGCAGCAAATTTAAAGTTTGGATCAGTCAGCAGTGTATGTGGTACTCCAGGATATTATGCTCCAGAAGTATTGAGATAGAAGGAATCAAGCTTTAATTCAGATATGTTTAGCGTTGGAGTTGTTTTATTCAATTTGTAAAGTATTCTCATAACCAATAGAATAACAAATCAACCCATGTTAAAATCAAAAATGTATAATGCCTAATAATATGTTGCTGATGAAGAAGCAGCAGATCTTTTGAAGAAAATGTTGGAAGTGGATCCAATTACACGAATTACTGCTTCACAAGCTTTGGACCATCCCTATTTCAAGGATGAAATGGAGAAAAATATTGATGAAAAGTAAGATTGTTAATTTTCATCAGAAGACCGAATTCCACTACAATAGCAATAAGTAAATATTCAATAATATCAGATTAGAAAATTAATAAATGCCCAGTTGCTAAAACAATGAAATCTCTCAGAACTACTAATATTATTGACTATTGAATTTATCATTTTCATTTCTACTATTTCTTAGTTCTTAATAATTAATAATTTCAATTTAAATTATCTTTTTTAATTTCATTATTATTATATATGTGTATATATATTATTAGTTATTTTTTATAAAACATCAAAAAATTACGTAATCCTAATTGATTAAAGTTCTTATAGTTTGAACTAAAGTTTGTTCGAACATAAATTAGAAGGAGATGTTTTTAAAGTGATACTAACAAAAAAAAATAAAGAATATAAAAATGACTTTGATAACAGAACTACCATTAATAAAAAAGATCAATACAATATATCATATATAAATTTCAATTTGCAGTCTAAATCCACTATAGAATACCAAGTAAAAAGGAATGATAGAATAAATACAAACTTAATTTAAGAAAAAATTGAAATAAAAAATGAGATATACTTATATAATACGGTTCAACATTCTAATTACTTATTAGTTAATGAGATCGAAAATTATTATCAAAAACTGATAATTTAATAAAGAGATACCTAATACATTCTATAATTCAACTCCAATACATATCAAATTGTTTATTTTGTTTTTGAAAGAGCTTGAATCTTAACATTTATTTTTCTCAAGTGAGTATGATTCAAATTATTAATTATCTCTCATAACACTAGAAATGATAATTAAGTAAGTTCATATTCTTCTTACACTGAGATTGTTTACCTCTTGAATAAATTCATTAAAATTAAAAATCAGGTAGCAATTGAATAACAATAAATAAAGTCTAGTCGTTTTGAGATACTGTTAGTATTTAGCACCCCTAACTTTTCTAATAAGAATCAAACATTATTTCCTAAATGATATACTCATTGCTGCGCTGTTATATAATTTAATTATTTATTAATGGCATAAGAACCTAATCCATTTAGTAATAATATACAAATATCATCAAGAGCATGTGACATTTATGGACACTAATTGTGCAGCAAAAGCAGCCATGGTCACTGTAGCTGGAGGTGCAATGGGATTTTTAATGGCTTTGTTTATGAATGCAGTAGAAATGAGAGACATGGATTATGGTAGAACCAAGTAATCAACTCGATATGTGTTAAGAGTAAATAATAATTCAATTCTAGAGAGATATCAACAAAATGTTTGGGATGGCAAAAGGATTTGCTATTTTTGGTGCTTTTTATTCAATATTTGAATGTCAATTAGAAAAATTAAGAATTAGAGATGATGCAACTAATTCATTTCTTTCTTGCATGTTTTCATCTATGGTACTAGCTGCTGAATCAGTGGGATGGAAGGGTTTAATGATGTCAGGATTAGGTGGAGGTATGTTTGGAGGGGTTATGTATTATGTTTAGATAAAATTTATGAATCACTGATATATTTTATTATTAAAATGAAAAAATAATTTCAATTCTAAAAAAAAAATAAAGAATGGCAATAAGAATTTCAAGATATAGATGATTAAGCAGTTCTAGAAAAAGTATAATTGCCACCCTCTGAGGATGAAGAATAAGTAGTTTAAGAAGAATAATTAGTAGAGTAAGCCAAATCGGATGAGGAAAACGAAATTGAAATTATAGAAGAAAAAGAAGTGATTAATGAACAGCCAAATGAGAAATCCAAGAAAATAGAATGGTTAGACTCCGATATTGAAGGTGTTGATGATATAGATGATGAAGAAGAATTAATTGAAGACGCAAATGAAATTGATCATGATTAAAAAACTATTTTTGTATAAGGACTTCCACTCAAAATAAGTGATAAAGAGATAGCTGATTTCTTTTCAGAATACGGGACAATTGTGTCACTTGAAATTCCTCGAAATGAGGGATCTTAATTTACTAAGAGAAGAGCATTTATTGAATATAGCACTGTTAGTGAAGCGTAGGGTATTGCTATGCTTGATCTAGAATTGAAAGGGTGTCCGCTTAAGTTGAGGATTGGAATTTAGCAATAAGAAGATAAAAGAGTAAAGATGTAAAATGATAGAAGTAGAAGTAGAAGTTAATCAAATTGAAATAAACAGAATGATTAATTTATACAGTTTATATATTTCTTTAATTAACAGAGTATCATATAAATTTTTTAATTAAAAATCATGGACTTCTTAGGAATCAAAAACAACAAATTTGTTAGGAATAAAGAACTTTATAGATAATAAGAAGAATTGTGCATGAGAGATGATTATCTATTATAAATAGATAACGACACTCATATTATTGTTCCAGAATCTCCAGATTTTAAATTCATATAAACGATAAAAAGAAAAAGAAATCATTGACTACCTAAAGAAGGAATTGAGCTCATTTTTATATTATTTTGTACTAAAATTCTAATCCTAATATTTTATACATGAAATTTCTTCTTTAGATAAGATCAGGTTTTTCGTTTTGTAACTTGACAATTTGCCAAAAGCTCAAGAACTCATTTTCAATAGAAGCAATCTTATAACAATACATTTTGGAACGTATTCCTTGTGTTCAAATGGGGCTCAATTTCGAAAACACATTATTTAGATACTTTGGAAATTTAAGTTGAATATTCAATAATAAATTGCTCATACAAAAAAAGAATAAAATTCGGTAAAATTAAAACATCATTTAGTTTTTATACGGGTTAGTTTCCATTATAACTTTATAATTTTATTTAATGATCATTCACAAGTATTAGTGGTCTTCAATTATAACAACTCTTATAGAATTTGTCAAAGTTTTAACATCTTTAGTCTATTAGAAAGCGTAATCCTCCAACATCATCATCAATAGACCCTCCTATCTGAGATTGCATTTACTAATTTATGGATGCAATGGAGATGGTTTAATTAACCAATCAGGCGACTCAATTTCCATATTAAAAAGACAGTATTCTAATAATCGAAAATAATTTTTCTCCATCTTTAATATCTGTAACGCTTCTAAAACATAGGCTGCTTACAAAAAAATCTAGAGTTGTAGAGAAATATTTAGTTGGCCAAAAATTTCATCAACTCCTTAGTTAAGAAGTTCTTAGGTACAAATATATCGATTAAACATAGATTGGAGAGTGATTGATTTTTTGACCTAGAGCATAATGATTTAAGTCCTCTCATTATATTAGTTTTTAGCCTCCTTTTAACTTATTTCTTTATGGTCAATTAGGTCGAGCAGGTAATTGTTATATTTCTGATATTTTTTGTTCGTATTAATCTAAACCTATCCAGGGATGTAAGGGCAGTATATCCTGGTTGTGAAATCAAAGATGGGCCCATTGAATCTAAAGAAATGCATGTCTGAAGGTGTCTTCTTGCTATATGATTGATAATCATCATAGAACACATGGGACCGAGTCTAAAAGGATGCCTGAAAGAGCACTTAAACTAAAATAAGTAACTTCCTTTTATTTGCTGTATTGTCTCTAAGAATACTCCTTCTCCTGCATTGGAATGATCAATAATGCTCTCTCTTAGATTGGGTTTGAATATTAAATTTTTCATTACTCCTTGTGTCTTTGATTTCTCCCAAATTGTCATACTATCAGAAGTGTGTAACTTCAAAGACAGATCTTAAATAGGAAATATGTTTGGATCTAATAGTGCTGTAATACGATTGAGTGCTTCTATTTGTGGATACTAAATCAAACTATAAGAACAAGTGGCTCTGTTGAACAAGGTAAAGATTTGTGGCAATAAAGACATTTACTAATATCCCAATGCTCGAGGGGATCCAATATGATGGAGAGCCTCGAAATATAATTCTGGAGTGCATGAGTGTGCAATTTAGCTAGTGCAGCATATCTCAAGGCTAGGTCTTCGCTTTTGAGGTTGGCGTACTCTTTAATAAGGATTTTAGATAAGATGGTCGGATTTCGATATAAATGTCGATACTTAAATNGTTCAAATGGGGCTCAATTTCGAAAACACATTATTTAGATACTTTGGAAATTTAAGTTGAATATTCAATAATAAATTGCTCATACAAAAAAAGAATAAAATTCGGTAAAATTAAAACATCATTTAGTTTTTATACGGGTTAGTTTCCATTATAACTTTATAATTTTATTTAATGATCATTCACAAGTATTAGTGGTCTTCAATTATAACAACTCTTATAGAATTTGTCAAAGTTTTAACATCTTTAGTCTATTAGAAAGCGTAATCCTCCAACATCATCATCAATAGACCCTCCTATCTGAGATTGCATTTACTAATTTATGGATGCAATGGAGATGGTTTAATTAACCAATCAGGCGACTCAATTTCCATATTAAAAAGACAGTATTCTAATAATCGAAAATAATTTTTCTCCATCTTTAATATCTGTAACGCTTCTAAAACATAGGCTGCTTACAAAAAAATCTAGAGTTGTAGAGAAATATTTAGTTGGCCAAAAATTTCATCAACTCCTTAGTTAAGAAGTTCTTAGGTACAAATATATCGATTAAACATAGATTGGAGAGTGATTGATTTTTTGACCTAGAGCATAATGATTTAAGTCCTCTCATTATATTAGTTTTTAGCCTCCTTTTAACTTATTTCTTTATGGTCAATTAGGTCGAGCAGGTAATTGTTATATTTCTGATATTTTTTGTTCGTATTAATCTAAACCTATCCAGGGATGTAAGGGCAGTATATCCTGGTTGTGAAATCAAAGATGGGCCCATTGAATCTAAAGAAATGCATGTCTGAAGGTGTCTTCTTGCTATATGATTGATAATCATCATAGAACACATGGGACCGAGTCTAAAAGGATGCCTGAAAGAGCACTTAAACTAAAATAAGTAACTTCCTTTTATTTGCTGTATTGTCTCTAAGAATACTCCTTCTCCTGCATTGGAATGATCAATAATGCTCTCTCTTAGATTGGGTTTGAATATTAAATTTTTCATTACTCCTTGTGTCTTTGATTTCTCCCAAATTGTCATACTATCAGAAGTGTGTAACTTCAAAGACAGATCTTAAATAGGAAATATGTTTGGATCTAATAGTGCTGTAATACGATTGAGTGCTTCTATTTGTGGATACTAAATCAAACTATAAGAACAAGTGGCTCTGTTGAACAAGGTAAAGATTTGTGGCAATAAAGACATTTACTAATATCCCAATGCTCGAGGGGATCCAATATGATGGAGAGCCTCGAAATATAATTCTGGAGTGCATGAGTGTGCAATTTAGCTAGTGCAGCATATCTCAAGGCTAGGTCTTCGCTTTTGAGGTTGGCGTACTCTTTAATAAGGATTTTAGATAAGATGGTCGGATTTCGATATAAATGTCGATACTTAAATAATTCACAATTTCTCATTTTGTAACAAGTACTTAATTGGTTGGCCTTCTTCTGAAATCAAGAATTTACAGAAGTCCTATTTGATTTGTCGCCCGTTAGCCAGCTTCTCATCGTACAATTAAGGGGTTTGTCTCTTGAGAAACTTGTACAATGGATGAGTAAATTAACCATTCAATTCCACTTTCTAATAGACTTTGAATCCTTGTAATTTATCGGCAATCTGCTAATAAGTGAATGTGTGATCGCATTTAGGAAAGAGGAGTACTGGATAGGGTAGAGATTTCAAATAATTCAATTGATCATTCAATTCAGGAGAGTCAATTGCAACATTAACTATGAGTACTTTTTGACCCTTATATTGAGAGAGTGATTCTTCTGACTTATTAATATCGATGACATTGATTTCATGAATGGATTTAAATGGAGTTTCAACAGGAGAATCCAAAAACCATAACTTTCGTATTCCTGAATTTCCCATAATTAATTAATTAATTTTTATATTTTTCCCGTTATTTATAATTGGTATATATAAATAAATATATATATTAATTCGTTAAAGATGGACGACAAACTATACGAATTGTTCCAAAAAACACTGATAGAAAATTCGAATGTGAATATCTAGAAGATTGTATAAGGATAAGCAAGAGTGATCCAATAGAATACTCAACCATTAGGTTAAAAAAATGAGGCCATTTCAATAAAGGATGTTTAGAAGAAGTTGGAAGCCATAGAAAAGAATTTAATGATACAGGATTCAGCCAGGAAAAGAAGAACATCTCGTTATCATTCTAAAAAGTGTAGCATTAAAATTAATACTCAAAATGGGTCGAATTCTCCATCTCCATATTAATTGGATTTTGAAGATGCAAAGGATTACGAAGTTGATATTTTAAGAAAGGAGAATCAGAGATTATAAGTATGACTAAAGTAATTAAATAGGAACGCTTAGAATAGTTGAAATCATAAAATGGGGATGATAATTCAGAGGATTTGAATCGTGAAAGAGAGATTCTTCAAAAGATGAAAAAGGATTACTAAATTAAAGATGATGAATTGAAGATATTAAATAACAAATTAGATCTACTGGAAATTGATTTAAATAAGAAACATTCACAACTATTACAGAGATCTAAAAAACTGGAAGTGTAACAATAGACTCTATAAAAGAATGTATATTATTAGATGAATAATAATTAGGAAGAACAAATCAAAGAAAAGAGAGATTGCATTGATGCATTACAACAACAAATCAATCTAAATATTTCTTAAGTGATCTCACTGAATAAGTTTTAATTATTATAATATTTTTAGAAATGAATTAAAACTAAAATTACCACAGAAACTGGGAGTCCAATTAGATGTAATTGAACAACTCATTTTATCAACTTTTAAAGAAAGACAAGTAGCTTAACAAGAATATCTATGTTTAAGATAATTGAAGAATGTTGTTAAAGATCAATAAAAAGAATTATTAAAGAAGATCTAAATCTGAATAACTTATCAATCATCATGATCCACATGAGCTTATTAAATACTTTTAAAGTACTAAACAATATTAATTGCAGAGAACTTTTGTTCTTCTCTCTTTACTTATTTTAATTATTATCGTAGGGTTTACTTTTTGCCCCCGATTGTGTTGCCTAAAAGATTTGTTATCTAACTGGATAGGTGCGGTAACTCAACTCTGGGATCATAAGGTGGTTCATCTCCATCAGTAAATGAGTCTTCTAATTTCTACTTCAAAGATTTGAAATCGTTGATCATGCACTTGTCTACTCCCCGTATATCTGGATCAGTGGAAGGCAATGCTTGTTTCATATCATTCCCTATAACCAAGTAAACATACAATAGAAATCCATCTAATTTTGGAGTTAAATCTTTGGCTCTTCTATCGTCTATATCTATGGGCTTGTCTCCCCTTATGATGGATAACCTTTCTGCAAGTCTGCCTACACTTTCTACGAATTCATGGAAGTTCATCTAATAGTGTTTGCTAGAATAGAGTTCATCTTTTTGAGTTATCATTGATTGTAAATAGATTAGATAGCATTCTCTTTCACTCAGGTCATCACATATTAATTTCGATTGTACAATCCAATCCTTAAAATCCTATACAGAAATATAATCGTATTTGCACACTTACTTATCCTTCTTACTCAATTTGCATATATATTTAAAAAGAGATTTCAACATCGCCAATCGATCATTCAGTATGATGTCGCATTTTTAATTCCATAATCTAGCCTTTCTCCACATCTAAGCCTAATCAAATTTCGCAAAATAGTCTTAAGCTTATTTTGTCACCAGAGTTATGGCCTCTGTCATTGATGAACAGAGTCCTTGCCTTAGAAATTTATCATTGCACATTCTTATCATTATTTCCAACAATTAGCATCGAACCAATCCCTTATCGAATGCTTATGGAAATGGAACATCCTTTGCTGCAGTCGTTGATGTGAAACTAATATCAATGTCATTAGTCTTGTACCCATCCATCAATGAAGCCTAGACTAAAAAGTCGATATAGTCTTAGATCATTATGGATGGAATAGGGGCTGCTAATGAACCCGAGGCATGATATTTGTAAACATGAAACAACTGTCGGTACAGAAGCTTTAAATTCTCTTTAATTTCCAATAGTTCTGTTTCTTTCACTAAGCGAGTTACTTTTGAATTCTGAAAATCAAATTCAAAGCATTCATCAATCAATTAGGGTGTGTCTGGTTAAAAATGTTTAAATATTGAATTTTCAACTGACCATCTATGTTTCTTTATATTCAAGTACGGAGAAAAATCAAATTTAGCCATAGGTTCTCTAGGCTTACATTGCACCATTGGCATATATTTATCAAATAATTGCTATTTATTGGTCGTTCTTAAAACATTAACTTGCTCCATTGCGTTTCCATCAACCAGAATTTCATCATTGTACAAAAATGGAATCGATTAAATTTACATATTCTTAATATTCTAATCCATGGCTGGTTGTTGAACTCCGAGGATTGGATTAGTAAAGAAGTAGTGTATTTCTTTGTTTGGAGGACACATTTTAATAAAAAAGAACTCATTATTAAGAAATGTCATTAATAAAGGTCGATAATCTTCGAAATCAAAGTGAATAAAGATAGGCTCATTGTATAAGCTTCCAGATTTATGAGCTGTCCATTCAAACTTAATTTCTTACCACCCTTCGCATATCCAACATGTATCTAATTTATTTATTTCATTCACTTTCTGAACATTCATCTTCGTAGATCGAATTTTTCTTGATCTACTAAAGGGCATTACAAGAGATTCCTCTCTCCTTATTATAGTTTATTCAACTTTGGCCTCTTCCAACAATTTAAAATACTATGGTTATTTGTAGAGTTGAGTTAATTTATCTTTTAATTGTGTGTGGTACACAATTTTGTTAATTAAAAATCCATTTGGATTGACACACAATTCAGCTTAATTGCCTTCAAAATGAAATCCATAAATAGTTTCATTCTTTTGAAGAGCATCTGAGATGATTTAAGCTTATGGGTAGGTAAATTTGTTAAAAGAAAGATCTACATGTAATAATTCATTATAAGGCCTTGATACAGCTTTATTGATAGATTAAGCACATTCTAGAGATGCAATATTGTTATGAGATAAATCTAATATTTTAACACTAGTATTTTTATACATAGCTTTCCAAATAGTAGTACCAGCACTTGCATTTAGATAATTGTAACCAAGATACAATTCTAAGAGTCGTTGAGTCTATTTCAATAAATTAGAAATAGATGTACTAGCACACTCTGTGATTTAATTATTGTTAAGATTAAGTGATTATAATGTATTGTTGTTGAGCAGATGTTTCATTATTATTTGCGATCCAAAATCACGAATATTATTACATTCAAGATTCAACTTATAAATTTGATTCTTTCCTACGAATGACATCAAAATCTCCATATGCATATAATTTAATTTGCAATTTTATAATTCTAAGTCTTTCAATGTAATTGGAAATGTAAGTAAGATATCTCTTAATTATTTGGGAGTAAATTGATTATGATTCAATTACATGACTTGAATCTATCTGCTCTATTGAGTAAGCATGGCATTAGAGAATGCATTCCCATCATCAATATTTCTTATTGATCTGCTAGCATTAGCAGTTACTAATGATCGAGTATTCTGAATCAAACCAAAGGTTTTAGGGACTCGTTCAGCCTATGAGAAGTTTAGACTTAAGTATAGATTTTGTGGTTGTTGTTTATATAATTTTGAATAATCTTCCAATTTCTAGGAGTATCTAACAGTCTTTAAAAAATCTTGTGTGCTGATAACAGATAATTGCTTGCTTAAGTTGATTAATGAAATTTTACTTGCCTAGTTTCATCTTATAAAAATAGTTAGTTCTATCATTTATGGGACTTACCATACTTGGGGATGTCTTCATCTTTAATGTTAAAGGAGTCTTTATTTCTGCATTTGTTATGTCTTCATTATTGATTGATTAAATGGCATGATGCTCCTTTTCTAAGAATCCTTACCAATCGCTAACTTCCATATTAAGCAATTAATCTTAGGCTTCAAAGCTCTCATTTTTCTCTTGTTTACATTGGAATCTCTTCTAAAAGAGTTATTTCTAATTTTTCTACTAAGAATTTCGTTCATTGGTTATATAAGTGTACAATTCTGAAGCCTCACTCTTTTACTTGAAAACTAATCTACGATACGCAGAAGGAGTTGAAGTACCCAAAGTTGTTAGTTCCGAATAATCATCCTTCATGTTATTATTATATATAAATAAATATATATAAAATCAAAAGTCATCCTTATTCCATCTCATTTTGTAACATCTCCTCCTCTTTCTACTTGAAGTATTAGACAACATTGGTCAATAAGAAATTTGATTTCAACTGCTTCTATTGCTGCATCTACTTGATAACCGAGAAGAAGGACAAGGCTTTCTTTAATTTAGTCCCTGTTTGAATTGTTTAGACTGGCACTTGTTTCAATTACTCTTCAAGTGCTGATGCCTCTATAGCTGGATTATAAGGTTTATCTTCTTCCTCACTCCCCATCTCCTCTATTTATTATTATAAGGTCTTTTGCTTTCTGGTCATACACTTATCAAAGTCAGTAAAATCTTCAGCTTCCTTCAATTGCTATTTGATAGCATCTCCCGCTCTCAGATAGATGAGCAGCAAAAAGGCATCAATTTTCTTATGGAGTGGTTCCTGTCTCCTGTCATCAATACTCAAGATGTCCTTGGTTCTAATCAAGGACAGTTTCTCAGCACATCTACACAAGGCTTCAATAAATTCATAGAATTCCATTTGAAAATGTCTCAAACTAAATAACTCATCTACTTGAGTTTGCATCGATAACAAATATGCCAAATAGGCATCTCTTTCAACAAAGATGTCGCAATACAAATCGCATCTGAGCATGAGGTCTCTGAAATCCTTGAATTGAATCCAGGTGTGTTTATAGAATTTCTGCTTGGGATTCAGCTTGCTTGTGTATTTAAATAACAATTTCAGCATGGGCAATCGATCCTCTAAATTATTTAGTGTACTTAGTTACTTATTAACATATCACTCTGCTCATTCCACAATCTCATATCTCTCCAATCCTGAGCTCGATCAATCTCTTGCAATCTGGCCTTAACCAAATCATCCTCAAATAATTTCAAGACACTTAATTTCATTGATTTACATATTCCCGTCCGTGTATACTTATCCAAAGCAATCCTTACGAGCACTTCCATAAATTGGTATCTTACTAATGCCTTCTCATAAACATTTGGATATTGAATGTCCTTAACATTAGATGTCGAGATGAAATTCAAATCAATGTCTCCTGGTCTGAATTTGTCTGTCATTACTGTAGTTTACCCAATAAAATCGAAGAAGGCATTTGATGATATGCAAGGAATCTACACATATAAATCAACTATTTTACACTGGCTCCTATGAGAGTGGAAGCATAGAATTTATAACTAGCAAAGATATACGGATAATATTCCCTCAAGATCTCCTTTACTTCCATCAACTCTTGAGGATCACGGACTATCCTATTTATTTTCGAAGTCTGAAAATCGTATTCAAAACATTCATCAATTAACTCGTCATTATCCGGTTGATAATTTTTGAAGATTGAAATTTCATAACTCCAAAACGCCTACTTTTTATTCATGTACTGAGTCAAGTCATAAGTTCGTTCCTCCTCTCTGGGTTTACTGAATATCTTAGGAACATATTTATCAACCACTGTATGTTTACCTTCAGTGAATACTTCGTTCACAAATGTCATCTTGTTACCTTCAATTAAGATGTCTCCATTGTAAAGGAATTCCTATAACCCTTGAGCAATCGGATCATTCTAAGGAGTTTGCATGATCATCTGATTTTTTGCAGTTGTTTGGATCCCCAGTATTGGATTACTGAAGAAATACAGAATCCTTTGATTGGGTGGACACATTCTATACAGATGATATTCTCCTTGATGAGGATTCATAAGAACAGGACGATATCCATCAAAATTGACATGTAAAAAGATAGGATCATTGTTCATACCACCTGATTTCCCTGGACTCCAAGTGAATTTTACTTCCTCCCATCCTTCACATATCCAACAAGAATCTCGTTATTTATCAAATTACTAATTCTATTTAACCGGTTTCATTCCCCATATCCTTCTAAATCGATGAACCTACTGAATCTCCTCTTTCTTGTGAATAGTCTTTTTTGGCTAAACCACAACATCATCATCCAACAATCTAAGTGAAGTTTATGGGTTTTTCCTGCATTCCTCGATTTTCTTCTGTCTTGCTTATTCTTCCGATTCCCTGTCCCTGAGATGGCCAGTAGCATCAACTGCAAATTTGGGACAATTCCCTTCATAATGGAATCCATAGATATTTTGGTTTACATTTAATGCCTTCATGATTTCAACAGAAGATGGCTCATCAAAACCATTATGCGACACATCAATGTGCATCAACTCAGGATATGGTTTTGCAATCACTCTGGCCATCTATTGAGCACACTCAAAGGAGGCTGTTCGATTGTAAGATATGTCAAAGACCTTTACACTTGAATTCTTGTAAAGGGCTTTCCATATATTGACACCTCCCTTGCTGTTGATGGAATTAAAGTGCAGATACAATTCAAAAAGGACATTTGACTTTTTCAAATAATTCGCTAGATCGTTAGTACAATTGTCTAAATTAGAATGGTTGTAGAAATACCTGTCAAATTGTTGCGACTCAGATTCAACAAAGTCAAGTAATCATTATCTTGTAATGCCACAAAGAGATGATTGGCTCCTAGATCTCCTATTTTGTTGTTTTCCAAGGAGAGCTTCTTCACTCTGGATTTCTGCATGTACTTGGCCAAGGTTTCACAGGATTTGGAATCCAAACCATTGTTATTGAGATCCAGATCCTGAATTTGTTGTGGAAAATTTTCAACCAAACTCTTGATTTTTGGGGAGGTTAATTGATTGTGACTGAGTTTCAATTGAGTAATCTATTTACATTGAGGAGATTAGAGAGCTTCTGTGAATACCCTGATTTTGGACTCGTTCCTCAGCATCCCTTGGGATTCAGCAGTTTAGATGGTGTAATTGGAGTTGATCAAGCCGAGGCCAGCTTGAAAGATATTGTAGACTGAGACTCAATATGAAATTAATACCTTGAGAGCTCTTATTCATTTACAAGTAGATGTTGGGTTGCTGTTTATAGAATTAAGCGTATTCTTCGAGCTTCTTAAAATTTTTGGTAGTGCTCCGAAAGTCCTTTTGATTTATCTTCTGTAGGTTTTTGCTATTCATGTAGGATAAAAGTAACTTACTTCCCCAATCTATAATTTTTTAGAAACTTTCCTCGATCTGATAAATCGTCGTAAGGCTGATCCAGACGATCCTCGTAAAGGTAAGGCTATTGTTTCTTGAGATCTTCAAGTTTTGTAGGCGCTATGAGCGTAGCCCCCCTTCTTTATGGCCTTTGAATTTGGTTTGGTTAATGATGTTTACGATTTAATGGGCGAACTGGACTAGCTTCCTCCTTGGTAGCAAGCCTTTGCGACAGGACTTAGGCTTCTTCGTTTAGTTGATCAATAAGTTTCTGATCTCCTTGGTAAAGATCATACATCGTTTCCATCCTAAGGTTCTATTGCATTTCCTTCAGTTCCTCGTTGTCATTGAAGCGAGCAGTATGCATCTGCATCCTCTGTCGAATGGGTATCTCTGTAATCCGAGTACATGAATTCGTATTGGTAGATGGCATTCGCATTTTCACAATGTCAAGATGCGATTTAACCATGGGAGACTTTTGATTAAGGCTAGTCCACGTACTCCGTACGCTCGTTTGCCGCACTAGATAAGGGCTATTTCGTAGTACCGATCTTCTATTTTTCTGGCTCCTTATTTTAGGATCCCATTTGTTCCTCCTGTTCTTGTTGCTTGCGAACTTCCCGTAACTTCTCCAACAGTTTGGCTGGAGTGTTGTAGATCTTAAGTTTCTCAAACAACATAATTTTATTAATGAAGTAAATTGGACATTATACATACGATCAAATAATTTGTCTCTGATAAGGCGCCTATGGCAGATTCTATGAAGGATTAAACACTCTCAACAACGAAACAGTTGCCATCAAGCATTTAGGCTTGATCCTCTTCGAAAAGGACAAGTATTTAAGCAAAATAATAGGCACAACACCCCTTCTAAATCAACGAAGTGCAGGACATAGAAATCATGAGTAAAAGAATCATAAGAACAGAGTCGAATTTGTCGAGCTCTTGACTACCAAGAAATCCTTATTGATTGTGAACTGAAATGTGTCGCAGTGTAGATCTTTAATCATAGATTACAAGCAGAATATTAGTGAGGAACTAGCAAACTCTTCTTTCCATAGCCTAGGCTATTGATGTTATGTTCTAAATACTTGAAATTGCATAGAGTTAATCAAGAGTGCTTTTAGTCATAAAGATATGGAACCAGCCAATGGCCACAGATACAGGAATTGTTAAAATTACAAATTTTGGATTTGCTGAAAATGTTGAAAATTATATATCCCAATTACTTAAATCTTGTGTTGGAAGTCTCTAGTATATGGTACTTCAAGTATTCGAAAGATAGCATTACAGTACTAATTGTGATGTTTGGTTGCTTGGAGATATTTTATGAAATGTTACACTTAGATGTATGTGGGATTAATATCTTTTTTTCCATCTATAACACCTTAGAAGATTGGGGGAGATGTAGAAGATCTTTTCCACAACATCAAAACTTAACCATTACAATTCAAAATGATCTCAATACGTTTTCAATAAATTTCTTACCATGGTAAATAATATTCTATCTACTATAGATTCTTGTAATGGAAGAAGAGAATAGAGCTTTATGGAATCAAATTTTTGACCACTCCAATAATACTGAAATGTAAAAAGCAATCTCTGCTGAAGATATAACCAAAAAGTGCAGTTGTTTATCAATATTCAACGAAAAAAGCATATAAAAATTACCAACTTGGATTCAAAGAGCTGACATTTAATAAAGATAAACCAAAGCTAGTTGAGTATAAATTACAAAAAAAAGAAGAATCTAGATATGCAGAAAAATTGGTTGAAAATAATGATCAATTATTTTGATGAAACATATTGTTAAAGAATCAAAAAAATTGTATTTAGGTAATTATGAAGATTTAATTTAGCTATATTAATCGCATTAAATACATTAATACTGTATTAAAAATGCTCATTAAGATATTTGCTTTGGAAATTTTAAGAATACCTCAACAGTGGACACACTTTTTATTTTTAAATGTAAATTGACTTTAAAACCTGGTTCTGAATTAAAAATTTAGGTAAACCAAACGATAAATAAATAAATTAAGCAAAGGAGTTATTGTAAACATGTAATAATTCTAATGCAAATATTTTTTGACACATGAGATAGGCTATGTAAAATATTGTTAGATTTGGTTAATAATTATAATAAAATAGCTTAAGTTGGTATTGTAGAACTATCACAATTATAATTACAAAAATTTCGGTTAATGCATTAGATTTTCATCTTCCATATGATAAAATATCCAATCTAGAATTCTTTTAATTCAAACTTATTATAATTGGAATGATCTAATATTGATTATTAAATTTAAATATCAAATGGCATCTGCAAATTAACAATTTTCTTTTTTCCAGGACTATGCCCTCAAGAAAATACAGTTTGTAGTGGACAATATTAGATATGAATTTGATAACCATAAAATGTTATGGTCAACTGATGTTATTGAAGAGGATGATAATCCAGATGATGAGGTGAACAAGGAACAACTGAAAAAGAGAGGACTAAAATAGATTGAATTGAGGGAATAAGTAAGGTAGAATGAACACACCATTTCTAAATTAGCATCGGAGATTCAGTTGCTGAATGATAATATAAATAAATATTAAGAAAAATTATAACAAAGTCAAGCAGAATAGAATCAATTAATAGATGAGTACATTCACGAGCATTTAGAAACTGAGAAGATTAAGGGTGCCAGAGAGAGATTAGATAAACTCAAACGTGAATTGGGACTATGAATATAATAATTATAATGAATAATATTATAGATTTTATAAAATAAAATGGCAATCCATTTGAAACTCTAGAACTTGACATGACAGCCGATAAAAAAGAGATTAAATCGCAATATAAGGAATTGGCCAGAAAGTATCATCCTGATAAGAGTGCGAATACCAAGGAGAAATTCATCAAAATTTAAAAAGCCTATGAGTTCGTAATCCACAATTTAGCAGACATTCATAAATACGTTGAGCATCAGAAATTCAGATAATAAGAACAAAAGAAAATGAGTAGTGAATAGAAGTAATATGCGGAAGATTTAAAGAGAAGAGAACAAATGGCTGAGAGGTAGAAACAATAGGAAGAAGTAGTAAAGCAGATGAAAGTGAATGAAGAAGTACTAAATGTCTTATATTTTAGATGAACAGACTCGAGGAATAGAGAAAATTTGAAGAGAATGAGAAGAAATAGAAGCAAGAGAAATTAATTTAATTTGAGTTGCAAAATCAAGATCTGTATAAGAGATTAAATACAATAAAGATCAAGTGGGCAAAAGATTAATTTTACACGCCCGATTTATTGAGTTTGCTATTCAAGAACTATGGAGCTATTCAGGAGATTAAGGTTTAGGAGAATAAGAGGAAAGCAACTATCACTTTTCATACGACTGAAGCAGCTGTAAATAAATACATAAATTTAGAATAATGCAGTGATTCAATAGAGTGACGGATTTTTGAAGGTTAAGCATTTTATGAAATAAGAAAAGAGACAGTAGATTCAGAAGCAATTGCAAACAGAGAAGGAGAGGATCAATCGGAATGATCAAGATGTTCATCAACTCAGTACTGATACTTTGAATAGGATTTCGCATTTTTATAATAAGGATTCTAAGATTAAGGAAGGGTTGGATGAACTTAAGAGAGAGCAGGAGAGATTAAAATTAATAAATTAAATTTATGAAGAGGAACTAAATAAATGAATCTGATTTTGTATTGTCATTTATATGATTATTGATTTAAAGAGGGTGTTTGATTGCAACCTTAATGAATGGGAATTAATATTAATCAATAATTAGGTTTATAGTATAATAATTAAAAAACGAATACGATTATGGATTAGTAGAGATTTTAGATATCTTATCCCTAATTGTAAAGTATGTTTGACACAGGCAACTTGCAATCTGGTCAATCGATTGAAATATTAGATCAAATAGGGTAAGTTGTAATGTAAATAGAAGGGGTGTTGAATAAATTTTCAGGAGTTTGGAAAGTGATCCCAAAAGTGGAATACAAGATCTGAGCGATAGAGTAGAGCAATTTGGTAGTAACAAGTTGGATCCGCCTGCTTTATCTCCCTTCTATATGTGTATGTACAAATAGAGCAAAGATTTCTGTATTCGAATATTAGCACTTGCAACAGTAATAATGTTTCTGATGGCCTTATTCTCAGAGGAACCATTCGAATAGATAGTGTAAGCATTTTCAATTCTTATTGCAATTTGCGCAGTGGTTATCATTGGTGCATTGACCGACTATAGAAAGGAAAAATAATTTAGACAATTGTATTTGGAATAGGAAGAACAATAGAAAAAACTATTTTAAGTAGTTCGAAATGGAGTGATCTAATAATTGAATCATCTTGACCTTGTTGTAGGAGATATCATAACAATAAAACCAGGAGATAATGTGACTGTAGATGGGATACTCATCGATGGAACTGAGACTGTAGAAGTGGATGAAAGTATGATAACTGGTTTGACTGATTCATTATCCAAATAACCTATATCAAGAGGCAAGAATTGTTTTATAAGAGGAGGTAGCAACATTTTTGAAGGAACATCAAAAGTGATAGTTTTAGCTGTGGGTAAATTTACATACTCAAACAGAATGAAGCATGATAATTAGATTAAGGAAGAGGGCGAAGAAGAATTGATTCATGATGAACGATCCCCACTTGCAAAAGCATTAGAGACATTGGCTAAATTCTTGGTCTTCATTGGTTGTATGAGTGCTTTGGCCATGTTCATTATTTTGGAATTGTATATGGTTAGAGAACTGTAAGAATTGCAAGAGAAAATCTTCTCCCAATTTACTTTAAAGAAGGTCTTATCAGATTTTATAGATGCTTTCCTCATTATAGTGCTCTCTATTCCAGAAGGATTGCCATTAATTGTGACATTATCTTTGGCCTTTTCGATAGCTAAATTGAGATAGTAAGACATTGTGATTAGAAATTTACATGTTTGTTAGGTTTTGGGAGGTATTGACACTATTTGCTTTGATAAAACTGGAACATTAACCTACAATAATCTCAAAGTTAGTAATGTTCACATTGCAAGTGAGGAAAGATATCATAATATTCAATCTAGTGATCCTATTTTTAGAATGTTAGCTGAGGCAGTGTTATCTACAAATTCAGCCTTTTTATCAGAAGATATTATTAACTAAATTAAATCGGGTGAGCAAGAGGAGAGTCAATCTGAACACAGTGGAAAATCGAATAAGAAATCATAAAAATCGAAGGGTTCGTCTTCAAAGTCTATGAAATCTAATAGTGTTTAGGAGGGAACCATAAAAAGCGATTGGAGTGGAAATAGGTTGGATGTTGCTTTAATTGATTATGTGGAATTGAAATTGAAAAGGGAATTCGTTTATGAATATTTATAGGATCTAAAGAATCAGATAAGAAAAACCATTCCAATTAATAATTATGGATTCCATACTGAAATTTTGTAGATAAGGGGTGATAAATACAGGATCATCTTGAAAGGCAAATCCAAAGAAATCATTGAAAAATGCAGTTAACTCAACATCTCAATTCCAGATAACAGGGAATTCGAATTATATGAACCAGGACAATTCAAACTGTAAGATTGTTGCAATCAAGTTATGAACTAAGAGTTTTCAGAATTAGAAAAGAAAGCAGTTCTAAATTACAATTCATAATCACTAAAAACTATATCATTTGCATATAGAGATGTTCAAATAAACAATTTGATTGAATAAGATTGGAATTAATTAATCTCTTAAAATAACTTTACTTACATTGGAACAATAGCTATGAGAGATGACATCAGACAGGAAGCCAAGAGATTAGATAGTGCATTGAAGATGGGTAGTATGAGTGTGATGATATTGACTGGAGACACTAGAGTGAATGCAGTTAATGTAGCCAAACAGTTAGGATGGGTAAGCAGTGATTAAGCAGACCATGAAATATAAAGAATAAGTGAACATTTGCCAAAATCTTCCCAGATGGAGCAACCTATTATCATTGAACCACCATTTATCAATAATGATGAATAATAAGCAATCAAGATCACATCAGCAATAATGGAATGTCCACAGGATGAAATTGCTCCACTCTTGAATAACTAATTTAATCATTAATAAAATCCATCATCCGCTGCACTGAAATCTCTATTGATTTTGAATTTCTAAGAATATGTAATTAGAATTAGAAAGATCTTAAACGATTCTAAAATCTATTATACTCATCAAGAAGTTAATGAAAGAAACATAGTATCCAAAATTCCTGAGATTCTGGATGATGCAATTGCAAGCAAAGTATTATTCTTATAGTTAAACCTAGTCAGTTTCTAATATGAATAAAGTATTGTAAATCTTAGCAGATCTCAATTAACATTAAAAGCATCAATTTTTAGAGGTGTACTCCAATATCAATGAATCCACTATTGGATATGTAGGAGATGGCAATAATGATGCTATTGCTTTGTAAACTGCAGCAGTAGGAATCACATTAGGAAAGACTGCCACTAACATAGCTCGAGAATGTAGTGGAGTAATCTTGATGGATGACAAATTAGATGGTATAGAACTCTGCATGAAATACGGCAGAAACATCTTCTTAAATATCAAAAGATTCATCTACTTCTAATTGAGTTTCTTTTTGAACTCAATTGCCATCATGCTTACTGCCTCTATTGTATTGAAATAATAACCATACACTGTCCTTGAAGTCATTTGGTTGAGCTTGTAATTATATGATTTCATTATTAGAGTACAAGATATATTTTCAGCCATCGCCCTTAGTACTGAGATACCTTAGGATGATATCCTAAATAGAACTAAGCCTGCTAAAAGAGGAGAAAATATCATTGACAAGTTTCTTTTATAAATGACATGCACATAAGCTGTATTCCAATACTTGGCCACTTTGATTGTTCTCTTTTTAACTCCTTTCATTTTTGGCATTGAGTAATGTTTTTTCATTTATAAATTAGGCCTTCTTACAATCATGATTTACATGCCTTAGGAGCAGAATTTGTTTCTGAATGGGCTGTTCATTATACTCTTGTCTATCATTTAACTGCCAATTTCTAGATTGTCAATTTAATATGCAGTCGAAGAATTGGATAGCATGAATACAATGTCTTTGAAGGTATCCAAAAGAACAAACCATTTACTGTGATGATTATTGGCTTGATAATAATTCAATAGGTTATCATTTATGCTGGAGGCAAGTACTTTAAAACTGCTCCCCTAACTATATTTGAAAATCTGTTTTGCTTGATTTTATCTTTTGGAGCCATGATTGTCTTTTGGTTGTCTAAATATTTCTATTCAACTACGAAATGAGATATCAATATAGATATATATATGTAAATAAGAAAATTTAATTTAATTTATAATCAATATACAACATATTACTTAATCTCAACATTATTCAATTATTCTTATTTTCTTATCTAGGAGGTGAGTTGTTCTTCCCTTCTGATAAAAATTAGACTGGCAAATAAGATTAATGAGATAAAAAATTAAGACAATATCACCCCTGCTCCGAGATTGTAATTGTTAATTGTTTAATTGTTAATTGCCGGCATCAAAATTATTGACATTATAATTAATGTTATTCCTGGGACTGCAACTGAAATAATGGATATGTAGTTGAAGATTACAGTATTCCCTGGCAAATTCGATTATTTCAATAAACACATCGTTAGTGCTATCACAATTAAAACCAAATCAATAATTGTAATAGGATAGGCAGCTAAAATTGTATTACATATGTATTCATTCTGACAATCTGATGCACTAAGTTTCTCTTTAAACAACAATTTGTTATTGAACTTGCATTTCTTTTACCCATCATATTTTAAACTGCATTCTAAATATTCCCCAGAATACTCATATCTATAAAATTGATAATTTGAAAATAACAAAATGATTAGCCATACGCCAGCAGCTGCCAAAAAAACAATTTGCAATGTTGAATTTGTTTTTGGATTTATCCTATTTATGTATGAATTCATAAAAATTTTATTTATACAAACAATACTATGATGTAATTATTTAAATTTCATACCATAGAATGCACTCATTTTGATAAACATATTTAATTCTAATTCCAAAGTGATACCAAAGAAGATAGTTCTCAAGATAAGTCATTCTACCAAGCCAGATGAAGATTTATTTTGAGGTTCAATGTGAAAAGATTGGCTGAAATCGGATTTGCCGATACTTATACTTATAATGCATTAAGATCCCACTTGAAGAATGAGAAAAAAATGTAGAATGTATATCAAAATTAACTGAAATTTCATGGAAATATAGATAAGGATAAGAAAGTGACTCAACATATCAAATAAGGCCAAGTTGAATCTACAAAATGTAATGCAAAGATAAGATTATTAAAGATTTTATTACTATTATCGGAAATGATCAGATTCTATTAATAATTTGATTTGTTAATTGCATCTAAGGAGAAGTTTAGAGCGGTACAGATATTATCTTACTTTCAATGATTGGATATACTTCTTTATTTCGAATTATTTAGATAATCTGAAAGGTATCATTTATCCAATAGAAAATGATTAAGTAATTTAATGAATAAAATAATTTGATGTAGTAGAAATTAAAGCTTGATGAAAAGGATTCGAACCTTTGAACCCTCCAACATAATTGGTTATACTTTAGCCATTCTATTGTGTGAAAGATCAAATATTGAACTTTATTTAGAGATTGAGAGGAAATATAAAACTAATGTATTTAGGAATCTGTTTAGATTTCTCAATCTCGTTAAATAGATAAGATGATGAAGTTTTATTGAATTATTTTGTATTTATATTTTGGTTCTGAGGGATTTATATATTATTTTTTTGTTGTTTTAATACATAATAATGATTTTGGAGATATATATTAGATTCAGAGTGATTTAGATTGATTTTTTTCCTTATTTAGAATGATAAATTGTTATTTTGGAGAATTCATTAATGGAAGGATCTAAAAAGTGTTAAGCTAGCCCTCCTAGCTCAGTTGGTCAGAGCGTTGGCCTTTTAAGCCAAATGTCAAGGGTTCGACCCCCTTGGAGGGCGGTTCTTTTTTATTTTTTATTATCATATATAAATCTTGGATTTTAAATGTAAATACAAGCTGTAATTATCAAATAATTAATTGATTTTACGACTATTTATGAGAATTTAATTATAGAACAATATAAAGTATAATTAGAATGGGACCATTTATCTAGTAGGTTAATTTTTATTTTATATATGATAATAAAAAATAAAAAAGAACCGCCCTCCAAGGGGGTCGAACCCTTGACATTTGGCTTAAAAGGCCAACGCTCTGACCAACTGAGCTAGGAGGGCTAGCTTAACACTTTTTAGATCCTTCCATTAATGAATTCTCCAAAATAACAATTTATCATTCTAAATAAGGAAAATAATCAATCTAAATCACTCTGAATCTAATATATATCTCCAAAATCAGTATTAAACAGCCAAAAAATAATATATAAATCCCTCAGAACGAAAATATGAATATATTTACAGAATCAATTGAAGAACATTTCCTTTTATTATGTATTTTAATAGATAGATATATCTGAAATGATTCTTTATACATAAATTTTATATTTCTACTTAATTTTTAAATCGCTTTAATAGATTGATCTTTCGCACAAGGGTAAGTGCAACCAACTCATCATTGGAGGGTGGAAGGTTCGACTCCTCCGAGGTCAAATATTTTTAATTTTTCATTTCTATACATTAATTTATTTTATTTAAGACTTTTAGAATTCCATTATTAAATTTTTTAATAATTTCTTTTGGATAAATATCTATTCTATTGTTCTAGAAAATCCGAACAAATTATTGATTATACAACTGGGTTGAATTAGTTTTTCTATAAAAAGACTCATATGCAAAATCTATTATTCAATTTTATGTAATATTTATAGAAAACTCTAAATCAATTTGTTGAATTATTAATATATGAATAAATTATTTCGCTTTGCCAAAGTGATTGCAAAATCGATTTTCAAACCTGTTTAAACAAGTTTTTATAGGATTCCTTAAATTAATCAAGTTGTAAGTGATGATCATCGAAAGAAACACTCATTCAATACGCTTGCATTCTAGTAATTTAAATTAATATATATATTTCTAGGAACCATTTGCAATTAATATATATATAAAATTAAGTACAAATACAATAAAAAGTACAAGCAGGCCTCTCAGAATTAGGTAATTTATTTTAAGTTATCCTAAGTAAAAATCAATGCCTAGTTATTAAAATAAACAAATTATGTCAGGTTTGCAGGTGACTATAGTCCTTGTGTTAACCCAGAATAGTTTGTTCACGCATTACAGTTTTACAGATAAGGAGCCAAGGCTTAATTCTATAGTATCGACGAATTGGAGACAATCAACAGTGCTTACTAATCAGATCCAGAGGTTGAATTTTAGGATAGCCAGATCCTATGAAGCAATTGCTAGCCAATGGATTTTTTCTGATGTTTTTTTTTAAAATGCCTTTATTTTAATCATCTTAAATTATTATAGAACTTTCTGTCAATAAACTTAAACATAGAATAGATGATCTATCATTTGGATTGATCAATTTTCATATCATAGTTTGAATAAAGCTGGAAATTAGGAGAAATGAAGTTGTACACCACCTAATTGGAGTTTGATGATATTATCAATTAAATATTTTATTATTAAATGAATAAAGAGAGTGTGCCAATGTTTAAGTTTATAGTCATAGGCGATCAATGTAAGTGGGTATGTCAGACTTAGCTGTGGGTAAAAGTAGCTTTGTAAAATAATATTCCGAATCCATTTTCATTGAAACTCATAAACCAACTATAGGGGTAGAATTTGTAAAAAAAATGGTAGTTGTGGATAAACGCAAAGTTGAATTATAAATTTGGGATACTGTATTTCAGGTCTTATAAAATAGGCTGGATAAGAATAATTTCGTAGTATGATTAAGAGTTTTTATCGTGGTGCAGCTGCAGTTTTTGTTTTGTATAGCGTAAATTAAAGAGATTCCTTTGAAAAATTGCATGAATGGTTGGCAGAATTAAAGGAGAGTGCTCATGAAGAAATTGTTAAAATTTTAGTTGGAAATAAATCAGATTTGGATAGAGATATTTCAATATAAGAGGCAGAAAAATTCATGAATGGAAATAATTTTAGTTTATTTTTTGAAACTTCTGCCAAAACAGGATAAAATGTAGAAAAAGTAAACATAGTTATTGATTTTAAGGTTTTTGTAGAAGCTGTCAAATTAGTAATTATGCGTATGTTTACAAGTGAATCCTTTAAAAACTCTATAAAAACAATCAAAAAGACACCTGCAAATTCTAGACAAAATACTAGTAGAAACGAACCATAAGATGATTAGAATTAAATGCAGAAACCAATACAATTATCAGTTACTCCGTAAACACAAAAACCAGAAGAAAAGCAATGTTGTTGAAAATTAAAAATTTTCATGTGTTATAACATTATTATATCCTATTAATTATCAAATAATGTTACTTAAATAAAGGAAAGAGTTTTAATATGATATTATCTAAGAAACGAAAGTTTATTTCTAAAATGATTTGATTAGAAATTTTTAGCCTTAAGAAATAACTTTTGAATTATCTTAAACTAGTTAGCATTTATAGTAATCATAAATTACTAACAATTTCATAAATTTCTTCTAATGTTCTATCTATGTTGATCATTTAATGCATTTCTCACAATATGTTAATATTAATTTAATAATATGATCTTCGAAATTTATTCTACTTTATCCATGTCTAATGTATATTTATCCCAATCTAGATCATCATCGGTTAGCTATTCTAATTCTTGACCTAGTTTATTATAATATAATGTGAAATAATTAATTAATGATATTGGATAAGATGTTATTACAACTTTGCCAGAACTCAAACAAACATAGAGTGAATGACCATTATGTTTCTCTTCAGCATGTAAACTCAAATTGCCAGTTTAATTATTCTTACATGAACCTAAGCAAAATGTTTATAAACAAAGTAAACAAACTGATATATCCTTGCTATTTTGAAAATTTAAGTTAAAAAAGCCGCATCTTTTGCATAATTTTTTGATATATCTATGTCTAAAAGTTTCAAAATTATCTCCCAATAGTGTCGCTATTTAATTTGATATCTCATTTTGAGTTTCATAGAAATTTGTAATAATTTTTGATTTTATATTATTTTATTAATTACAAAAGAGCTTCTCTTTGAATTCTATTTCAAAAGTATTAAATAATATTTTAACTATGTCATCATTTTGAATTGGCAATGATAACAGTATATTTTAAATTTTCTAATGGAACTCATTATTATCAATTGCTTGCATCACATATTTTTCGATCATCAGCATTATATCCAAAATAAATATTTATCCTTTTTTAAAATTCAGTATTTTCTACTGATATTTTACTTTGTTATAATTATTTCTCAAAATTTGTAAAAGTTGTTAGAAAATCTTAATTTTTCCAGATCTCTAAAAGTCAACTTTTGACACTAACATTTAGATCAAAATATTAATAAGTAACTAATAAATCATTTCGGGTATAATTAGCTCCTCATTACCTTCATGCTTTGATAATAATTCTTTATCTAAATTTAACTCAATTAGAGTTGCCTATGCATCTTCTATAAATTTATCAAAATGATCTTCAAGTAAAGTATTTGGAAATAAAAGATTACAACTTTATTAACAGATGGGACAATGAGATATGAACCATAATGGTAAGTCTTTTTGAAATTTATTTTTTAATGAGTTTACTAAGCAATATGAATGAAACTAATGCTTGCAACTAGATATATTTAACAGATTTAATTTCTAGTCATTTAATATGTTATGTAATTAAGTTGGCATAGTCTCATATAGGTCTTACTTTGCAAACGTTTAGATTAAAATAGGGGTATATCTATCAGTGTTGGTTAAGAGTTATTTACATGACTAGCAGTAATCGTTCTCATCATATTTTTCTTATGGCATTTCTAATTGAACGTTGATATCTAATTATTGATTAAATTTAGTCTATTTCTGAAGATATTTATTTTTCATCTTGCATTTATCTGAAACCAATATTTAATTATTTTATGATTATAAAGTGGTAGATCCTATTTGGAATATTTATTTTAAATTATCAAAGATCCGATTAGTGTATTATACACAGTTTTAATCATTCTAATTTTATTATTAAGAAAGTGAATATATTTATGCAAATAGCTCTTAATCAATCATATTTTATTTTTTATAGAAAATTATTATCAAATTATTTAGTAGTTGATAAGTTTATAAGGGTTATTGATGATTCTATTAAATTTACTAAATCAACTATTAAATAAATGGTTTATTAGCTAGCAGCACAAATTTGTCAGAAAATATTGAATTTGCATTTGATTCATTTTACCCGATAATCTCATTTGCTTTATATTGAATGTAATTTCCATAAGTGATAAATTCTTCAGATTTTCTTTGATCGATTAATCTGTCTAAGAATTATCCTTAAATTGTAGTGTTTTTCTAGAATAAGATAGGATCAAAATATTATGGAACATCTTTTTTTAAAGTAAATTTTTTAGATATCTAATCTAATTGACATATTTCTTAAACAAAACTCTTTATTGATTAATTAGTAGTAGTTATTTTTAATTATGATATGTATTTCTATATTTCATTATAGCTCAAACTTGAGGATTGATTAAATATATTTATTATTGCATAATGAATTGTTGATTTAAGCTAATCAGGATATATGTCTATTTTTTCTTCCACCATTTATAAAACATTCCAAAATTCTATATCTGATGATATTACGTTTAATAGAATAGAGCTATAATTAATGAGGATAATTACTTATAAATTTAAGATGCTACCATTTTAATTGGAATTCTAAAGTATTAAAATATATCCTCTAAAAACTATAATCCCTCCTGTTGAAATAAAAATAGGAATAACTTTATAAAAGCAAGATCAATAGATTCCAGTTAGCTATTAATATTTGAATATTTAAAATATAATCTCTTTTATGAATCAAAATTAAAAGATACAAAATTTTAAAGGGTTTCGATTAATAAATGATTAAACAATTCCTTTAAATCCTTCAAGCATTTTATTTTAAGAACTTACATCAAGTAATTAAGAAATTCTTGTTTATCAACAAATTAACCATCAAAATATTCAAGAATTAACATTTCAATAAAAATTAGATTTGTAACTATGGGTCTTTTCAAAAGTTTAAGACATAATAAGAGATATGCATCATATACACCTTTCTGCTTTGAGAGATTGGTCTCAACGTTTATGTAATCTGAATAGAAGTCATCAATTTATTAAAATTTTCTATAATTTTACATATCTTAGATTAATTTTAAATAACATTGATACAAAATTATTCTTGATAGATTTCTTTTTCCAATTTGTTTTGGCATCATACTTCTCAAACATTTGAGCTAATTATTAAAAATCTTAAGTTGAAGTGATATATAATTGATAAGGATAGCAACTGTAATTAGATCATTTTATTAGACAACAAGCTTATCTAACTTTATTCTCGTCATTCCCATTTAAACATTATTATAGGAACGGAGCAATTAAGTTAAGAAAAATTGCCTTTTTTAAAAATCCTCATAATCATTTTCATTAATGACGTTCTCTTAAAAAGAATCAAATTTATCATCTAAAATTTACTTGAATGAGTTCATGATAGCATCCTTAAACCATTTGGTTTCAGTTCTAAACGTTAATAGATTTAAATGTAAATATGAAAAATCTTAACAAAAGTCAACATTTTAAAAATATAGTTACTGACTCTAAATAAGGCTTTGTAGATAAGGGGAACAAATTTCGGGTCGTAAAAAGGTTTCAATCATAGCTTAAGGACAAAATTGTGTGTGCTGACCTCTAAATTATGTTAGGTATAAATAAATAAAATTCTTCTCGCTCTAGTGTTGTTTTCTTTGCACTGAAAGAATTTCTTGTGACAATTCACTTTCTTTAGCCTTTAGAGAAGCGCCATTAATTTCATCATCATTTCCTTACATTTCCTCATATATAGTTTTTAACTCATTGAAGACATTTTAATTCAATTAGAAAAATTTATGAAATTGGTGATACTCATTCATAAAAGTTAAGTGTGTCAGCTATTTAAATTAATCGTCAGCGTGAAAGGCATAAAATATTTTTACTATTTGTTCCCCTTTATATGGTCCTAATGATTCTAAAAGCAATTATCTTTAAAAAATGTCTTGTAATATTAATTGTTTGGAATTCGTATCAACTTCTTATAGGATAGTAGTGATCAAAAAGATATTCTTATGGTCAACTTCTATAAACCAAGCTATAAATTTAATTAATAGCTGATGAAAATAAAGTGCTTTGCAAAACCTTTCATAATAATCCTATATATCAATTGACTCTTATATTTTTTTCAACTTCCATTTAACAGCAATATGATAAATCTTAACATAAAATGGAAGGATGAAAGACTTAGGTTGAATTTCAAGATATAGCTAATATAAGATATTATTGAGGCATCTAATAAGTATTTAAGTGTTTTTTTGGATTTCTTCAGGTATTTATGATAGAATTTCCTATTTATTTATATGAGCATGACCCTGATGATCATCGCATATTCCTAATTTAAGAGAATTTTCATCACCACAGTCACAGCATCCACTGTTATGCTTAAGAAGAAATTTATGATCTAAAATATCATTCATAATACTTATGTGTTTGTTAATATCGAAGCATTTGACACAAATCATATGATGAGCGTCTCCAGAACAATCAAAGCATTGAAAACTCAACCCTCCATTTTGAATATGAGCTCCACATACAGAATGTACTTTTTATTTATGATTTTATTAATGTAAAGATTTCTTTGAAATCAAAAGATTGTACAATTCCTCCATTTCTATTGTTTGTTGATTATTATTATAGAGACTTTATAATTCTGATTCGATTGTTTCCATTGAAATCATAATTGATTAAATATTTAATAAAATATATTTTTATTTTTGCAATACTTTTAAAAATGTAAAGTCTCATTTCTGATGTATTAAGAAATGAATAGAATTTTTAGTTTGTAAAATAATATTGGTGCATAGGTTTTCCTTCAATACTTCTTAAATATTCAAAAAAATCAAACACTATTTTTATTTTTCTTTAAATTCTTTAATGAAATATGGAATATTTATAAATAATAGAGCATGGAATTTAAAATAATTTAATTACTCTAAATAACAGGGATATCAGATACATTAGTTTAAACCTAGCCTCATTGATATTAACTTTCCATTCATCTATATTAGCTTAAGATTATAATTAAGCGGGAGATTTGGAATGATATATCATAAAGTCGTATTTAACTCAATTTGATTGGTAGATTATGTTTATTAATTAGATAATGCTTACGAATTTATTAATAGTTTTACTAAATATTCTACATCAATTCATAATTTTTATGGGCTTATTCTCTTTATTTGTACAAATTCCAATTTTAATTTATTAATACAATTTTAAAATGGTTCAGTATAAAGGATAATAAAATTAAAGCTTAAAATGAAGTATTCAATAATAGTAAAATGGAAAAAACATCTATCCTATGAGTATATATATCATTTTCCTCTTATCTAATTAATCTCAAAAAGATTAGTTCAAAATTTTAATTTAATTTATTAGTACAAAAGAAATTGTTTTCAACCATGCGTAAATCTAAATATCTCTTCTATAGTTGAAAGGAATATATGCCCTGGACTAAGTTTGCAAAATTGAAGTGAATTTTATTTCCACATTGTTCATTAATTATTTTCATTTCTGTATTAAACTCTAAGAGATAATGAGGTTAAAGCAATGGATCTGGTGATAGGTATAAAATATAAATATAAATATAAACATAAAGTCATTTGTTATGCTCCAATATTCCACTTGAATTGCACCGTGAAAGTGATTTTTTATTTATACTTCTCTTCCGCAAACGTTCATTAAATTAGTGTTCCTGTTGGTTAACACTCTTTTTAATCATGGAGGTGTGTCTAAAGATTTATTGATGTAATTACTGATCCAACTTCTCATGATACTCGTTGACCATGCCCTGCACTTGTTCTGGTTAGTACTTTACAACTTAGATCACTTATTCTTAAATTGCCAACTTGATAGATTTCTCTTTTTTTTTATTGCGTATGTAGTGTTCATCTTCTTCAATGGGAATGGGGGATAGATTGTTAATTTTTTAATTGACGGGTGATTGTACTTCAGTGACAAGCTTAGTTTTGAGACAGCTGATTTACTGCATTTCATAAAGAGCATTTTAGATTTTATCGACAAAGTAGTATTTGATGTCATCTTTGCGACTGTCATAAAACTCTATGCATTGCTAATACATTTGCACTACTTGATTAACGCGTTCAACAGTGCATTCTTTGACAATCTTTTATTCAAGTGTGGAGAGCATGGTGAAAAACTATCTTGTGAGTGGTTGAGGACGATCTTATTTGAAATACTCCTCAGGTGGTACAATGCACATGTCTTCTTGTTAACGAGAATCAGATTTAGTGCGTGTTCTGCTACCTCCTAATTACTCGAAAGCTTGTCGAAAAATTCTCATTGCTAATTTAATAATTAAATGATGTAATTTTGGAAGAAGACCTCGATAAATAAATGTCAGATGTCTCAATTTTGTTATTTCGTAAGGGAATTATAGTTATTCTACTAAACCAAAGTAATAATAATATTAATCGAATTGCAGTAATTCTATAATTTATATCAGTATTATACATACGATCAGAAGTTTCTTCTCTTCTACTAGTATCGAGTGTTAGTCATGGAATTCGGAAGTACAGTCCCAAATGTGTCATCTCGAAGTTGTTAGCCTTGTTATACGGTATTATAAGAGATGTTCAGTTAATATATAAAAAAGGAATCGGTATTTTTATATTGAAAGACACATAGAGAAGTGAATGGAATGTGAGATAGTTTGGAGTTCAATGTTACTCTATCCAGGTTTGGGTTACTCGAATCATGGATAAAAGTTATTAAATAGTTTTATGAGTCACTCTTGAAATTAATTGTAAATTTAAATAGGATTACGATTGGTAAGGATGATCAATAATTTTATTATAAGATAATCTTTCAGCATGGTTCTTCAAAATAACATGGATAATCAAGATATCTCTGAAATTCCCAGTCCAACAAAAGCCTCTGGAGTTGAGAACAGATAGAGAGGAAGTGGGGATATTAAGCAAGTGTAGAAATCTAATCGGAAGTACATGAAGGTGTCATTGCAGACTAAATAGCTGCTCTATTAAATGGTTCAGATGGAAGGGATAAAAATAAAGGAAGTAATGGAAGATATAAAATTTACATAGGCTGCAAGAATTCTTGGTATCAAGTATGCAACAGCAAAAACCATAGTGTATCACCGAAGACAAAAGCGAAAGGAGAGGGGGAAGTGTGGGCTGCGGATGTGTGGATATACTGAATTGGTGGATAATCGGGTTAGTCGTTTGCAGATCATTTCGATAACTGGGAATGATGCAAAGCAATGCAAGGAGTACATTCTGTGAATACGAGATTATGATTCTTATGTTTCTTGTTGTATAGGAATAATCGATATAAATAATTAATCCTTAATATAACAAAACTATGAATGAGGATACTTAAATAGAGTATGGGAATTTCGGTGATCAATAAAAATTACTCAAATATAATAAGAAGAGACATTCAATTGTTTTCTATTCGTTTTTCAATGGTTTTGAGATCAGAATTCAACTTCTTGACTACATCATCTGCTGTGATGTTGGTTCCCATTTTCTTGTTGTACAGAGCGGCAATGATGGACGGGTTGCTTCGAATCTCTTGAATGGGAACACTCTTCAAACATTCAGTTAGAGCACTGATGGATTCATTTGAATTGTTCATTATAATAAATTCTAATATTATCTCATTTATTATTTGGCCATTTGATTTTCTTCAACAGATAGTCTATTAATATTTCAGGATTGTGCATTTTGAGTGTGTTTTAATTAACCCACGATACTTTCGGTGCACGGTTATTCTTTTGCTTCCAAGATACCTGGAATAGGAGGTTTTAGCCATCATTGTCCTTCCTGATTTACAAAATTTCATCTGCCGAATCACCATCATCATAAGTGCCTTCTCCGACTTCTTGATTCTGTTTCTGCTTCAACGATTGCTCAAAATCAAGCACATAGGTCATAACGGATTGCAGATTTTCGATTGGTTCCCAAGTTTTCTCATTATCAGAGTATCCCTGCCATTTTACTTCGTATTCAGTTCTTCCATTCTTGACTCGTTTGTTAGTAATGGCCTCGACCATGTATTCTTCTTGAGAGGAGACAGACACAGGAGAACCCGACATCTTTAATTAAATTAATGGCGCCCATAATAAACATCTTGTACTTAAGAGCCATTTAATTGGCTGCTTTTAATTTGTTAATAATCCCACTATAAAATGGCTCTCGATTATGCGAAGTCGGACCCCAGATTCATATATAAATAATTAAATTATTGTCACTTTCCGTGCTTGACTCTATTGACTGCCCAAGAGCCAGGTTCTTATGAAGAGGATCTCCTCCTCCCCATAATTCGTAGGCTGCTTGTTTCCTTAAGATATAATGATTTGTTTACACTATTTAAGATTAATTATAATAATTATAATAAAAATATGCCACCTAAAAAGGATGAAGTTGACTTGAATGCATTACCACCACTCAAGCATCTTTGTGTGGGAATTCGAATTGAAGCGGGAAAGGCTCGAGCTGCCAAGTTAGTGAGCTTACTCAAGGAAACCAAATCATTTCAGAAGAATATAACTAGAGAGGAGATCATCAACTTTTGCAAAGAGAAGTAGTTGTATGTTGATCCTGCCACTTTAACTGATAAGCAAAAGAAAGTACACTTCTTATTTTGATAGTAGGATTCTAAATTCATGGCAGAAGTAGCCACAGAACTTACATCCGAAGTTATGAATAAGGGATTTTAGATGTTCATTTAAGATTAAGTCTTGTCCATAAGGAAAGCCAAGTATTAAGCAGCTCAAGCATTGGCAGCAGAGAAAGCTGCTCCACCAAAGAAAGACGACAAGAAGGATGCCAAGAAGGGAGCCAAAGAAGCAGCGGCAGTTGCACCAATTCCTGAACCTGAAAAAGCTATACCTGAGAAGGAATACACTAAGAATTTTGACATCGTTTTTCTAGTGCAAGGCTTCCCTCAAGTACCACAAGAATAGATTGAATTGATCATGCATGTCAAGGAGAAAGTAATTAATTGGGGTGGAGTTGATATGAATCTCTTGGAACAAGGAGAGGATTTCCAAGAAGAATTGGAGAAGCGAATGGAAGAATTCGTACAACCAGTTACAATTAAGAGATCCTATTCAGAAGAGTCTCTACATTACACTGCGGCAGAAAGGGCAGTCATTGAAGAAATCAAAAAACAAAGAAATGGTTCCCAAAAGACAGATCCACTTAGATAACTTACAATTAAGGAATTGATCTTGGAAATGGATTTGGAAGTGGAGGAAGAAACACTCAAATAATTCCATGAATAATTGATTGAGGAGATCTGCCAATTTAGTGTCGATCAATAGCAATTCAATGAATGGATTGTGAATAAGAAACCAATTCCTTTGATTACCAAGGAAGCGCCCAAAGATCCATTCGATTTAGAAGTTGAGCGTATTAAGCATGAGGCTCATTAAGCAGAGGAGCAACAGAAGGCTGCAGAAGAGGCAGCTGCTGCAGAGAAGAACAAAAAGGGAGCCAAGAAGGAGGCTAAGAAAACTGATGCTGAATTAGAGGCTGAGAGACTTGCTGAGATAGAGAAGAACAAATAAAATGAATTGAGAAAACTATAAATTGAAGAGGCTTTGGAATAACAATAGAAAATGAAAGCCAAATTACATTTATAATATTATAAGCGATAATTATCTGATGTGCAATTGTCAAAAGTAGGACCTTGCATCCTATTAGAATGTTTATTAGATTAGTTATCTGCTGAGGCTGCTTATATTTAAAGTTCTAAAGTGCCACCATGTTTGGAGGACTAAGAGGATGCTGAATAAGTGAATAGACTGTTGGCAAATCAAAGGAAGGAGTAATAATAAGTAGAGAATGCCAAATAATTGATATTAGATGAATGTGATTGGATTGAAGTAAGAGGACATTTTGGTTAATTGCATGATTAATAATTTATTGTCGAGAGAGAACATAAGATCTTTGACAATTTATGTTTCCCAGGCATTGATAGACAAGGCATGCCTGAAATTGCAGAGAAATCAGAGAAACTACGTAAGGCTAATAAGGCTAAGTTGCATCCATTTATTAATGTAGATGTAAGTGAATTTGAAAGAAGACAACTCCTTTTGTCTTTTGAAGAATTACTCAAAGAAAATGAACCCGAGTAAGACTGGTATTTGGGTGATCGTGTCTATTTAGAGAGACATAATAAAAACACTCTGAAATAACAATTTTATGAAGCATTATTACATGATCCTCAAGTAGTTCTAAAATATTTACCTGATGATGATGCTCTTATGGTTTGTTGTTATTATAAGAATCCTCCTGGTAGAACACTAAGAAAGAAGTGGTCAGCTGAATGGAGAGTTCTACCTAATTTGGAATACTTTATCCAAGTTCGTAATTTTAATAGTGAATACTATTATGATATCGATTACTAATAAATTGGGGCTATTACTGAGAGATCAAAAATCATGTATCCCACTGATAATTCATTAATAATTGCCACCAAATTTACTGTAGGAGAGGTAGAACGAATAAGATACAGAGTTATTAAAGAGAATGTGGTTTTTGGAATACAAGGAGGCTTTTATGCCTAATTCAGAGATTTGAGAATGAGTGCCTAAGATCAGATAATGAATTTGACATTTAAGAATGGCCTTTGCTTAAGGTTTACTCAGAAGGGAGAAGTAGTTTAATAATATCTATATCAAAAACCATAAGAATAGACTCAGACATTGCTAAATTTATATGACAATGCTGAAATCAACCACGAATTAGAAATTAAAAGAGTGATTACAGGATAAGGAACAGTAATAGTGTATAAGAAAGATGGATCAATCATAGTGTTATATGCCAATGGTAATGTCTCTATGTACAAAAATGACATGTGGATAACGACTAATAATAAGGGAGTTAGAAAATCATAGAAGGGAATAGAAAAGATCCCATGTGCAACCAAAAATGATCCTGAGAGTGGTGCCAAAGTGTATATTCGAGATGATCAAACTCTCATCATTTATTACAAGGATGGATCTCAGTATACTCAACATTACGATGGAACCATAATGCTAATAAAAGGAGATAAGGTTATTGTAGAACATCCTAATTTTGCTAGCGTTGTGGTCACAATTGATAAGGTCAAATAGAGAACTGGAACTATCATTGGAATGGGTAGTGCTTATGCAAATGTGGGTTTCGACAATATCTTCGAAAGAAGTAACGACGGTAGAGTTGTGGAAACCTTTTACCAAGGGTGCAAGGTGATCTCTTATATCGAGAAATAAGAACTACCAGAGTACAAGTAGTACAAGACTAATCGAATTCATTTGATGTACACTCATGATGGGAGTGTTGCTAAGGTAGTTGATGATGGGGAAATTGTCATAGTCACTGCTGAAGAGAGGGTCAGACTCAATAATAAAGGAGAGAAGAAGCAATTGGGACAAGACATCGACTATTGGTTGTAATTGTTTTCAGTTTCCGATGAACGTAAAGCTGGAGTTTATACAATTGATTTGACTAGAAAATGCATCTTTACAAAAGACGAGGAATCCAATTATTTCTAAATTGATGAGGATGGAAATGTTACATCTAAGATTTCAGTCTCCTTAAATCAAGAACCCTCCACTCCTGATTACATTCCGGATGGCCTATTTGTAGATGAAGAAAACAAAGTACTTCCACCGCCAAAGTCATGGGTTCCTCCCAGGTTATTTTTAGTTAAAAATGATAATACAGGTGTTGAATTATTCAATCAAACTCAATTACAGGATTACTTCAGACTTAAGTCAGAAAACCCATTCTGCACTAAATTAATTGATGAATTACCAAACAATGTTAAGTCTATTTCATTCATCACTGAGTTGAAGAATTAGACCAAAAAGTTCATTGAAGTCAAAATACCATAAACACTAGATATTGTACCCAAAACAGTTCAAAAAACTACGATTATTCCTCATAAAGTCTTTACTTATCGCAATTTCTTGGAGTATCTTCCATTTGATAAAGATCAAAGAGCTCTTCATGAGTAATCATTGCAAAAGTATGAAGTCTGGCAAAAGGCTATGTAGAAAGCTTAGAATGAATTTGGAGTAATACAAAAATCAGAAGATGAAAGAGATGCTGAGTTTATTATTTAAATGAAGATCCTGGAAAGCAGAAGAACAGATTATTCGTATGAATCCTACGATTAAGCCAAAAGCAAGATCACCTTGCCTGATACAGCATCCAATATAATTGAACCCCTCGAATAAACCCTGGTTAGAACAGCCAAAGTACAATAAGTTGTCTAATAAGCCTTTGTTGATGTTCATAGGAAAGTGCAAACTATTTAGATCTAAAAGTCTATGAAACCATCCACTGAAGCCAAAGGGTTTGTCTAAAATTACTTCGATACAAAGGAAGGACATGAATACTTGAAAACAGCTCCTGAAGATCCTCCAATCAAAAAACCAAGAGAGCGTATAGTCTAACCTAAAGAAGAACATAAACATTAAAATTAACAGCAATAGAATTAACAAGAAACTTAAAAGACTATGCCAGATGGAATCATTCCTTTAGAATAGCCTTACTTGCCTTCCCCACAATATAACGATACAAATAATCTTACAAAAGTGATTATTAAGCCTTCAGTTTTCACTCAAGCAGAAATTGACGACGAGGTTAAATAGAGGAAACAACTCGATGAGTCGCTTAGATATAGATAAGTAAAGAAGAAGGATTATGATGTCTATGGAAAAGAGAGAAAGGACTTAAAGTTGGTGCCATGTCTTCTTAAGACAAATCCAAAATCTGAATTGAATCAGAAGTACATTCTAACAGACGCTTCAACAGACAATAGAATTAAGATTAGTTCAATGGCAACTCGAGTTTATTAATAGGCTGTTCCCATCAGTCAAATTAGAAATGAAGGCATGCATCAAACCATCATAAGGACCTTGGACAAAAAGAATAATTTGGATGATCTAATTGATAAAAAGAATCTCATGGTCACGAGTGACATCAATGATAGATTGAAGAAGGATCTATTGATTTATCCTGTAAATGTTCAGTTTGGGGAACTTAAACAAGGAGGATAATATGAAGTCAAAATCTCAGTCAAGAATGAGGATATCATGGCTTAACGTATAGTTTTAAAGTAACCATTGAATACCAATATCAAAGGAGTGATGAAGTAGATGGGCTCGGTAATTTAATATATTTATTCTCTAGATATCCCTCGGTTTAGTCAGAGAGGTATTTGTTCACATCAATGCAGAAAGAGTTGGCTAATTCTCTGATGAACTCTAAATCATGTCGAAACATTCCATCTATACAATACCAATCACTGGCAATGTACTTGAGTCGAGCATGTTTGATAAAGTCAACTCGGAATAGATCAAACTCACCAATAAACCTCTCTTAAGGAAGTATGTTAAAGACTTGAAAGCTGTATGATATTTTAGTTATAATATTCAGTCCAAACAACAGGACATAATTGGAGATAGCCAGGATTCCGACCTGCTGCCGAAGATAAACTATGACAAGAATGTCAAGATCGATGCTTTTTAAAATCAGAAGAAGGAGGAGTAATCATATGAGGAGGAGAATTGATTATTACAATTTATAATAGATAGATATTAATTCTAAGACTGTTTGATAGTAGATATGTGGATATCCTATAATAGTTATTTTTAATTAAATCACACCTTAATCTTCCTGATATTCTTCCGCAGTATGCTTTACATGGATTTAGTCTTTTCCAAGAAGTTTTTGACTCTTTCATCTTCTTTAAATTTATTGGAACGTTTAAGATTTTCAGCAAAGCTCATTGAATCTATTTTGACATTATCTTTGAGACATTGACATGTTTTTGCTTCCAAAAGTAGTGGTAACCAATTGAGAGTGGCTAAATTGACAGCTTCAGCAATATTGAATCCACAATTAAAGCCTTGATGATAGGCTCCAGCAAAGATAAACATAAATTCCCCTTGATGATGAGCCATTTTTGAAATTCTGATTTCAGGAATTTTCTCCTTAAGCAAATATGGATTGATAACTGTAGTTTTATGTCTCAAATATTCTGGACATTTATTAAAATGATCACCATATAACTGTTTGGCATATTTTTCAATGAGATGACTATCAGCTTCAGGTATTGAATACCAGAATCTAATTTATATAATAATTTCTATTTACTTGTCTTTTCCAACATGAAGATAATTAACACTACAAAGATCTAAGTCTTCTTTGTGCCATGCAAAGAATGTCTTCCATGAACCAACGTATATATAAGGTTCATTGACTCCTGGGATGCGGTTCTTGAGTCCAAAGTTGAGTAGGCTTGTAATTTGATTGAGGTTCCAAGAATTGTTGACATCCATCAAACTTAACTTTATATCAGCTCCGTATAGAGGAGGACTGAAGGCTAAACTTTTCCAGTACAGCTTTTCCAGTTGGTCTGAATTTAGTTTTTCATGTTATTTATCTATTTCTGTTTGTTTAGCTCTGTAATCCTTGAGAGGCATTGACTTTTTTAAGATGTGTAAACATTCATAGTTGCCACCCTTCCCATAAACATTCTGCTCAATAGGACCTTAAATAATAAGATTGTCAAGAGATTTGTTGTAATCTTGTTAGCGAATTCGGAAGTTCTTTGGGGGAATGATCTAGGAATTAATTTAAAAATATAATTTTACTTTCACCATCCCGTAGTTGGGTGAATATTATTTATCTATTTTCTCAATGTAATCATAGAAGTTTTCGAACTCTTAGGGTGTTGGCCGTAACACAGGGCACTCCTCGATGGTTGTCATGTTTTAAATAATACTTAAATATCTTGGAATCAAACAATCCCTTTGAGCACCCCGGTGAGACAATATATACGTATATATTAAAAGGAAAGAGAATGTAAGAAACCATTAAAGGTTGAGAGATAGATTGTCTCCGTTGCGAGATTTGGCTGAGTGTGTCCTCTTAATTCCCTACTTCATCATGGGCCCTTTCCTCTGTTCCCCTACAAACACTTTAATTAATTGATATATTAGAATCATTTTTTCGTATCTTCCATAGTGTATTCGACACCTCGATAAGTTTTTCTTCTCATATGAGTTATGAAACTCTCAATCTCATAGAAGCCATAAATTTGGAAAGGCTAAACTCTCCTCTTGATCAAATCGCTTTTATGTGCAAACATTGCATAATAAACAGTACAAGCTTCTGCCATTCCCTTTGATTACTAAAGCTAATACTTTCTCATGACGCATAATTGTGTTCATTTTCATTACTTATTTGTGTTGCCTCGTTTTGAATATGATTCTGTAGACATTATTATGTTTATTTCCGCTGATCAATTGATGTGTCGTTGTCTTACTAATCAGGAATTTGCTAAAATAATTTCTGTTTCATATCCTCTCTTAATTTAATCCAAAAATCATCCCGATGAATGAACAAACCTTGCTTCTCATCTATTCTCAATATATTATGTTTAAATTCCAACACATCATTGTTGTATTCTTCTTGAATTCAATCATGCTCAATTATCTATCTTCTATAATGGTATTTTACTCAAGAAAAACTAAGTAAATTCGAATGTCGGGAATAATCTGGAAGGAGGAACTTTTTTAATCTCTCATGATCTGCCAATAACAGAATATGCCCACTTTCATCAAATCATGATTACACCTATTCTTAAGTACCTCATTGTATTAAGGTTAGTCCAAAATACAGGAATTCAAAGTCCCTTCTCCATTAATTATAATGAATAATACAGCATAATCTTAAATTATAAACTGGTGAAAACAGATTTTGTTTGAATACGCTACTCTAAAACTGAAGCAAGTTTGTCAGATGGCGTAATCTTATACTGCAATTGTTCCAGGCTCCTTAGGTGAATGAAAGTTCATCTGTCATTAACAGATATTTGATGATTGGATCATGGACTGACTTTTATCAGCCATGATCCATTTAAAGAGGAAATAATCAACTTCCTTCTTCTTTTGATAATACCCTTTTCCTATTCTCTAACTCTCATCAATAGAAAACAGAGGATGCCAACTATATCAGGGGAAAAATTAAGATATTTTAAATTTCATTTCGCCTCTTGAGATCTAAGTTATTAATAATCAAATCTAGCCATTTTGAGTGCCTCTTGTTTGGACTAGTCTAAAAGAATCCAAGAATAAACGAATACAAGATTTAGTCTTACTCAAATAAAGAAGGCTCTTTAAATTAAAATTCCCTTAGTTTTTAGAATAAGCTAAGCAACTAAAAATTGATAAAAAAGATATCAAATAAAAGCAACTCTCAAGAAAGAGTCAATTAATTGGTATAATAATAAATTTCAATAAAAACTACAAACCTACAGAATTTGTTGTTCTTATAAATAATTATTCTTTTGTTAATCTCTATTAAAATTATTGGTCAGGCTTATTAAACAGGTTTAAATTAAGCCATTGACTACGCCAAACAATAAGTTAGTTTAAGTTACAACAGAGAAATAATTCCATTTTTGGTATTATTATTCGAATTGGCTACCATCTTTATTTTAACAATAACAAATGGAAATGACTCTTTTTCATTATACTTACTCAAAACAAACAAGATTTAATCTCTTTTATAGAAGAAATTAAATAAATAGAAGAATAAGAAAGACCAATTTTATTGATAAACTTTTATACTTTGAATCTCTCATCAAACATCTTCTAATCATTAAGACCCAAAGCAAAAATTCAATTTTAAGAACAATCAACAAAACTTATTAAGAAAGGTTTTTAAATAAATACATAAATAATTAGATTTACACAGTTGATTTGCTGTCTCAATTTTATTAAGGATCTCTACTTTATTAATTAACAATATCTTCTAAGTAGACAGTATCCTTTACCTTCAGAAATTTAGTTTTATTAGTATTATTAGCAATCATGTATTTATACCGAATTAATCTGAATAAATTAAGTTATTATTATTTTTATTCTAAATCTAATTAATGGTTTAAAATGATTCTGAAGCCACCAAGTAATCCTGTGAATAGCAGACAGGATCCAAGAAAATCACCAAGCAGCATGGCCACTGGAATCAGACAGAGCACAATACCTATCTCAACTTTTTATTGGAAAATGCAAACCACACCAAAGGCTAAAGATTATTTAAGAGAATGAGTTAAGTTGTTGGCACTCGCACACCAAGTTAATGCAGGTAAGAACCTATAATATAAGATCGCATCACTAAAAATTTAATCCATAAAAGGCAAAATCTTCTTATATAGATACAAGATGTTAGAGATCCAAACAATGTGCCAGAAGTTACTTCGCTTAACACAAATAAACTGATGATGATAGCCAATGAAATGACTTTTGTATATTATACTCAAATATTGTTAACCTTATCACAAGATAGTATCATGGCTAATTAAAAACGATAAAACATATAAAATTCAAATCAAGATTTTTCACTTCTCTTTACATACACTTTTCTTTCTCTTACTCATTTCCCACCTCATTATTCCAATCTCTTTGAAAAATACCTTATGTAAATTTTAACTTGCCGCATTTTATATGTGTTTATAACACTCTTCCTTCCCTTTCTTTTGACTGCCAATATGTGCTTGTACTGCAAAGTTCATTTATTAATGCTCATGTGAATCGAAATGCTTCACATCTTTTTGCTATTAACATTCACCTATAATTTCTTTTTCAAATATTTATAATTCCATATATACTGCTTAAGAATATCATAAATCTCTTATAAAACACACAGTAATCATTTTAGATATTTCATAATTATCCTCATATTATTTTTGGCTTCTAATATTTCTCAAAAAAAATTCAAGATTAATGTAATATAAACTATATTGCTATTTATTAAGATTAAATTTATTTTAAATCAGTAATACATACTTTTTTATTGTGTTAAAATTGATTTTATATCTTTTGTACTAATTAAACAGTTAGATTTAAATAATTGTTTAATTCTTCTAATTGCTGTTAAAATATCACTAAAATGATTAATTACCTTTATTAACGAATCTCTTAAGATTATAAGTGGTAATTCCTTTTTAATAAAACCCAATCATACCATTTTATAAAGATTTAAGTAAGTAAACAAAGATAAATTATCATTTTGATAATTAATGGCGTATAAAATATAAATTTACTATTACAATTATATTATAAGATAATACACATAGAAACTGTGGTTATTTTACAAATCCTTTTGATTAATTCATATAAACTAATGCTAATTGATCTTAATAAAAATTCTTACAAATTACTATTTAAAACTACAATATCACATTACTAATTTCTCTTTAAATTTAGGTATATATAGATTTTAAAAATAATTTCATGAATTTTTTGAGATTATTTATTTGTAATATATCATATTCTAAGATTTAAGAAGATGATTGCTCTATCTGATTATCAATGAAGATGATAGTGTAATAAGCAGAAAATTATTACAGTGAAAGATAAAAAGGTATAATTCAAAGTAAATAGAAACATGTAAATAGAAATGCAAATATGAATTGTTAAATTAGTGTAATTATTACCTAAAAATTATATAATTAGTATTCAGTAGAAAATATCATTTTATTTTTAATGAATTAAATAATAATATTACTCACAAAGTTCAAAGAGATGATTAATACAAATGATCTAATTGTTATGATTTATGTGCATTCATCATATATATACAGCTTATAAATTCTAGATTTATGTATTCTGATTTTTAAACCCCAATAAACCAGGATTAGTGTTAATTAATCTAGTATTACAAGTTGTGAATTAAGATGTTTAATCGATCATCATTTTATAAACTATTAATATCAGAGTGTTGCTTCATTTATGCATAATAATGGAGTACGAGGAGAGCATTTAAATATAAACAAAAGTGTTATAAAAAGAAAGAGGGATTTGAATAATTGTTAATTGGAGGCAAGAGGAACCATAGATTGGGGATTGGAAATCGTTGGAATTATGGGTAATAGTGTTATTGATAAAAATTATTTTATATTTATATACTTATTGTAAGAGATTAAACATGCGAAAACAGCCTCTGAAATTATTATTGGAGGACAATGATCTCGAGATTATTAAGGCAAAGACATTTGATTCACATTCTCAGCGTAACGGTACTAGTTTTTATTCAAACATATCGGATGAACATGAATAATTTAGTGATGGAAAACGATATCAATGTGATTCATCATATTCTTCAAGTAGTCTTCATAGTTCTAGAACTCTTGCAGACGAAACATTGTTGCTAAATTATTAAAAGCGTCTAGGTAAATAAAATAGATATGAAAAGATCCTGAAATCCTATCTGAGTAGGCCAGATTTGTATTCCTCATAGGGAATTAATCGACAGAAGAATGGCTTGCCAATTTCAACGAGAAATGCTTGAGAGTGAATAGCTTTTTCAAGGAGTCCCTTTTCAATTCCTTAGTAGAAACTGCTTTTAATGGAGAGGATTAGAAGTTGAAAAGAAAATTGGTTCTCACCTTAGATTATTTTACAAATCTGATCACATTCACTTTCTTCCTTCTTTGGAAATGGATTCAAAATGAAAATCAACAGGACATGTCATAATTTGTTTCAAATTCCAATTCCATTACTGAATTCATTGTCTTGATGATAACTCTAAGAATTAATGAATTCAGGATGGAATGGCAACTCATAACTATGATAGAGTAAATTGTGTAACCATTCCCCGAAAAGAACATTTTAAAAGAATGTTCAGAAACCTAGAGATCCTACTTATCAGTAAGCCTATTCCAACCTAAAATCGCTTCGATTCGCGTCAAATCCAATTCAGTATTGCCTTGGACGACTGATGAAGTGGCTTTTGTGCTGAGTTTTATGAGTTAATCCTTTTATGCAGGATTATAAATAAAAAATGTGATTGTTAAGGGTGGATTAAATAACGTATAAATTAAATTTCTAATTTTAGTACTTTAGGAGAATCAATACAATTTCATAATTTATCATATATTCAGTAGTACGAAGTCCAAATAAACACGATCGTTAAGATGCATTAAGATATTGGATAGAACTAGCAGAGAAATTACAGAAGAATTATGATTTGGAAGGATTATTCATAGTGTACAAATACGGCATTCAACTACTATTAAAGGATTACATAGGAACCATGCCTATCCTGTTCCGAGATCAAAACAGAATACCTCGTATTAATGCTTTTTATGAGGAACACATAAAATCTAATTTTAATGATATTCAAAAAAATGAACAGCAATTTTACATCCCTTCATTTCATAAATTCATTACTCAAATTAAGCGTTTAGAACAGCAAGTGAAAATGAATAAGACATTGTTTGATCAAATATCGGATCTCTTATTGTAATTAGTTTCAATTTCTAAGAGACAGCACAAACTTCATCAAGAGACGAGTGCAAAAGTAATTATATCACATTATATTTCTCCTTAGATTTCTGATCATGAGGAATAGATAATTTAGTATTTTATAAAAGGAATAGAAAAAGAGTTAGAAATTAATCTCTAAATTCCTTTAGATAAAGAAACCTTGGTGTACATAGAATTGATTAAATTGGCAAAAATTACTAATTGATATTGAAATGATTATAAAAATGATAAAATTTGTGAGTTTTAATTTCATTTACATTTTGTCTCATTAAACTAATTATAATTTATGAGATAACAATCATCTAATTCAAATTCTCAAAAGAAATTCAGCCTATCATATTGAGAAATAGTAAGTTGTTTCTAAGCAAGTTAAAATGAAAAGCAAAGGAATAATAGAATGTTATAAAAAACATGTGACTATTTGACATCAATAGACCTAATAGATTGACAGTAATAAAAGGAATGAATAGAATATTAAATTAAAAGAATAATTGCTCTTAATATAATGAAATAGCTTGAGAGTGAAGTTATTGAACTTGATAAAAAATAAGGATGAATAAATCAAAACCTATGGTGAGAAATATAAAATCTTAGAATAGGGGAAATTAATTATAATAATTAAGTAATAAAAAGGAATTTGATTATTAAATAAGGAAGAGAAGCAAAACTCAATAGGGTTTTTTCCAAGAAGTAAACAGCTTTTTAAGGTTGGGTGGCAAATATTCATTAAGATCAGGTATGTTCATCTCCTCAACACCAAGGAAACCTTTAACTCATGATAAAGAAACTCAATCTCCAAATCAGATAAAGGATAGATAAGAAAAAGATTCTGTAAAATAAGATTGAAATTATTAAAGAGGAAAATTTTGAGGATACAGCCATAAATTAATAAATACTTAAATAACATTAAGCATAACTAAGAGCAAAAGAATAAATAGATAAAGTGATGAAACAATGTTAAAAAATCAAATTAAACTGAAAAATCTTAAGAATAACAAAATTTTGATCGATATCACTTAAAGAGGAAAAAAATAAAGATGTTTAGAGAACCAATTATGCGGCCAAAGAAAAAATGACGAACCCATTTTATTTACTTACTATGCAATTATAATATATATATATAGATTTAATAAAATTTCATATAGCAAATGATAGCGATTTAGAATCCTAATCAAAGTTGACGCTGTTATTTTGGGTATAATCCTTTATTTTTCTATTAGTTAAATATCTAATTTCCAAACTTGGTAAGCGAACTCTCTCAACACTATTCAAACTAAATTTCGGTTTCAGATACATTTATTAGTTTTTATAGTAATCTTGAATTGAGTTTAATAATTGATCTAAATTTATGAACTTTTAATCTTTGTTTTCATGCAGGAGAGATTTTAAAAATAACGAAAACTTTGACTAATTCAAGTTTATATAAGTTTTAACGGATTTGTAAAGATTTATTTCTTCTCTGGGAAGTTCTATGTACTTTGGGTTTATTTTGGTAATTTTATATTATTTAAGTAGCTCTGTTTAGGCTTAAAATTCTTCATCTAGTTCAGAATACTTAATTTGTAAACTGGCTAATTTTTTTCTGAGTTTCATTATTTTAACCATCATTGATTCATGTTAGAATTTGATAGTTTCTAATTCTTTAGTAAGTTTTTGGACATCCTCAGAACTTAGAATATTATATGATTAAACATTTCAACACTTTCTTGCTTAACAATTATTTTTTCAGCAGTGCTTATCTATAAAGGAGCCTTCTATTTTGCTGATAATATCTGATCAAGTGATTTAATACAAAATTACAAGCTAGAATAGAGTTGTTAAATCTTTGAATCTTCGTTTAGCATTTTTAATAATAATTTTTATAAAATATAATATGATTGTATTAAATTTTGTATAAAAATGAATTAAGTTTAGATGATCAATATTAATTATTCTTTATTGCTGGATTCCTTTCTTTCACAACGAGGTCTAAGATATCATCGTAAACTTTTATAAATTGTTCATCTAGTTTTGGCACTGTGGTTGATTTTTTTAATTATGAGTCGGTTTCAAATTTATTTGCTATTGTCCTTGGGATTACTTTAATTATTGGCTTGCCTTTGACTTCCCTGTTTCTGAATTTTGATAGAATCACATCTTCTAAATGAGTTTTGAGCTGGCTTCCAACAGCAACATAAATTAATTTTATCAGATACTATTTCTATTTAATTTCTTTAATTGCTTTATGTAATGAAACATAATCTGTTTTGCCATCACTGACAAGACATAGATAAATACACCTATTTTTAAGATCATAAGCCTGTTATTAAGTTTCTACTAGTTTATACAGGGTATCAAATTGTTATTAATTATTTTCTAAGAATGAGAATTTTTAATTTCTCCAACAAACTCCTAATTTGTGAGTTTCGGGCAACTTTGAAAATACTTAAGCATATTTGGATTTTGCAGCTTAAATTTCATTGACCATACTATCATTCTCATCAAGTACAAACAAAACCATTCTTTCTAATTCCTCTTCATCGTCTCTTAATATTGTCTATATTGATTTAGGTAAATATTCAAATTCATCTGTTTAATCAAAAATAGCCCCAGTTTAATTGATATTATTTTCAGAAACTGGTTTTGCACGAAAATTTATAAATGATATTACTTCATTTGCTTTCACTTTATTCTACTTTTTAATTAATTTATCCATATCCTTAAGTGTATCATTCAATTCTCTTAAAATGCTAATATGTTTATCTAGTAATTCATTAACTGTTTGCTTTTCAAATATTTTTAGTAATTGTTTATCTATCAATTCCTTTATATCAACCAATAGCTTATTTAAATTGCAATTTGGATCCTTTTCAATAACTGTTTTATAATTTTTTAAACCGTCCTCAGTAATTGTCCAAATAGATTCTATTAAATCTAAATCTTTCTTCGTTGTTTTTGATCTTACAAAACATCCAAGTTTAGTATTATTAAATTAGCTTTGCATTCTCTTTTTCACCTTTTCATCAGTCAATTCTTATTAATTAATTTCTTAAGCATTTTTTTCAACGAAATCGAGTATCTTCACAGGGTCTCTAATATCTTTTTGAAGATCAGTCATCTCTTTCTCAGTTTTCTTTAACTCTAAATTACCCTCTGCTATGTTAGTTGCTAAAAAGATTTAAGATGAAGCTTGTTTTTTTATATCATCATTTTCATCCTTCTCAAATTTAGTTTAATCTAATATTTTTTAACCTAAATCAGCTATTTTGTTAAATGCTTCCTTATAATTATGTTGAGGGTCGCTTGCTGTAAGGATGAGTTCTTTTTCTACAGAAATAGTTATAAGTTTTGATATATCACTTGGCTTATCTGTTGGATTTACAACTTCATTGTCCAATTTTATTGGTTCTGCTTTTTCATCAACCATTCTAAAAAAAGGTTCATTTGGTGCTACTTGAGTTGTAGGTTTTTCTTATATTAAAGTTTGATACACAGGTTAGTTTGTTTCAAAATGTTTTTCTTGAACATTCAATAAACCCCGAACAGTTTTAAAAATATCACTAAACTCTTTAAACAAGACATCAACTGATTGACGCTTTCTAGCAACTTTAAAAACAGGAGGACAGGTTTCATTCTAATTGTGGATTTAATCTCTTAATGTCATATTAATTTAACCAGGAAAAGAATCGCCAACAGCAACACAGATGAACTAAATTAAAAAATTTTCTTTCATAATCTCAATCTATGCAGATACTTCCTTTATTTCAAAGTGTTCTCTTCCATCACTTACAAATAAAAATGTAATGTTTTTGGGGTAACCTCCACTCAATAATTTTTAAAATATCACATTAAATGTGTTAGAAATATTTCCGCTTCCAGCACCTTAAAAAGGAAGAAAAGGGTATAAAGCCTCTTCCCATTGATAATCCATCTTTTAATCCCCTAAGTCTGAAAATGTATCCTAATGTGCTTTAATTATGGTCTCATATTCATAACTCATGGAGCCTGTACCATCAACTAAAGTAATCAAATATGATTAGACCGTTTTCCCCTACTTAGCCATGTAGACTTCTATTGCTTGCTATTGATTCATTCTTAATATTCAATATACTTATTAATATAGATGAAAAAAAATTTAGAAAACCCTTAATTTGATTAAATTCTATTAAAATGAATCAATTAGAATTTTTTGTTTTTTTATGAAAATATGGAACACTTAAATTGAACTTGGTACCTACTCCTTGACTGGTGCTCTCTGTTTGATTCCCATTTTTTTTCCAAATTCAGTCATTAATTAAGTTACTTTAGAAATTTCAATAAATATAAATAGTGCATCATAATCTTAAAACTACATTCTGTATTATACTTCATTATAATATTCAGAACAGATTAAAGGGGTTTATTAAGAAAATCACTTGTTCTATATTCAATTTAGTAAGGTACTAGGCACAAAATTTGATATAAGATCATTCACTTTCAATTTGATAAAATTTTTATTTAAAATTTAAAATAAAATAATTCAGTATTATAATAAAGCCATACATGAATAGTATATCTAATTTTATAGTAATATGAAAGGTTGAGCCTCTTTTAATATTTAGACCTTCTTATTCTCATAAGATTATTTAATTTTATTATCTTGCAATTATACAGGAAGTGAATACCAAATTTAATAAAATAATAATGTAATTCTATTTATTAATTTTAACATAAACAATAATAACAAAGTTGATTGATCGAAAAGGTAATGAATACTCTCTATGAATTAGATACAATACTGTGCATATGTTTATTTTGAATGCATCAATCTAAATTTTGATAAATGTAAATATTAAATTCATTCCATCAAAGTTCTTTATCTCATTTTCTCCATCAACTTCTTTACAGCATCTGCTTGCATAGAGACTCCCGAGTTGATTAACATCTTTGGAATACTACCTTTTGGATCAATATTGGCAATAATCACAACTTGACAAGTTCCTGGAGTGATCTCTTTAATCAAGAATCCTGAAATAATGATTTCACAACGAGTATAGTTTTTCTTATTAGGAACAGAATCCAGTTAAACAGATTTAGCTAACATTTATATGGCAAATTTACAAACAACTATGTGAGTTCCATCTTTCAGTATGGTTCTTCTCGTAAGAGCAACCATGTCTCTTGGATCGACTAAGACGATGGGAGATTTACCAGCTCCATAATAAATAACATTATTTTAATCTATTTTTTCTACAATTTTGCCCTAAAAAATATTCAATTTATTTACTTCCAAGAAGTTTTCATCAAATTCAGCTCTTCTGGTCATATCGAAAATGACATCCATAGCCCTCTTTGGATCTACATTCAATTTAAGTTCAGTTCTGGTCATCTTGAGTCCAACATGATTTAATTTAGAATAAATGATGCAATCATTTTTATCATATTCTTTATTCCATTAACCTTCCTGTGGTTACTGGTAGGCCATTTGGACAACTTGCTCTTAGATTTCTATGTAATTGATAAGGATAATAGCTTACAATCCAATTATGCGAGGTAGCTGTTTTACATTAAACTTTAATAAATTAAGAAAATCGATTTCTCATAATCTTAAATATATAATATTTTAGTATCAATTTCTATATTGTTCAAATAAATAATCAGAAATTGAATTCATTATTTATTTTCGCCTAAAAAAGGATGGTAATCAAGAATGGAAGTCAAAGTTAGGCTCATTGAATAGAATTGTGATAATTATGTTAGATCTTATTTTTACTATATAATTTGTCTTCTATTTCTGCAATTTTTTAATGAGGTAGAAAAAGTATTAAATAGAAGTAATCATACAAGAGTCCCTTACAAATCCAATAAGAGAATATGATTTAATTGAATTTGAAGGGAATTATTAGTGAAATCGACACACATATATTTACATGAATGAAATAAAACAATATTATCCTTAGGTGGATTATCAGGCTTGCAATTTCAATAAAATTGGTATACTTGAGAGTGAATTTTTAAGAGTCACCATAATGTACTCAATAAGTCTGTTTTCTTGAGATGTTGTACGTAAGGAGAAAGATGAAACAGAGAAATAGCCTCTTTATAAAATCATTATGGATTGAATTAGAGATTTTTAATATAATACCTTACAATTTATTTGATTTTATTTTAAAGATTGTGTATTTAACTTTGGTAAATTTAATGTGAGATATAATACGTAAAATAAAATAATTAATGGAGGCAAAGAAGATCATCGGTATAGGCAGTCCATTGTTAGATATTCAAGCTGAAGTACCAGCTGAATTCCTTGAGAAGTACGGATTGACACTCAATAACACTTATTTTGCTGAGGAGAAACATTTACCACTCTACGAGGAATTGATAAACATTCCAACTCATTCTCATGTTCCAGGAGGTATGCAAATCCCAATTATTCTTAGGATCTGCACTTAACACCATAAGATTGTCTAGATGGATGGCTTAAGCTGGTTAGGATCAAGTAAAATTCATCGGTTGTGTTGGAAAGAAGGACAAATTTGCAAATATGTTAATAGAGGTGACAAATTAAGACGGAGTGACCACCTTATTTGACGAATAGGATCAACCTACTGGTAAATGCGGAGTGTTGCTCTGCAATAAGGATAGGTATTTACAATAATTAGAAAACTAATAGATGTTTGGTTCCCTTGATTGGTGCAGCAGCTCATTTGTCTGAAGCCTATGTCGATTAGCATATCGAGGATATCAAAACTGCTACTGTCTTATTTAGTGAAGTGTATTTCTTGTATCCAAGAGCTGAACTTACAAAGAAAGTATATTAAATTGCTTCAGAAAATGGTGTGAACACTTGCTTGACTCTTTCAAGTGTAAATGCAGTAAGTGATAGATTCAATGAAATATTGGCCGTCCTCCCATATGTTGATTACTTGTTTGGTAACGAAGAGGAAGTTGAATAATTTGCTAAGAATTTGAAGTTCGAGGGAGATCTCCCAACTGTAATGTAATAGATAGCTGGGTAAGAAAAACATGGACAAAGAGAAAGAGTGGTTGTATGCACTTAAGGAAAGAAACCAACATTGATTGCTAAAAAGAATGAAGTTATAACTGTTGAAGTTTAGTTGGTCGATGTATCAAAGATTGTTGACACCAATAGTGCTGGTGATTCATTTTGCGGAGGGTATTCAATTAATTTATATTAATTAGATTTATTGCTGAATTGTTGAATGGTCCAGATCTTGTCAAATGTGCCAAGGCTGGAAATTATTCAGCCTCATAAACCATCTAGCATGAGGGAAGCACAATTCCAAAATATGCACCAGAAAAAACATGGTGAAAAGATATTATTTATTACATAAATAATAAATACAAAATATTTTCATGAGTTTGAGTTAATTATTAAAGGAAGAAGAAGAAGAAGAAGCAGGACTTAACTAACCTATTCAGCAAGTCTCTACTGTTCCAATTCGTAGAAAAAATAAAAAAAGACAAATTCTCAATCCTTCTTTAAACACTGGACATTGGAGCCAATAAGAACACTAAACTTACTTAGACTTTCTCCAATAACACAAAGAAATCATGGAATCGCAGGACTAGAAGAAAAGCAATAAAATCTTTAAATAAATGAGTGAAATCATTGGAAGTCGCAGTCCTTCTCAATGTAGGTATCAAATCAACTCTATTTATCAAATTAGATCTCATCATCAAAAGTTCAATCCATTCATTCACCAAGTCAAGAAAAGATAAAAAGGGGCAGGCAGAAAGAAGAAGGATAACCAAACAACCCAACCAATCTAGCCTTTCTTTCCTTTCTATTAACAACCCATCTTATCTCAACATCAACTAGACTTTCCCTTATTCCAAACTAACAACCCTGAAGAAGTGGTCTACCCATAACCAATCGCATCAGATAGGAGTCTCCTTTACAATTTCGGTTTCCTTCCATAATTCCCTATCAACTTGAACTACTATACTGATTTTTTTGTTAATTAGACCATGTACTAAAATGAAAAAGAGAATTAATTTGATGATTAGTGATATTATTCATAATTCAAGATTACTAAATACTATCATCCTAAATCTTTTGACTAGTATTTTTAGTCAAATAATGCAGGTTTCCAATGAAAAAGCCACACCTTCTTGTAATGTCCATTTTCACTTAATCAAAAAGGAAGTCTTTTTTTGATTCATCTTTTTGAGTTCTTCTTTCATTAGTATTTTTTTAAGTCTTCTTTTGCCGTCTCATTTAAATTCTCTATATTTTAATTTCATTTTTACTAATGTCTATCATAGCTATCAATTCCTCAGAGTAAGAAGTTGGTCGCAATATTCGAAGGTAAGTCTCATAACTATTCCACCTTAGTTCAAAAAAGAAGTATCTATGGAAATTCTCAATAGATGATGCTGATTAAGAAATTGTGCTTTTGATTTCCTCTCTTTCAGGCAAAAAAGAAGTTAGACACAATGGAAGACTGATTTATTAAGAATCCAGGTAACACTCTTTCCATATCATCTATTTTCAGTCTTTTTTCTGAATTCAGATACCTACATAAACTTTAATACTGCCTTGTAACCATCGCCCCCAAGCATGATTCATATCAACTTTACTTGAACAATATTCCTTTTGCTGAATATTTCGACGCTGGCAATTCAGATTAAAATGTAAATCCTAAAAATGGAACTTTTAACAACGATGATCCTGAGGGGGTTGATGCCAGTCAATCGAAGGAGTCTGAACCAAAATAATCGAATTTTTAATAGCCCTTACAGAAGTTTAGACTAAGTGTGCCAAATAAGATAACAAATAATAATTAAAACAAAACAGAAAGCAAATAATAAGGAATATTTTGGAATTAAGGAGTTAATTAAGACTTTGCTAATTTTGGTACTACTTAAACTAAAGGAACAGACAATACGTTTGGGAATTTTGGTTTCACATTTGATACTCCATAAAAAGAAATAAAAAATACAAATTCATAAGTAGCATAACAAACTAATCAAAAGCAGAATGAAAAACCAAATCCTTTCTTTGAATTTGGTTAGAATTCGTGGTCAGCTCCTTAAAATAATTACGACTATGGTTTCATCTAATAACCCTCACAAATTCAGGTTTAATAGACAAGATTATTTACTTCAGATATTAAACCTCAAACTAAAACAGAATAACAATTAAACAATACACCTTAACCATTAAACTTAACAAATCAATAAATTTTATATAATTAATCCAATTTAACTAATCAATAATAATAATAATAAGTACAACTTCAATTATAATAATAATAATGTAACTTCTAATAATAATAACTAGTCAACTCATCAACCATCAAACCCTAAGTATCGTCATAGAGCGATTTATTGGATTTTTTTGAATATAATTAGCCTGCACAGAATACGATTAATTGTTCATATTAATAATAAGAATTAAAAAAAAGCCATTCTTAAGCAGTTATAATGCCTATTTAAGCTTAAAATTAGAGTACACAAATGATTTTTTAAAGTTACAAGAATCCAATCTAACAAAATCCATTTTAAAATATATAAAATTATTAGTTCAATTCCTCATATCAACAATAGTTTTAATCTTCTTACCCTAATTAGAGAACAACACAATCATTAACTCCTCTAACATCCTCATTTTAATCAACAAAAAGGTAGATGCCAAAGGAGCTAGAGGACATGTTTGATCAGCCAATGTAAACTACTTAGCCTCAGCTATAGAAAAGATCAACTCCTTTTGATGATGATCTATTTACCTGAATTATAATATGATGACTTAATGAAATAGAATTAATAATTATTTTTAAAAACTCATGCAATATAAAATTACTTTCAACCAAATCCATATCCTTCTAATCCAATTGTGAAGGCGATATCTAGTTTTTATTTCATTTGTCCATAGTTTGGATACAATGGGACTTCAATTGACTTAAAGCATGTATGAGCAAGAGGCAATTTTCTAGTATCCAGGTTATTTTTGAATTCAACTGATATGATATATGAGCTTTAATCAAATGGAATAGCAGAGGAACCTAAAGGTGGATTAATAAAGTTACCAGTAATGAACTTTAACATGTTCTTTAATGTTTATGAATCAGCTTGGTTGACGTAGGTCTCAAAGTAAGATTTGTGATTTGCCTTACCTCCAGAATATGTTATTTTTTGTAAGATAACTTCAGGCTTTATTTCAAGTAATCCTTGTGTGAACAATGATATCTCAGAAGGAGTCAGCCACTTTTGGAAAATCTAAGAGCAATCTTAATTCAAAGTACCTTTAAATCGACAACAGATGTAAATCCTTCAATAAATGATTTGTAGATGTCTTGGAATTATTTGTAAATAATGTATTCAGCAGTTTTGTCTAAATACTGGTGCACGTTATTTGTAGTCACAGGCATTGTAGATCCATTGGGAATGAGCTCAATGGTGGAATTACCTAATTAATAAGTAAAATCTAAGTAGAGAGATTCAAGTGTTTCTGCATTCATGTCTCTGAGATTAGCATAATTGGAGTATGTTTATTTATCCCATATTAGGAACAAGTCTTCAAAGAGGATCTTTTCATTATACAAGACCTTCCAAAATGGGCTTATTATATCAATGCCGATCAAGTAACCATTGGCAATTGCATTGGCAATTAACTATTATTTGAATTAAATGATACCTTTCCGAATAGCAGAGCATAATCTTTTTTATTTTTGATTCTGTTGAAATTACTATGTAGGAAATATTTTCCAAGATTGCCTTAAACAGGCTAGAAGAATTTATAGGTGTCGTCTTTTAGGGTGTTTCCTATCATATCATAGAATTCTCTCCTAAGACCTCCAGCATCAATACCAGGTTCATCCTAAAAGGTAATACTGAATCTTAAATTCATTTTCTTCTCTGTTAATTCTGACAAATCCTTCAAGAAATTCAATCTTCTAATCTTTAACTAATAATCCATTGGCTTGAAACTTTTGTCTAATTCTGCTTCGAAATTTTTTTTTCTTTTTTCTAAACAAACCCCTGAAATCTGAATTGGTTTCACTATAAAAATACTCTTATATAATCATACCTAATTTAATGTCATTGTTGATCATAAAAATAATTTCAGTTTATTGATCAATTATCTCTATATTCTCAGGGATGAAATGAGCCTTTGCATTAATGGATCCGCTCTTCTACAAGTTTTAGAAACTCACTTACAGCTTAGCCTCTTTAGCAGCATCTACTTTGCAATGACAATCCAAATATAAATCGTATTCAATATCACCATAAATGTTTGAGAAGACATCCCTTATTTAAAATGTGAATGGAATATCTTCATAAAATGGTATAGTGTGCAAATCTTGAGGAAGCTCTATCACACTTTCCTATATACTAGGCACATTAGCCAGTATAACGAACCTACCCTTGATTCTTACGTCGTCAATGTACAGTTTATAGACTCCTTTAAAAATTGGAGTCCAAGTTAGATGCAGTTCTGAATTTATTTTCTCTTACTCGGGAACGTATTGAATTTAATTAAATAGGGAGTGCACAAAAACCAAGGAGGAATAGGAGAAATTGTTGATTCGATTTCCCAAATTATCCTTAAATTCCAGACAATCAACTCTTTCTTATCCTGCTCTTGATGCTGCTTGGATTTCCTATTTGCTTAGCATATTAATTGTATTGCCTATTTGTAAATCCTTAGAATGAGTTATAGGTTCACATGATTTGTGGTACAGCACCTCATCAGCCTTTGAGCTCGACTTCTTTAATAGGAGCTTCATCATCCTTCCATCCCCAGCCCCAAAAGGCACTTATTCCTCTTATTCAAATTCAATGTCCTTGTCCAATCCTTCTAATATTACCTTCCCATGAGTAGTCTTGCTCAAATCTTAAGTGTTTTCTGTAATGTACTCAAATATCAGTTCATTAACAAAGTTATAATCTAGCATAGAGATTCTATATTGTTAAGATGTTATTTTGATTGTTAGGATCTTATCACTAAAAAGCTCAACCAAGAGAGACTGATTAGTTATGAATCTATATGTAATTTATAGGTTCTCCTTCTTTTTGTCCTTCCTAATTAGATTCATTAGATTGGTCTTTAACTTGCCTTTTTCTACTTCAACTTTGCTTAATTGAGATTCAATTGGATTATTGGAATCCAAATCTTTTATTAATAGGAACTGAGAGTTGCTAATGGTTTGATCATAGCTAACTTGGTTGTGATAGCCACTTAATAGTTTGTGAGTTTAACATTTAACAGTTTGGAAGATTTGATAGGTTTCATCCACCTTGAAGACGAGATAAAGTTAATCAAACTAATTTGGATCTATGTCATCCAAGCGTTATAACTTCCCTTTCTTTAAATCATACAATTGCAATTCAACTTTTTGACAGTCCTCAACCCCACTTAATAGTTCTCTAGGATTAAGGGGGGATGGAATTACAATTAAATCTGGTCCACTGTATTTGACTTTTTCATTGTACCTATTGCTCAGATAGAATTGTTTATTATTAAGGTAATCCAAGAAGAAATCGCAGATGTTGAAATCATTGAAAGTTTCATAATTGAGTATTAAATGAGACCCATCCTCGACAAATTGATAGATTGTGTTCTTAAATTAACTCTTGATTTGGTTCTACGGGAGGATGGACATCTTCAATTTAATGTTCTCATCAATCAATTTCAGCAATTTGAATAGATGCTTTGCCAATAAAATTATATCAGCAACAGTTTTGATGTTTTCTATTTGAATCTCTCCAACTTACACTATTTGGAAGTTTTCTTCTGTAAAATAGGAGTCCATCTTATAGACTTGGAATTTCAGAATCAAATTGAACAAAAATTGAGCAATCAATCCTTAGTCTGGCACATAGGCAACATCATTCTCGTCTACAAGGGTATAGCACTTTAATGTTCTATCTTCATATTGGATTAATGGTTTTTGATTGTCATAGGTTTTTTCAAAAATTAATTCAATCTTTTCAATGTATGTCTAAATGAAATTGATTTTTATTGTTTGAATTGATTAGATGTCAAATAGATGTTGTAATGAATTATTTATCTTTGGATAAGAGTACCCATCCTTGAAATTTTAATAACCAGATTAAAAGGCCTCGAATATGGTTTCGCCGGCAAGGATAGAATCTACATAGAACTCTGGATTTTAATTGAATTGATCATCAAAATTTAAGAACACATTTTTTAATTCCGTATTCTTCTTGAGGAATTTAATGAAGCTCTTCTGTCGCTATTGAGCTATTTGATTGGTTTCAAAGTGACAAGCCATATTGACAGTTGCAATCTCAATCTAATCAAGTTTAAACTTGTCTCCATTGATTCGGACAAACACGTTTTATCCCTACACTAAAGATTGTTGCTTCTTCAACTGATGCATGGCAGAAAAATCGAAATTGATTTAATCCGGAAAGATGGGTGTCAATTAAGTCAGACTCAAATCGCTATAAGTGGACACCAAACCAACTCCAAAGAGATTATCAAGCATTTCCTACTTGGTGAATTCGTCCTATTCGCATTGAATCTGACTCATAATAGTAGAGAATTTTGGTTCATTGCAAATTGAAATGTTGCCGTCTTGATCAGTGAAAAATACATTCAAAATCGATGCGTTGAAGACAGGATCTGATGGCCAAATTGGTTGAAATAATACAATTGACATTAAGTCTTCAATTTGAACATATCTCAATTCTTTGGTTGATGCTGTACATCCAGAATATCTACTTTGTTTTCTAGTGATTTTCTCGTGTGTTAAGAGTTCGTCGTTCATGGAATCTATTTTATGAAATAAAAGGTGTCCTGGTTTAGAATTGTAAACCAATTACCCTGGTTCTAAATTGTTTCTCTGCTTCTCGCAGAAGATTAACATGCAAACATCTCCCAATTTACTATTATTTACATAATAATTCTTGGAGATCTAAAATCCAAAATGATATGCAAGCTTTATATTGCTCTTTTGAGTGACAGGACATAGATTTTCTAAAATCTTAGATTTCTATTTAAGTTGCAACTATCTTGTATTCGATACAATTATGTTCATTAATGTTTGATTTTATCTCAATGCAGATAACAAACATGATAATCTAATATTAAACATTTCATCAAATCTCTCAGCTTTCAATTGCTTTTGTAAAAACCCATATAAGTCTTCTTTAAAATATTTGTTCAATTTTTATAAGATGTACCAAATTTACTCCATTTCTTTTAATCTAGTCTTGCTATTCTTACTCTGATTGATTTTGGAGATTTCACCTGAGAAGATTGAGGCTAGAGATTGATGATCAACTGACAACGTAATAGTTTTATTGAGAGTCTTGCTTAATTGATTTGAATATTAGAGCAAGTGTCGATCGACATCCAATTTATTGAACAAGTATTAAATTAGTTATTCTGGATTGAATATTTAATTGTAGAAATCATATTCATTTATTATGCTATGGAAATATTCCTATGTAAATGGATCTTACTTAAATACACTTTTATTCCTCTACTAAATCTAAGGGGCTTGTTCAACTTATTGAATTTTTTACTATCTCTGACTGGCTATCACAATGTTCAATCTAATGATCAGGATGTGATTGTAAAGTAGATAAGTAGTATTTCCGAATTAGAAGATTTTGTCCAACCCATTTTATTGATCATTCTCCACAAACTAAACCCCTTGTTATTCATTGAATTCAACATAAACCCCTCTGATCACCTTTAACACTTACTATGCTTTTATCAAATTGTTGTAGAGTAATTAGTGCAAAATCATAATCAACGTATCCCAACTGAACACAAGTTCAATGATTGAATAGATGTTAATTATTTTATTTGAAGCTTATTACAGTTCAACCAATTTACTCACTATAACTTCTAAGAATGATATTGTATTTATTCTCCAGACCAATTTACTATTATCCTCACTTCTCCCCAGCAATTATTGCACTTTTTCAATAAATACAACCAATTTGGTAAGTATCATCTAAATATTATAGGTTGAAAACAATTAATCTTGAAACACAAAGTGTTAATTTTTAATATAAAATGGAAATTCCAACTTCCAATTTTGCTATTATTTCTATTCAATTAGAGAACTTAAAAATTCATTATATTTATAAAAATCTTAAATTATTATTGAAATTACAGCATCCCCATTATAATTAGCAACGAACTCCTCTTCTGATAATTTTACTAAATTAATTACTACTTGAGGTTGAATGAAGTTATAGAACTCGGCAAATATTAGCTCTTTCTGATTTTTCTATTTCTTTTACTGTCTCACCTAATAGGTATTATCAGGCAGTAACTCAAACATAAATTGAAAATCTTCCTTCATTATTTGCTGTTGATTCATATGTGATTGTCTCTGTATCTGGTTCCCCTATGACACACCCATCTGACTCTGACTCTAATGAATTAAAGATGGAGGTTGTCCCTGAGTTTGAAATAGTTGCATATCAGTTTATCGCACTTACTCATGCTAATGAGGAGCAAACACATCATCTATCTAATAAATGCCAACTTTTTCAAATTATTATTCCATAAGCTCCTTGAAGAACAAACACTTCTCAATCACATTCTCCTTTGCATTTGCAATGATCTCATTAAAGTCAACTGTAGTGATTGAACTGAAATCAAAACTCTTCCAATTCTCTTAGAATTCTTGATATTGAATTAATTCTATATCTATATTCATCTAATAATTCGCTATCTTTAATTGAGGGATAGCTTAAGCAATCTTCTCTTCAGATAAGTAAAATCCTTAATCCAATTATTGAAGTGGGATAAAGAAACCGACTTCCTCATATGTTATCTACTGGTCTCCAAAAACAATGAAGACATTTTTCTTAAAATTATTCATAGTAGTAATCTCCTCACTCAATCTATCGATAAATCCTTTGATGATTTGATTAATTTATTAGATACATATTATACCTCTTAAGATAGCTAATTCCTTGGAATTCTCCTTCTCTAAAATTTATTCAAAATACGAAACTTCTTTAAATTGATAATCTTTATTTAATTGCTAAAACAAGAAAGTCTTACTGTTCTCAGTAAGATATGGCTTTTTCTATTAGATTTTGCATTCCTGCTTTACAAGAATCAAATATAATTCCACAATAACTTTTAACTATTATGATTAAGTAACCCATTCTTAATACTCGTCCTTTTGAATGCACATCAATAAATAAAAGGCATAAAGAATACTTTTTTGTATCTATTTTGTTTTACCATCTTCAACTGGTTAATCAACTCCTTCCCTTCCTTAAATTTCATCAGCCATCTTATCTGCAATTTCATCAGCAATTTTATCAGCCACTTTATCAGCCATCTCATCAGCCATCTTATCAGCAATTTTATCAGCAATTTCATCAGCCATCTCATCAGCCATCTTATCAGCAATTTCATCAGCAATTTCAATATGCTTATCCTCCATATTATCTTCGTTCTACTCCACTTATTAAGAAATTTACTCCTGCTTGTTGTTCTCACTTTAGTTTTAACTTTTCTATTCATTCTGAATTTGATTTTCTACCTTCTTCTTTTTACTTTTCTTTTATTTTTGACTTCTTATTTGCTCTTATTATTATTCTTGCTCTATGTATGCCTAATATTGTGATTCTACATACTCAAATAATTCAGGAGTTTGATATAAAGCTTGATTCAGAATAATAACTAAGGAAATGGTTAGAACCTCTGGGTTAGTATGTATAAGGAATATCTTAGGATTTATAGTAGCAATTTCATTAAAAATTGGATGTTAATATATGAGATGTTCTTGACATTGTTCAAGAAGAATCTGATATTCATCCTGTTCCATTTAATAAGATCCATCAGGTTGTTTGTATTCCAATAAGAACTATTTGAGAAGAATAGGATTATAATGATATATATCGACAACCTACCATTTATCCAGAGCCATTTATAGAGTCAAAGCCTTGCTGCTCAACTTGTAAAAACAACCCAAATTTAATACAAAATTGATACAAGCTTTTTCATATTAAATTAGTGATAATATTTATTAATTTCGATTGGATTTCATTATTTATTGATTACTCTTCTCTGATTCATTTTAATAGTAAAGAGACTACGAGTCAATTTTCTATTCTACGCAAGCTAGAGGAAGATATTTTTAGTACAATTCAATAAATTTAGAATAAGGAGTGTTGTTATTTTAAGATTTGTTTTATACGAAGTAATTGATATCGTAATGTTGAATGAAATCTAAATGTCTCATAGTTATGACATCCTCACAATAATTCAGAATAAAATAGTTTTTCCTCATTAAGGCTAGACCTAAGATGTCTTAGTTGTTATCTCCTCCAACAACAACTAGTAATTCCTCTTTTAAAATTTGAAGAGCCTTTTATTGCCCATGTATTTGAATCATGAATGGTAAATAGATGTCTTCAAATAATTTCTGTCTTCTCATGAGCATTAAGTGATATAAAATGGGTTGATTATCAATTTAGAAAATTCTATTGGTTTATTTGACCTAGTCTTTAATGTATTTATTGAAGAACTTTATCACAAGATTGTCAGTGAAATTGCCTGAAATAATCAATTAAAAGAGATTCTATTCCAATACAAGTTTATTTGGTTGTTGATGGAGTTGTATAGTGAAAAGAATAGTTTCCATATTTCCACTAATCAGAGCGAGAACCAAGTTTTCGTAACTAAATTATGGTTTCTATAGGATGTGATTATGTTTGCCAAAAATCAAATACACTTAATCTGGTGTTAAATTTTTTAAGTTNTATGCTTATCCTCCATATTATCTTCGTTCTACTCCACTTATTAAGAAATTTACTCCTGCTTGTTGTTCTCACTTTAGTTTTAACTTTTCTATTCATTCTGAATTTGATTTTCTACCTTCTTCTTTTTACTTTTCTTTTATTTTTGACTTCTTATTTGCTCTTATTATTATTCTTGCTCTATGTATGCCTAATATTGTGATTCTACATACTCAAATAATTCAGGAGTTTGATATAAAGCTTGATTCAGAATAATAACTAAGGAAATGGTTAGAACCTCTGGGTTAGTATGTATAAGGAATATCTTAGGATTTATAGTAGCAATTTCATTAAAAATTGGATGTTAATATATGAGATGTTCTTGACATTGTTCAAGAAGAATCTGATATTCATCCTGTTCCATTTAATAAGATCCATCAGGTTGTTTGTATTCCAATAAGAACTATTTGAGAAGAATAGGATTATAATGATATATATCGACAACCTACCATTTATCCAGAGCCATTTATAGAGTCAAAGCCTTGCTGCTCAACTTGTAAAAACAACCCAAATTTAATACAAAATTGATACAAGCTTTTTCATATTAAATTAGTGATAATATTTATTAATTTCGATTGGATTTCATTATTTATTGATTACTCTTCTCTGATTCATTTTAATAGTAAAGAGACTACGAGTCAATTTTCTATTCTACGCAAGCTAGAGGAAGATATTTTTAGTACAATTCAATAAATTTAGAATAAGGAGTGTTGTTATTTTAAGATTTGTTTTATACGAAGTAATTGATATCGTAATGTTGAATGAAATCTAAATGTCTCATAGTTATGACATCCTCACAATAATTCAGAATAAAATAGTTTTTCCTCATTAAGGCTAGACCTAAGATGTCTTAGTTGTTATCTCCTCCAACAACAACTAGTAATTCCTCTTTTAAAATTTGAAGAGCCTTTTATTGCCCATGTATTTGAATCATGAATGGTAAATAGATGTCTTCAAATAATTTCTGTCTTCTCATGAGCATTAAGTGATATAAAATGGGTTGATTATCAATTTAGAAAATTCTATTGGTTTATTTGACCTAGTCTTTAATGTATTTATTGAAGAACTTTATCACAAGATTGTCAGTGAAATTGCCTGAAATAATCAATTAAAAGAGATTCTATTCCAATACAAGTTTATTTGGTTGTTGATGGAGTTGTATAGTGAAAAGAATAGTTTCCATATTTCCACTAATCAGAGCGAGAACCAAGTTTTCGTAACTAAATTATGGTTTCTATAGGATGTGATTATGTTTGCCAAAAATCAAATACACTTAATCTGGTGTTAAATTTTTTAAGTTTGCCCCAACTCCACTTATAAATCGAGAGTAGAATTGCATTCTCTTCTCGAACTTCTTACAGGAGACATCGTATTGTGAGGCTGGCAAAAGGTTCACTTCATTTTTAGCATAAAACTAAGTAGCCTTATTGAATTTGAATTTCAATAATCCCTTATATTTCTTTTTCATTATTGGTACCAATTTGATATTCTGATATTTTATAGTCATTATGATGTAATCCAAATCGTCATTGCTTGGATCATATTTCTGATCTTCACATATAAATTGAGATACAAACAACTCCAGCATCTGAGGACGTATATTTCTAAAGTTACTTTTCACATATTTGTTAAGAGAGGTTGTACAATTTGCTTTCAGCAATTCGATATATTCCTTGGATTTATGCTTTAAGAATTTAGGTCCTGCCTATTTTAATAAAATGTGGTTGACCAATATTTCCACCAATTACTCTTTTTACTGAACCTACTATTTACTTGGATATCTGAGAGCGTACATTCTTTCATAAAATGGAGATTTTTAAATCAAACTTTTCTAATTAGCCCATTTTTAAACTAACTCAAAACATTTGTCATAGTTTTATGATTGTGAATTCTAACTAGATTGAAATAAACACGAGTAATTTTAATTTTATTTTGAATAAGCTTAATTTTATGCATAAAGTAATTAATATTCTTATTTCTAAATGAATTCAATCTTTTTGACTGGATGATTAATTCTTTTCTTTGATTACTCAAATTGTTGCTGTGCTCTATTTATAAAGGATTACATTAAATCCTTTTATTTTAATTGTTTCCTCTCCAAAGTGTATGAGTGATTTGAACTGAAAAAGTAGTATCTTTCCACCTCATTCAATTTTTTAAATTCAGCATGTAAAAACTCTACCTAATGATCCTTCAATGATTCATTATAAGGTTAAATATTAGCTTCTATTAATAGAGTAGCAATCAGTTCGCAAAAACTGTCTTTTTCTTGGATCTACTCAAATGGACCGATTAATTGACTCAACATTTCTACTTTCTCATGTAAACCATTTCTTAAACATAACAAAAAGTCACTTTATAGTTTTACTTTTTCAAATTTGTTTTATTTTACATATTTTTGGTATTGTTGTATATTGAGCACCAAACAAGGATTATGTCGAAGAGCTAAATTATAATTATTGTATTCAGAATCAACACTAAACTAATTTCCCAACAAAAAGTTCATTTTATTTGAGTTTTTCTCCGGATCCTTGTCCAAAATTCCCAATAGGCGATTTAATGAATCTTAATCTCTATTCTAATAAGCCTTCATATAAAAATATTGAATGAATTGTATTCGATCTTTCAATTCTTACTTTTTAAGGCCTTCCTATAGAATATCAATAGCCTTAGATGGATTCTAACTGAAACGCAATAACAACAATGCTCTCATCACAATTTTAGATTCTTCTGCTTTATTCAAGAGCTAAACTCTCTTTATCATGGGAAATATCATCTCCTAATCTTTCTAACATACTTTGATCAATAAGTTTTTCAGATTCACAAATATATCCAGGGGTATATCATTCAATAACGCAGACTTCACTTCCCTATCCCCACAAGAATTCATTACCTATATAATTTCAAACAATTTCAGATCTTAAAAGTTTAACTTAAGATTCTGGTAGGATTTAAGATTTATGACAGAGTAAAGATGGCAAGTTTTTAGTAAACTTAATTTCCTTCTACTTTCATCTTCAGTGTAATCTAAATTTGCAAAAAGCTATAACAAAGCGTCATTGAATTTTTCGATTTCCTCTTTGTTTTTCTTAGGATTCCAATCCAAAGGGAAAAAGTTCTAAGCCAAAATAGATGCCAAAACCATTCTAGAAGTCTCTGTAATCTTTAAGATTACATTTAAATTCTGAAATGATTTATTTTAAACAACATCTTTTAATGATAATTCGTAAATTACCCATTCAAATATTAAGGGTTAAGGATATATTTAAGTTAAATCGTCGTAACATTCCTTTATGGTGATCAAGGATGCCAAAAAAGATTTTTTATTCTATTTAGTATACAAGATAGCCTTCTCTTTGTAATTCTTTGGAACTGGGTATTCTTTTAGAGGAACCATGAAATTTACTTACATACCACCCATCTCCCAATTATAGATGTTTTCAAGATGATCTTCTTTCATTTTAAAGATTGTACAAGTTATGCTCCTTAAATAGTCTTGATCATCTACGACATCTAGAATAAAGTTGAAGTCGGATTTTATGTTTTTTGCATTAAAGAAGAGTGAGGAGGTCCAATGTTGAGAATTAACACTCACATCAAAATAATCATCCAAAAGATGCAAACCTTTGGGGAACTTGCGAAAATTATCATTGAACTCTAGTTTACTTAGAGTTTAGACGTTCTATTCCTAATTACAATCACACAGTTTATCAAACAAATTATCCTTCTTTATCTAATACTCAAAACAATTTATCTTCAAGAATTGAAGGAATTCCTTAAAAGTATAAGTGGGACCATCCTGAATATCAACCGCCTTCAAAACTAAAAACACTTTTATCTAATTGATGACTAGTTTATCTCTTTTAATCCTTTTGATCTACTTTTTGATAGGTTAATCAGGTTTATTCTAATTATTTCTATTTTTTGTTTTTCCGCTTTTGTTAGTTGTTTACTTATGGGTCACCTGATTTGAAGGCTAAAGAAGGATTTTCTCTTCTAATTTATGGATAATATGGTAATAAATCTTATCATTAATCACCTATTTGCAAGGTTCTTCAAACTTTTGCTTTATGACCCTACCTTGATGTTCTGGAAGAGAGGGATTTTCTTATTAGAAATTAGCAACAAAAGTGATATTTTTATAAATTTGATTTATAAATTCATCATCTACTAATAATAGTTTGTTATTAAGATAGAGTTTACGAAGTATTTAAAATCCAACCAATTCATTTTTCTAAAATTCTAACCTGTTAACTTTATAACATGATTCAAATGCTTTCTCATTCAAATCTACAAGTTGCGTATAAATACAATCAAAGTAATATAATTGCTATTTCGATCTACCATCTTGAAACCCATAAATGGAGTTATTCAATTTAGATTTTGCATCGAAATACCCATGCAAAGGAGTCTTCAACAATTAAGGATTTGAGCTAATTGCTTATTTGATATACTCAATAATGGAGGTTAGCTGGGATCGATCTGATGCAAACTTAACTATTTAGATTAATTTCGATATGAATTATGATTGCATATTGATTTCATTATTATTATTGTCAATTTATTGGTTTTAGTAATAGGGTTTTATTAACTCAACTTACTTATGAACCAAATCAACTTAATCGAATTAAATCAGTTAAATTAATAACGGTCTCACGATGCCACTAAATTCGTATGGATAATGTGTTGAATGCACATCAAAATTAGTAATCCAACTTAAATTGATTTTGAACTTATGCTTTATCAACTATTTCGCAACTTAAATGTACTAATAATAAATCTTATCATATTATTAATAGTTTTATTCTTCATAGTTTTGAATTCTCAATCTTTTGGGTGTTTTATTATTTTGCATTGAGTGATAGTACAATGTAGAGGGGTTGATCCTTTGTTTTTTCCAATCTTTTTTATTTCGGTCAAACGCAGATTTTAGAACATCACAATAAATTTGATAAAAATCAAACTCTTTTTACACATGCTAGCTTAAAAATGTTATGAAAAACTCTTGAGGGTCCTTCCAATAATCCAAATAAGCGACTAAGGGAATTTACTCATTATAGGGTTAGACCAATAAATCTTTTAACAAATCTTGATATTAATTTAAGCTATCAATGAGGGATTTGATTTCATCAATAGATCTTTTAGAATTATTAAGGCATAAACAATGTATTAAGTTTTTTCCATTTCTTTAATAAAAATGCAATGCCTTTTCTAAAGTATCTGGATATAAGGTTATATATTCATTGATGACACTAATGGGTGCATTTTAGAATAGCATCATCATTGGAGTCACTTATGCAACATTGGGCATCAAATAATAATCATTAGAATATTGCATAAACATATCCCATTTATTTTAGAGTGCAATTTAATGAAAGATGTTAAATTACAATTCCTCCAAAATAGCCTTGTCGACAATTCTGACTGTATTTAGTCCCAATGGTATACATTTAGGAACAATCAAGTGTTAAAATCTGTAATACTTTTTGGCCTCTCGATACGATTTCATAAAATCATAATAATCAATTTCGCTCTTTTTAAAGAGCTTGCTAATCAATCCAAACAGTTTCAATTAATCTTAATTCTTGAGATCTACATAGGTATCAATATTAGTAAATTTCATTTGCTTTAAAATGCACTCTACTTCTTTGGAGTGAAATATTGATTAAATGAATTATATGGACAATTGCAGTTATTCCTTACTGCTAAAAAAAGGCTTCAATTTGTTAAACAATCGATGAGCAGTCGCTTCTAATATGAATTCATCTGGCAACGAGTGATTGAGTAGAACATGTTGGATGATTTCGTAATCATTGATGTAAATTAGGACCAATTCAATTAAGTAATAATTTTGTTGGTTCTTTAAAGATAGGACATCTATCAGTGTCTTGTTATATTTTTGGCAAATTTCCTGAAGGATATTAAAAATTGACTTACATTCAATGAAGCTAAATTTAATTGTTTATTGTGAATTAATATTTCCACTTCCTGAACTATATTCATTTATTCCTCGTTGTATTCATAATACTATAACTTTAATCTTCTCCTTTGCTCTATTACGAACTGCCTAACTTCTAATTAATTAACAATTATTATACTTGGCTTTGAATTGCCCTTTACCGCTTTTTCATTATCTTATTACTCCACCTCATTTTGATTATCTAATTGTTACTCTTTTATTAGATCATCACTAGCATCAACACCCTCCATTTCAAACTAGTTTTGCTTCATATCTCGAGGTTTCATAATCACGCCGATTCTACCCTATTTCTGATTATCAATCAAGATAACTTGATCATCTTCATCATGTTGATTTTATTGCATTTGCAGTTATTATTTATGATCTCCCTTGCTTCCATATGTTTACTCCGTCTGATTTTTCCACTGATCTGGCTTGTGATTTGAAGGCAAGGAAATTTAATTTGCAGCACTGGCACAACAACCCATGATTGTAGTAAATTATAATATTTAATATAATTTATTATTAAGATTGCCAAATAATTATCAACTAATTCTGGTTATTTCTGGGAGGTCTAAATGTTTTGCATAAGTCAAAGTTTCAAGACCCCTCCTCCTATACTACAAACACTTATCATATTATTCTAATGATTACCATATATCACTTAAATCTAGTTAAAATGGAATGGTACCAATTAAAGCTATCTCTTTATTGTATAAATGTCAAGGTGCAATATTCAGTCTGATTAATTTTTTATAATAGCAAAATACTAGCAAAATAATAGAAATACTAAATTTCTACTAATTCTATCAGTCATTTTTGTTGGACTATTCCAATTTGTTTGTAGTTTATCTGCTAAAATTAACACTTTCTATGCTTATCTTTCATCTTAACTGGATAGCAAAATGATGAAGTTTGTTTAAATAATATAATTTCTATAATATAGATAAAATGCTTAAAAAAAAGTCCAAATTCTAAACCCTTTGATTCTTATCGAATGTTCAATTAGATGACTAAATAAAAAAATAGGATTCCAAAGATACAGCATGTAAGAGTTGTGTGTTTTGTGATCTAAAGGATCAAGTTTTAGTTAAATCTAATTGAGTCTTGAGTCTGTTTTCTCTTGAGAATCTTTATAATAGACGTCAGATCAGCACCATCTTTTTCTCTACTTTGCTTCTTAATAAGACTTTTATAATGATCTCATAACTCTTACTTTATATTAATATTTTCATCAAATTAAAATTTATGTAATCAAATTTAGAAATTAGATCAAAAGTTTTTGATCTTAAGGTTTCTAGAAGAAAAGAATAAAATCTTTAGTATTCTTAATGAAGGAAGAGTTTGAGAGTTATATTAAAAGGCTAAATAAAAATTGCTTCAATAATTTACATAATTATTTTGATGCTAAAAATGTAAAAAGTATGGGCTTACCAATATTCTTTAAAAATCTAATATATGCATAATTAACTACATAAGCTGATATCTAGTTATGAGTATGTTATTGAAATATAGAACTTACTTTATATATGTATTCGATTCTAACACATTTATCATAAAAAATATCTAAAAAAAATTTTTAATATTATGATAACTATTGTTATAAATTAAAAAATATTATTAAACTTAACAACTTTAATTTGCAAAATTTTATGCTCAGAAACGTAAGAAATAAAGAAATTTAATCAGTGTAAGTGCTTATGGCCTATTGAATCCAAAATAATGTATTTTAATCTTCTTTGAGTTTACAGTATAAGGCATTTGAGTTTTTCGTGGATCTTGTGGGATTCTGCAAATATGGAACGTTTGAGATTGTATACTGTTGTTCTCCGAAATAATATTTTTAAAATTTTGTCTTTATAATATAATTGAAATACTTGGAACTTTAATTCATTTATATAAGAAAATAAATCTATGTTTTCAGAAGCAACCAAGGAAGCAAAATAAGATTAATTGGTTCCTCAATTAAATCAGACTCCCAGTAGTACATTCTTTGTATATAATTGTTACATACCTGTCGTCTAAGATTTTATGAATCAGCCTCCCACATTGCAGGTTCGAAATTCAAGTAAGTTTTTCTTAAGCATTCTAGGTGAGTCTTTCCCGTAGATATTGAAATAAACAGACAGTTTACAAATGGGACATCTCGGGGCAGGGATGTCAATTCCAAGTTTTTAATTTGGAGCATCCACTCCTTTTATTAATGCTGAGGATGTTATGAGAAATGTTCAGCCGCAAACCACTTAGAATCATTTCGCATCATTCATTTTAAATGAGCAACTCAAACCGTAGAATCAGCCTCAAAAAAATAGAATTATTGAGGGAACACAAATTATGTGTGACATTGAAATTGTACTCATTTCTCGTTATTTCGATATGAAGGCTACTGTAATTGATATGTGCGATTAAATTAGGTATTTTGCTCTCCTAACAACAAATACAATCTGAAGGAGGACACCTCCATTTCAAATTCCGAGTGGCTAAAAGATCGAATGTCCTACAGATACAAGAAACCTGTATAATTATATATCAATAATTTAGATCAAGGAATCTTTCTGCGATATGATTGAGGTCATACAAAAGGAGGGCGAGGCCAACATGAAGGGAATCATACAACCGATTAAATTCTTATAAAATGGTTTCGATTCCATAGAACGGCAAGTGCCCAAAAGTGTGAAAGTAGAAAAGCCCTTCTCCCTTTTCATTTTAGAAATACAACAACTCATTTCTTCATTTCTATTTAATACCTATTGACAAAATTGAACTGAATGTTGTTTAAATGTTTATATGTTCCTTATTTCAACGATTTTCCATAAATTATTTAATCATAATGCATCGATAGTGTTTCACCATTCCATATTATCCAAAATCACTTATTAATTATAAAATTTATATTTATAACAACTCATAAAAGCAACTGCCATATGTAAATTTAAAATTATAATATTATTGTAATTATATATAATCTCTATTCAACCCCATCTATACATTCCAGGTGGATAGAATGGACGTGCAATCATTTTATCAGAAGCTTGGTAATTCTTGATGGCTGGCAAATTTGCAAAGCTCTCATTATGATTCTTCAATCCCACAAGAGTTGCGAATGCTTCTGGTTTGTAATTTCTTAAAATTTCCTCTGCTTCAAAAAGTTGAAAATCAATGTAAGTCAAATTGTCTCCCACAGCCCATTTACGATTCTCCAAGAATTTACTAAGCTTCTCAGCTATCCAGAAGACCAATTGATTGAATTATTCCTCCTTCTTTGCTTCAAATTGATCTTCAGGGATTGTGAATAATGCAATCAGACCTTTGAACAAGTCTTACAGAACTCCTCTAACGGATGCCAGAGCGACCTATTCCTTTGGATTTTGACCTAATAACTCTGGTTTATTGGCTCTGTAAGCCAAATAAACATAGAGTGCTTGGCTCTCAAAAACTAATTCGTCTCCGTCCTATATGTAGGGTAAATTCGCTAGGACATGTTGATTGAGTGGGGCAGAAGTGACATCCGCAAACCATTCTTCAGGTTTGTAATATCTCTTGTCCTCATATGGTAATCCTAGGTACTCCAAATAGAATCTCACTATAAATAGTGATTGTATTTTTACATGGTTAAGCAAGACCTCTGATAGCCCAATATCCCAAGACAACTTTGTCTCCCATATTTTAATTTAATTATTAACCTGATTAAATTTAAAAGAGAGTATTTATAGGGCAAATTGCCTTATAGATTTGGAATGTTCGATAAATTAATATCCCCAAATTTAGTTATTAATTATATTTTAATATGATGTAGAATAATTAATAATAATAAGCTAAAAAAGTGATAGGTGCCACTTTAATTTTGGAAGAGAAATTTAACTTATATTTGGGGGATCTGGATGACGCACAGAATAAGGTATTTTCTGAAGTGATAGTGTTAAGCAATGGCTAAATTAGCAGAAAATAGGGTGTGTGATAACTGTTGCAAATGGCTAACCTGTCAGTTATTACGACAACAAAATCAAACATCACTATTACTTCATAGATGATAAAGCAGATTTTAAAATATAAAAATATTTTTCAAAAGTTTTTCATGACATCGAAAGGGAGATTCAAACTACTAATGTGCTGAGTAAATTACTAAGTTAATTTGTAGTTCATTGTGCAGCTGGGATTTCTCGATCTGCTACATTCGTCATTGCATATTTAATTTTGAAGAAGGGAATGTCGTACAAATAAGCCTTCAATCATGTGAAAAGTAGAAGACCTATGATCAGACCGAATCCAGGCTTTATAACTGTACTTGAATCTTTAGAATAAAAATAATGAATGATTCATTAAATTATACAAAGACCATATTCACGTTCCTTGCCAAATTCCACGATTTTCTCGAATTCGTCATTGTCTGGAATTTCAACCAATTTGGCATCAATCTTGGTTACATATTTGGACTCCTTGATATAGCTCTTGCTCTCTGTTTGGATAGCCGTTTAAGATGAGTTCTATTGCATTAATTATTAATATATATTAAATAACCCCTTAATCAAAATTATGGCACACTCTTAGGCTTAAGCAATAGTTCACAAAATTGTTTGAGACCATCAATTCCTCTGACTTCATTTTCTTAGAGTGGCATGATAACAACATGAAAATCATCATATAAATCGATCATTTGATCTAAGTATTTCTTTTGCATTTTAGCTCTGGCATTACACATTTTGCATTGATCATCTAAATTGGACATTACTAATATATTATACCTGGGAAGAGCACTTAATTTATAACTATGTTATGAATGTCTATTTTGAATTTGGTTAGTTCTTACACAAGTCTTTCAGTTTCATACATAGAAAGGAACTCTGGAATGCAAACGCCAATGAATGTTGTTTTATTCTTGCATTTATGACTAATATATATATACCTTATCCTTCATTTATGCATTAACCTTAGTGACAGTGTCCTTCATGGTCTCAATCTTACTAAACATTTGATTCATTTATTGGTCGAATTCCTCTTGTGATCCAAATAGTCCTTAAAATTAAGAAGCCAAATTTTAGAAATTGTATCTCAGTTGCACTAATTTATTCAATCCCTTCTCCATAATATTAGGGAAATTGAGTAATCTCAATGTATGTCCAGTGGGTGCTGTATCGAATATAATCAAATCATATTTCATCTCATCCACAGAACTATATTATTAATTACCTTTTACTTCATCAATTCAGCAAAACTCATAGCTTCATCAATTCCTGGTACTGAACTGATTAATTCAGATAACAAGGACTTTGTAGCCTAGTCATTCATAAACCCTTAGAGAGTTGGCAATTTGAGTTTATCTGGATCTACTGTGGGGTCAATTTCCATTGCACTTAAATTCTCTATTCCCTTAATTTAAGTAGGTTGACTTCCTATCTTCTAATCAAAACAATCACTCAGATTATGGGCAGGATCAGTAGAGATTATTATTGTCTACATAATTTCATAGCCATACTTTCTTGCCACTCTAGGCAAATAATGTTGCTAAAGAACTAGAAGTGGTTGTTTTTCCAACACCGCCTTTTCCTCCAACGAATATCCACTTCAGAGATGAATTCTCTAGAACATTCTTTAATGTTGGTTCCACTTATTATTACATTATTTTAATTTATATAAATTTCCATATATTCCTAACTAAATGTCTCTAATTAGCGATAAACCTCCTTTTCATCATTGCACGAATTTATAATGAGAATTTAAGTTATCATTAGAAATATTCAAATTTCTTTTTTTATCCAAGGATCTTCCCTCAATATTTCAGCATGTGGTCTTTAGTCTTTATTATAAGTACAGCATCTTTTGATGAAGTTTTAGCATTCTTTCGAGAGATGAGTGGGTATTGGTGGACACTTCAAATTCTATATAGCCTCTAACAACTATGCTAGAGATTTTATATTCGGCCTAAATCTCTATACAAAATATGCATTTACCATGGATGTTCTGCCGTTGCCATCTCTATGATCACACATCCCAAACTCCATACATCGACTCTCCTTCCATATTTCTTTTCCTTCAAAAGCAGTTCCGGAGCCATCCATTTGAAAGAACTACGATATTACTGTATAATAACCCTTTCATCGACTAACAAAACTCAGTATCTGACAAATTGATTGCTTCTTTCCAAGACGACGATCCAAAATCGGCTATTTTTATCTACCCTCTTTGATTAGACAGAATGTTCCCACATTTCAAATCTCTATGCACAACTGCCTATCGATGCAAATAAATTAATCCATCCAAAATTTAAATTGTAAATCTTCTTATCAATGTCTCATTGAACTTTCCAAACTATTTCAGTCTATCAGACAAACTGCCGCCTATTTTACTTTATATAAGATTACCATCCATATACTCCAAATAGACATTTAACATCCCTGCTTCCCTCATGTATCCATAATATTATACGATGTTTTTATGTGTCAATTTCGACAATATTATAATCTCATTATCCACTGAATCTATTAACTATTTTCCATCCATTTATTTCACAGCAATAAATTTACCTTAGATGAATCCTACAAACACATCTCCAAATGCCCCACTTCCAATCTTCTTACCCAATCTCAAATCTTTGAAATTGTATTCACATCCCACTGCCTTTTATGAGTCCTCCTATTGATCACATAACATGGGTTTCAAGACCAATGGAGCCGGTTTTCTGATTCTAAAATCCTTAGGACTAAGCAATGTCTTATTTTGTGGTTCCGGAGAGTAAATCAAACAAAGCTAGGTAGTCTGATTTTCACTTTCACTAGGATCGATGCTCTATTTCATTTATAAATAAAAAAAATAATTGTATTCAAATGAAATTCTGATAAGTAATGCTTCCCTAAATTACTATTATAAACATATTTCACTATGACTCATTTTGATTATTTCAAAATATATAGGTTTATTATAATCAATATACATTTTGACAAAGAACACAATCAGCACTCTCCTTTAGTTGATCCTGGAAATATTTTATATGAAAAACATGCAAACACTAAAGTTAGGCTTATTATTCGAAATCTCTAAAATTCAAACCACATATAGCACATATACATTCTTCTAAATTCATATTTTATCTCTACTCAAAATATTTCACTTTAAATAAATTGTTTTACATTTCTTTTTATGGTTTTGAAGGTAATTCTTCCTTATTGCCTTAATTTAACGGTTCTTGTATAATTATTTATTATTCTGGCTCTAGATATCCTTGCTGTTAATCTTTCAAATTTTCTGTTTATTGTATTTTCAAAGTTAATATTCTATCTAAGTGGAGATCTGCATCGTTAATATTGATGTGCTTATAACACTTAGGACATCTCAAATATGTTTATTTTGAAACCCAAGCTTCTAGACAAGAAGCTCAAATGTAATGAAAACATTAATTTTGAAATAAAAGGCTTTCATTAAACAATTCTTTGCATTTACAGCATTACTAATCTTAATTTTTATTGTGCTTATATAACACCAATTTATGTAATCTACTTAAATGTAATTTCCACTTTATAAACACATAAATTTATTTTGATAATCACTCTTTGTTATTGCACATTCTTTGCAATAATAATGTTAACAACGAGTTTATATAACTTAATTCTATTCAAAATGATTTTGACAATTAACACATTTCTATATAGCATCCTAATTTTGATATTTTTTTAAATCATATAGTTTAATTAGATAAAACCTTCAAAGGTCAGATATCATGAGTACAATAAGGTACTTTGTTTTACCCTCATAACATCCCATTTAAACTTGATAGAAAGAATATGGCCCTTCGTAAAATTTATTTCACTTGCTTTGAGAAATTTAAGAGGGTTGATTTATTACAAATATTCATAGTAAAAATTTCATTAATAACACAAAATTTACAATTAATAATGTAGTGAAACAATAACTCCCCTTCAAGATTATCAATATATTAAAAATAAGGATTTACCGTGAACAAAGTTTTGAAGGCGATAAAAATCCATAACAAGGATCATCTATTTTTCGCTACTAATGATGATATTATAGATTGATAAAAATCATAAATTCATATTATCTGCTTAAACTAATAATTGGAAATCTCTTAACTGACAGAAGGCAAAAACATATATTGGCAAAAAATATAAAGCAAATTATTTAAAAGGAATAATACTAGCAATATCATATTAGGAATCAAAACAATCCTATTATATTAAATACTATATATCATCCTGAAAAATATTCCTTAAATCAATTCAACATAAAGAAATCAAATATCAGATTCAATTTATTAGTTAAAGTTGAAGTTTATTAACTAACTCTATTTAAATTTATATTGTAATAATTTGTATATAATTATTATATATAATGGATAATCACAATTTCAAATTATACTGAATAGGCAGATTATCGCAAACAACCCTATTTATAGACTTGTGGAATAATCAACTTATGAAACATCTAAAGATGATTTGCATGAACCTATTTATTAAGTCACATCTAGACAAGTCTCTTTTTCATTGCAATATTGGGATTTTTCTTATCCACAATAACAACTTGATGTCTTATTAATTGTACATTTTTCTAAGCAACCACTCTAGTTTGTATCAAGATTTTAGCATTGAAAACCAGATTAGCAAATCAATTTTATATCTAAACCATTCTACTTATTACCACAAAAACAATTGGATTAGCCATTTTCTTTGCAAGTTGGCACACATTTTCGAGTGATATCATCATAGATGGTATCATATTAATCAAGACAAGTTAGGTTTTCAGATAATATCAAACAATTTTGATAATTAGTTGAAGTACATTGTGGGATACAAAAACCTTTGGATTACAAAATACAATATGATGATTCAAAGCATATTTCAAAAGAATCCATTCCACATAAACAATTATTTTGATTTTAAATACATTTTTCATAACAAGCTCCCATTGGTGCTGTAAAGTCCAAACAATATTAATTTTTATTACAATAGTCTGGATTATTTATACCACAAGTACAATTAGATTAAAATTATTATGTGCAAGTACCTTAATTACAAACCCCATTATCGGAATATGGATCAATGCATTTTTCTTAGTTTGAACAGACCTTTTTGACTTTATTTCCACAAATACAATTGGAAGATTAATGAGTACAAATTTCTAAACAAACTCCTTCTTATNGATATTTTTTTAAATCATATAGTTTAATTAGATAAAACCTTCAAAGGTCAGATATCATGAGTACAATAAGGTACTTTGTTTTACCCTCATAACATCCCATTTAAACTTGATAGAAAGAATATGGCCCTTCGTAAAATTTATTTCACTTGCTTTGAGAAATTTAAGAGGGTTGATTTATTACAAATATTCATAGTAAAAATTTCATTAATAACACAAAATTTACAATTAATAATGTAGTGAAACAATAACTCCCCTTCAAGATTATCAATATATTAAAAATAAGGATTTACCGTGAACAAAGTTTTGAAGGCGATAAAAATCCATAACAAGGATCATCTATTTTTCGCTACTAATGATGATATTATAGATTGATAAAAATCATAAATTCATATTATCTGCTTAAACTAATAATTGGAAATCTCTTAACTGACAGAAGGCAAAAACATATATTGGCAAAAAATATAAAGCAAATTATTTAAAAGGAATAATACTAGCAATATCATATTAGGAATCAAAACAATCCTATTATATTAAATACTATATATCATCCTGAAAAATATTCCTTAAATCAATTCAACATAAAGAAATCAAATATCAGATTCAATTTATTAGTTAAAGTTGAAGTTTATTAACTAACTCTATTTAAATTTATATTGTAATAATTTGTATATAATTATTATATATAATGGATAATCACAATTTCAAATTATACTGAATAGGCAGATTATCGCAAACAACCCTATTTATAGACTTGTGGAATAATCAACTTATGAAACATCTAAAGATGATTTGCATGAACCTATTTATTAAGTCACATCTAGACAAGTCTCTTTTTCATTGCAATATTGGGATTTTTCTTATCCACAATAACAACTTGATGTCTTATTAATTGTACATTTTTCTAAGCAACCACTCTAGTTTGTATCAAGATTTTAGCATTGAAAACCAGATTAGCAAATCAATTTTATATCTAAACCATTCTACTTATTACCACAAAAACAATTGGATTAGCCATTTTCTTTGCAAGTTGGCACACATTTTCGAGTGATATCATCATAGATGGTATCATATTAATCAAGACAAGTTAGGTTTTCAGATAATATCAAACAATTTTGATAATTAGTTGAAGTACATTGTGGGATACAAAAACCTTTGGATTACAAAATACAATATGATGATTCAAAGCATATTTCAAAAGAATCCATTCCACATAAACAATTATTTTGATTTTAAATACATTTTTCATAACAAGCTCCCATTGGTGCTGTAAAGTCCAAACAATATTAATTTTTATTACAATAGTCTGGATTATTTATACCACAAGTACAATTAGATTAAAATTATTATGTGCAAGTACCTTAATTACAAACCCCATTATCGGAATATGGATCAATGCATTTTTCTTAGTTTGAACAGACCTTTTTGACTTTATTTCCACAAATACAATTGGAAGATTAATGAGTACAAATTTCTAAACAAACTCCTTCTTATTTTGATGAACAATATGTTGTAGATGAACATTTTGATAAGTATGATGATCCACAAACACAATTGCTTTGGAATTAATTACATTATTAAACACAGGTACCTGTTAGCTATTAAATATCATGACAATGTTCGTTTGAACCACAAAAAGGAGTTGCTGAATTACCACAGATGCAGTTTGTTTGTAAATTACGAACGCATTTTTCTATACAAATCCCATCCGCATCATTCGGATTCTAACATACTTAAGTTTTAGAACAGACTATTTTTTAAGTTGAACCGCAAACGCAATCAGATTTTTAATTTTGATTACAACTTTATAAGCAAACTCCTTTCTAATCAGTTACATCAATACAATAAGTAGATTAAGAACATTCAGAAATCTAAGTTAAACCACATAAACACGATTTATCAAGATTATTAATACAATTAGGTGTTGAAATACAATTACCGTTATTAGCAGTTGGATCTTCGCATTTTTGTTAATTTGAACAAACTGATTTTGTTGCCACACCACAAATACAATTTTATCTTATACTATTTGTACAATTTTCATAGCATTATCCATTAGTAGCAGTAGGGTCCACACAATATTAAGAATTATTACAATTGCTAAATTGACTTTAACCACAAGAACAATTATTTTACAATTTAGTAGTACATATATTCAAACAATTACCTGAATTTGCCATTACATCTTCACATCTTTAAGTTGCACTACAATATGAAAGCGTTTGAGATCCACAAGCACAATTATTTACTGTTGAACCTTAACATTAATTAACACAAACTCCATTTGTTGCATTAGGATCTTAGCAATAAGTTGTTGAACTACAATCTTGTTTTGATGTTCTTCCACAAGAACAATTATTTTAATAAATTGATGAACAAGCAGCTACACATGAATTATTCTTGCACAACATATTTGAATCACAATAGGAAGTTCCGCATATACAATCTGAAATATTTGATCCTTAACAAGGCTACTTGCATTATCCTGATGTAGCTGCAATGTCTAAACAATATGTAGTGCTAAGACATTCTACATTATCGTTTCCACAAAGGCAAGAATTTGAATTTAAATTTTAAGAACATTTTTATAAACACTTTCCAGTAGACGCTGAGAAATCTTGGCAACTTTATGACGAGCCACAAACTGCTAAATTAGATGTTCCACATATGCAGCTCTTTTTATTCGTTGAATTACAAGCTGTAATTTAACATTTTGAATTAATCCATAAATATGGTGACACGCAATTAGATTATTTNTTTTGATTTTAAATACATTTTTCATAACAAGCTCCCATTGGTGCTGTAAAGTCCAAACAATATTAATTTTTATTACAATAGTCTGGATTATTTATACCACAAGTACAATTAGATTAAAATTATTATGTGCAAGTACCTTAATTACAAACCCCATTATCGGAATATGGATCAATGCATTTTTCTTAGTTTGAACAGACCTTTTTGACTTTATTTCCACAAATACAATTGGAAGATTAATGAGTACAAATTTCTAAACAAACTCCTTCTTATTTTGATGAACAATATGTTGTAGATGAACATTTTGATAAGTATGATGATCCACAAACACAATTGCTTTGGAATTAATTACATTATTAAACACAGGTACCTGTTAGCTATTAAATATCATGACAATGTTCGTTTGAACCACAAAAAGGAGTTGCTGAATTACCACAGATGCAGTTTGTTTGTAAATTACGAACGCATTTTTCTATACAAATCCCATCCGCATCATTCGGATTCTAACATACTTAAGTTTTAGAACAGACTATTTTTTAAGTTGAACCGCAAACGCAATCAGATTTTTAATTTTGATTACAACTTTATAAGCAAACTCCTTTCTAATCAGTTACATCAATACAATAAGTAGATTAAGAACATTCAGAAATCTAAGTTAAACCACATAAACACGATTTATCAAGATTATTAATACAATTAGGTGTTGAAATACAATTACCGTTATTAGCAGTTGGATCTTCGCATTTTTGTTAATTTGAACAAACTGATTTTGTTGCCACACCACAAATACAATTTTATCTTATACTATTTGTACAATTTTCATAGCATTATCCATTAGTAGCAGTAGGGTCCACACAATATTAAGAATTATTACAATTGCTAAATTGACTTTAACCACAAGAACAATTATTTTACAATTTAGTAGTACATATATTCAAACAATTACCTGAATTTGCCATTACATCTTCACATCTTTAAGTTGCACTACAATATGAAAGCGTTTGAGATCCACAAGCACAATTATTTACTGTTGAACCTTAACATTAATTAACACAAACTCCATTTGTTGCATTAGGATCTTAGCAATAAGTTGTTGAACTACAATCTTGTTTTGATGTTCTTCCACAAGAACAATTATTTTAATAAATTGATGAACAAGCAGCTACACATGAATTATTCTTGCACAACATATTTGAATCACAATAGGAAGTTCCGCATATACAATCTGAAATATTTGATCCTTAACAAGGCTACTTGCATTATCCTGATGTAGCTGCAATGTCTAAACAATATGTAGTGCTAAGACATTCTACATTATCGTTTCCACAAAGGCAAGAATTTGAATTTAAATTTTAAGAACATTTTTATAAACACTTTCCAGTAGACGCTGAGAAATCTTGGCAACTTTATGACGAGCCACAAACTGCTAAATTAGATGTTCCACATATGCAGCTCTTTTTATTCGTTGAATTACAAGCTGTAATTTAACATTTTGAATTAATCCATAAATATGGTGACACGCAATTAGATTATTTTGCAGTTTTTATTGAGTGACACTAACCATCCTTAAGATAGCATCCAATGTAGTCAGAACATGATGAGCTGTTTAGTCCTGCACATCTTATGCATTAATTGCTAGTGGAAAGACCACATCCTGATGAAATGCATGATGCAGTTGGCACACTGGAACATTTCACGCAATTATCATTATACCATCCACACTGAAAACATTCAGAGTAATCTTTAATTCTCTCACACCCAAAACACCCATTACTTGGAATCCAAGAGCAATCTTCATTTTCATAACAAATTGCTTCCAAATAAGGTCCACAGGAATCAGTTAGATATTGTTATATCAAACAAAATAGTAAGAATAAAATCATATATTAATATTAATATTGTTTTTTAAATGTTTTCCAAATGCTTAAATATAGATTTTTTTGGCTATGAGTTATGTCTTACGAGAAAATATAAATTTTTATTCCATTATTATATTTTTAGAGACTTTGCTTCATTAAGATTTTACGAATGATCGCCAAAAAATACTGAAAAAAAATCAAGCAGGTAAGGTGTAACCTCCCTTTAAAATATTTATCAAAGACTTAACTTATGTTTATTAAAGACTAAGGAATGATGTTACGGTAAAGGACAGGTGTCATGAGAAAGGTAATGATTCAAATTATAAGGCTGTCTCCTTGGTAGATCTGTTATTTTATTTAGTTGATTACAAAGTATTGGTTTTTCACTAATAGTAATAGTTTTTTTTTTTTAAATACCTAACTCATTTTAATCCATCATTCTTGGGCACTTGAAAATTGTGATTAGATATAAGAATTACCTCCTTCCAACTTCTTTAGAGTTATTTTTCATTTTTCCAGTTATTTGTTAATACCTTTCCCTCCATTCTTATTCTAATCGATTATGATTAATTTGAATTTTCCCACTTTTTAAATTTGATGAATCCCATAACTACAAGATTTGCCTTAGTTCTTCTGCTGAACCTTCCCTTAACTACCTGTCAACTTCGCATTATAGCATTCATGAAAAACCTAATTGCATTTTGAATATCCTACTTAAAAAAAATCAAACTAAATCTATTACTTTCATAAGTCCTTGTCTAGGATATTTAACATTTCACATTCTTATAATTATTTCCAACAAATTAGTAGTACATCAATCTCATATCAAATGCTTATAGTAATGAACCATCCTTTGATGTAATCATTGATATAACCCCGGATAATCATCATTTCCCTTACATCTGTCCATAAATGATGCCTAGACTGAATTCGATAAAGTCTTGAATCATTGTGCATTGAATTAGTGTTGCCAATTAACTAGAGTTATGTTATTTTTATGCATGAAATAACTTACATTTTATGGAATTCTACAAAGAAAAATTGTAAATGTGCTTCTATTGAATAATTATTTATGCATACTGCTTCAGTTGGTAGTGCTCTTTTACATTTCGTTCAAAAACACTTTAAGTCAATAAAATTCGATAGATGGTAATAAAATTTAGAGAGTATCACAAAATTACAATAATTACAGCTGAATTTATTAGGAATAACAACAAAATTGGAATATATAAACATGATAAAAAAAAATAATGAGTTTATATAAAGAGGTAGACGATAAATTAAATAATATAATCACAATCAAATTTCTGAATTAGAAGAGCAGAATTATTCACATTTTTTAAGAAGTAAAAAACAAGGTGATTATCATGCTAAATTCATATTCTTTGAATATTCAATAATTGTCTAGATGATAATTTAAATTAAGTAAAGAAAATGAATGAGTATAAATTAAATCAAATATTTATAAATAAATCATTTATTTCTTAGGTTATTTATTAATAATTAAAATATAAAATCAAGAAAATAAATCTGTTTCTTAATCCTTTATCCTATTATTATCATAGCCATCATCAGATTTATACTTTCATTTATTTGATGTTTTTCAAACAACTGCTTTTGATTTATAATGCACAGCTCATATATTTTTGGAATCTAATTAAAGTCAGCCATTTAGTTCTTGTTTCATAGAATGGAAATTAATATTGTCTTGCTAGAGAATATAAATCTAAATTACATAATTCTAAACCCTTTTCATAAGACCAATATTTAAATTCTAAAATTTGTGCAAAATGTCAATTCAATAAGCAGAATACCATATATTTTGTAAATTTAAAGTATATGGAATAAGGATTGTATGCTATTCAAAAATAAATCATTTTAAATATCACTTAAATTTTAACTTAAAAGAAAATATATTATTAAGAAATGGAATACTCAAATTAACTATTTTAGGATCCAAAGTATGGAAAATTTCAAGGATTAAATTTTTTCAAACTAAACATGTAAAAATAAATCTTTATGCTTTTGACAACCTTTCAGGAAGTGATAATATTCATCTTTCAAAAATATTGCATTTTTTGAAATTCGTTCAAAATTGAATCAAAATCTTCTATCTCATCTATTAAACATTATCTATTTGACTTTTTCCTGATGCATAGTGAGCTTATTAATATGGTAATTTTTCTTTCTGATGTTTGAATTATATCTCTTAGATGTAGGTTGTAAGATTATAATTACCTATATACTATATTTTCAATTTTTCTGTAATGAGATGGTACGTTATTCTTTCAATGCCTTTATCAATTATTCCTATTTTAACAAATTACTATTTCCCTTGAAATAGTGTTTTTATAATTAAATCTTTTAGATTATCTCAAGCAATTTATCTCTCAACACTCTTCTTGTAAATGTAGTTGGTCCATCTTATCCTATCCTGACTTTGCAATCCACTCAAGCGGAGATTTGAAATACAGATTGATTATCCAATTCAAAAGTGGATAATTTAATGAAATAAATAGCAATATTTGATATTTTAAAGGCTTGATGCAATAGGTGATACTTAGCAAGTTACAGTTCAGATTCGTGACACCTTAGGAAATACATTAAACAATCTTGCAAATATATTTTAAGATCAATGTCTACAAAGAAACAATACTATTTTAATAAATCAGAAAAAGAAATTACTCGGTAAGATTAATAATGTAAAACAAAATTTAATGGATCCTCCAGAACACAAATCCTAATTTAATGAACTAATTCTAAAAATAAAATTGATCATTTATTTCATTAAATTTCATAAGAATTCCTGAATTTGAGAATATTGTTATAAATATAAAAATTTCATATTCTACTAACTTATAATTCTCATCTTCTCCCATTAATTCAATCTATTTTCCTTGTAAATTCTTTATCCATTTTTTAAATTTAATCTTCTTATCATTTTATTTGGCTTTTTTTTTATGACCTTCCTCCTTTTTATTGTTTTGGACTTAGGTCATTAGATCAAACCGTAAGATGCTCAATTTAAAATACGCTATTTCTGACTCAATATCATAATAATTAATGATTGTAAGTATTATTTGGTTTTCATGTCTATAGTAGAACTTTTGCTTCAGATCTCTTTTTATCCTTAATATTCTTAAATAGTATTCTTAAAAAAAAACTTTTTTAATATTCTTTTTAGAGATCCAAATAGAATGATTTAAATATAAATTCTCTACATCCTTGGAAATTACATGTAATATATTATACTGATTTTGATTGTTCAAATTGCTTCTAAATACAATTAAAACATATTTAATGTTGGCATTTTATATCAATTAAATTGATTTTAGTTTTGCATAAATGACATTTCTTTTCAAATAGTGTCAAGATAAGGTAATATTGTTCGTGATATTTGTATAAAATGATTTTATTAATTCCTCCATTAGTTTCAATACCATATAATAATTGTGAATTTGAATTTGGTTATTCAAATACCACAAACTAGACTTTAAAAGTGTCGCATAAAAACTTAAACTAATCTGAAGGACAAGATTTGTAGTTATATCGAAAGTATGATTTAATGGCATCCTTAAACCATATACCATATGGATCTTGAATTTTGACTTCCTCTATAAATGATTTAAATCTATTGGGTTTGTTTTTAGAATTATTGAGTAAGGTATTAATTTTTTACATCGCCTAATTCTATTAATTAGACCCAAATAATTATGATTAGATTATCTAAACTTAGTTGACTTTAATATGATACTCAATTAATCCTACAAGCATTGCTTCCTCTATTAATTATCCTACACAAATCCAGTTTGTAAAGCTAGACAAAGCTTTGAGATTGATAGGAATAAGAGATATTTCATATTATCTTAAATTCATTTTATTATTTTATTTTATAAAATTTCAAAGATAATGATGAAAGATCAATTTATTAAGCAAAATTATTAAAGAATTAATAAAATCAACGTGCAAATAACGATTCTACAAATTGTACATTTAACTAATAAAGCAAAATATATGAAATATAGAAAATCTAAATTTTCTATTCAGCACCCTAGTTTAAACCTAAATGTATTGGCAATATTATTCAAATAAATTCATTTTAATTACATGTTTTATGCAGTTTGGCTACTTTTTTTTGATTTGAAAGATATATCATTTACATATTCTTTATTCTTTTTAGAAATATCTGTAAGATAATATAATTACTCTATATTACCATATTCAATCTAGATTTTGGTGATTTTCTATCAACAAGCCATTCTCACAAATCAAAATTCTTTTAATTTATTTGATTTGTGAATATAAATAATAATAATCTTTTGAGTTAGTAAAGAATGAGTCTTAATTTGTTGTTAAATCTATTTTTTGATAGGATTCTGAAATTTTATATAATAACTGAATTATTGATATACACTCTTAAGGATATCTATTAGTAATAAAGTCAATTTGCTTACTTAATTAGGCTAATCTTAAATTGGATATAATTATAAAGATTTTCTATACTCTATTGATAGCTAGAATAAATTAGACTTATTGATTATCTTAATTAATATTTATAAAACAAATGGTGAAATTATAAGAAAATCATTTAATTGGAAATTATAGTCACAAATCTAAACGAATGAATTTTGAGGTATATCAACACAATATGAAAAGAATTAAACTTTTGAATTCTCATGTTCGAATTTGTAAGAAGCATTATTTCTAATAATTTTTGTTTGTTTTAACAAAATATCTTATGGACTATTCTAATTTTATTTAGAAAAGAGGATCATTGAAATTTTTAAAAGCAAATTATTATGTAATTATTAAATATATTAATAATTCTTATTAATTCTCCTTAAACTTAATAATAATGAATCTATGTTTTGTTTTGTCTTTTATTTTTAGTTTCAATAAAATTTGATTTTCCATCAAGAATGCTCATTTACTTGTGAATAATAATATTAGTACAATCTTTATAAATAACTGATTAATATCTGAAATGATAGCATAGTTGTGAAATGATAAAGAGAATATTAGAATTAATTAATGCAATCCATAATAAAATCCTCTATAAAAAATAATCCCATCACAGGGAATACTGTTTGTAAAATTAACAATAGAGGCAAAAGAACCTTCACTACACATGATCATATTCAAAGTTCATGCATTGTTAAGGGTACTCCTTTGAATAAAACTCCTAACCGACACAAAATCCCAGATCATTCAAATGAACATTTCTACCCCTAAAATAATTCATCTTCAAATATAAATTTGAGAAAGAGNTTTCAAAGATAATGATGAAAGATCAATTTATTAAGCAAAATTATTAAAGAATTAATAAAATCAACGTGCAAATAACGATTCTACAAATTGTACATTTAACTAATAAAGCAAAATATATGAAATATAGAAAATCTAAATTTTCTATTCAGCACCCTAGTTTAAACCTAAATGTATTGGCAATATTATTCAAATAAATTCATTTTAATTACATGTTTTATGCAGTTTGGCTACTTTTTTTTGATTTGAAAGATATATCATTTACATATTCTTTATTCTTTTTAGAAATATCTGTAAGATAATATAATTACTCTATATTACCATATTCAATCTAGATTTTGGTGATTTTCTATCAACAAGCCATTCTCACAAATCAAAATTCTTTTAATTTATTTGATTTGTGAATATAAATAATAATAATCTTTTGAGTTAGTAAAGAATGAGTCTTAATTTGTTGTTAAATCTATTTTTTGATAGGATTCTGAAATTTTATATAATAACTGAATTATTGATATACACTCTTAAGGATATCTATTAGTAATAAAGTCAATTTGCTTACTTAATTAGGCTAATCTTAAATTGGATATAATTATAAAGATTTTCTATACTCTATTGATAGCTAGAATAAATTAGACTTATTGATTATCTTAATTAATATTTATAAAACAAATGGTGAAATTATAAGAAAATCATTTAATTGGAAATTATAGTCACAAATCTAAACGAATGAATTTTGAGGTATATCAACACAATATGAAAAGAATTAAACTTTTGAATTCTCATGTTCGAATTTGTAAGAAGCATTATTTCTAATAATTTTTGTTTGTTTTAACAAAATATCTTATGGACTATTCTAATTTTATTTAGAAAAGAGGATCATTGAAATTTTTAAAAGCAAATTATTATGTAATTATTAAATATATTAATAATTCTTATTAATTCTCCTTAAACTTAATAATAATGAATCTATGTTTTGTTTTGTCTTTTATTTTTAGTTTCAATAAAATTTGATTTTCCATCAAGAATGCTCATTTACTTGTGAATAATAATATTAGTACAATCTTTATAAATAACTGATTAATATCTGAAATGATAGCATAGTTGTGAAATGATAAAGAGAATATTAGAATTAATTAATGCAATCCATAATAAAATCCTCTATAAAAAATAATCCCATCACAGGGAATACTGTTTGTAAAATTAACAATAGAGGCAAAAGAACCTTCACTACACATGATCATATTCAAAGTTCATGCATTGTTAAGGGTACTCCTTTGAATAAAACTCCTAACCGACACAAAATCCCAGATCATTCAAATGAACATTTCTACCCCTAAAATAATTCATCTTCAAATATAAATTTGAGAAAGAGCTTAAGTACATTTCAACCGAAGGAAAATATGAAGGATCCTCTTAGTAGAAAGATTTCTGATATTTATGGATAGGAAATAAAAATTACACGCTCCCCAATAAAATAGTAATAGCAATCAGAAACAATATCCCCCTAGAAAAGAAGAATATTGGATAATAAGAGTTCACACGTTGATTAAAATGATGTTTATGAAGTGAATCTCAATTATAATAAGGAAAAATCACTGCCATCAGATGTCGATTGGTTCTACGTTGATACAATCAAACATAGACATGATTATAGAATTGAGTAACCAAATCCTAATCGTTCCTCATATAAAGATCAAAGAAGCGTACTAGATTTACATAATAATAACATTCCAAAAAACAATTATTACTAAAAGCAGAATGAAAAGTTGTCTAAAAAATAAGAAGTCGCACTCCAATATACCTATCTGAGAGCAGTTAAACGATCAGAGTTGGTCATTAAGAAAAAATGATATTCACTTTATTAATTATTAACTGAACTTGTATGAAAATGAGTTGATTGAAATTTAAAATTTTCATAAGCTCCAAGTATGCTTACTCATTCTTGATTAGGTTTTCTCTTTGGATTATATTATATTTAATGTATAATTATCTTAAGGTTCTCTAATTAAATTGGATACTTTATTATAACTAGTTATATTTTTAATTGGTATTCTATTTAATGATAAAGATATTATATAATAATATTTAATATATAATTTAGTATCATAGTAGACTGAATAATGGAAGATCAGTTAGTAGATTATTAAATAGCAATACTGACTCACATTTTTTTTGGAAATATTTCTTAACATTTCTTTCTAAAGATTCTTATCCATAAACATTTTAGAAGACCTTCAAAAAATTACTATTTCTTTTGATTTTCATATTTATTAATTATTTTCTTTAGTATGATGTTAACACTTCGAATGAAACATCTGATTGTAAATAATTTGATATAGGATCTGATCCTTATGCCAAATTCAAATACATGATTCTATTCTCAATTAATTAAAGCGAAGAATTCTCTAATAAATCAACATTATTTTCATATATAGAATTATCATATCTTTTCTATTATTTTTNTATTGATAGCTAGAATAAATTAGACTTATTGATTATCTTAATTAATATTTATAAAACAAATGGTGAAATTATAAGAAAATCATTTAATTGGAAATTATAGTCACAAATCTAAACGAATGAATTTTGAGGTATATCAACACAATATGAAAAGAATTAAACTTTTGAATTCTCATGTTCGAATTTGTAAGAAGCATTATTTCTAATAATTTTTGTTTGTTTTAACAAAATATCTTATGGACTATTCTAATTTTATTTAGAAAAGAGGATCATTGAAATTTTTAAAAGCAAATTATTATGTAATTATTAAATATATTAATAATTCTTATTAATTCTCCTTAAACTTAATAATAATGAATCTATGTTTTGTTTTGTCTTTTATTTTTAGTTTCAATAAAATTTGATTTTCCATCAAGAATGCTCATTTACTTGTGAATAATAATATTAGTACAATCTTTATAAATAACTGATTAATATCTGAAATGATAGCATAGTTGTGAAATGATAAAGAGAATATTAGAATTAATTAATGCAATCCATAATAAAATCCTCTATAAAAAATAATCCCATCACAGGGAATACTGTTTGTAAAATTAACAATAGAGGCAAAAGAACCTTCACTACACATGATCATATTCAAAGTTCATGCATTGTTAAGGGTACTCCTTTGAATAAAACTCCTAACCGACACAAAATCCCAGATCATTCAAATGAACATTTCTACCCCTAAAATAATTCATCTTCAAATATAAATTTGAGAAAGAGCTTAAGTACATTTCAACCGAAGGAAAATATGAAGGATCCTCTTAGTAGAAAGATTTCTGATATTTATGGATAGGAAATAAAAATTACACGCTCCCCAATAAAATAGTAATAGCAATCAGAAACAATATCCCCCTAGAAAAGAAGAATATTGGATAATAAGAGTTCACACGTTGATTAAAATGATGTTTATGAAGTGAATCTCAATTATAATAAGGAAAAATCACTGCCATCAGATGTCGATTGGTTCTACGTTGATACAATCAAACATAGACATGATTATAGAATTGAGTAACCAAATCCTAATCGTTCCTCATATAAAGATCAAAGAAGCGTACTAGATTTACATAATAATAACATTCCAAAAAACAATTATTACTAAAAGCAGAATGAAAAGTTGTCTAAAAAATAAGAAGTCGCACTCCAATATACCTATCTGAGAGCAGTTAAACGATCAGAGTTGGTCATTAAGAAAAAATGATATTCACTTTATTAATTATTAACTGAACTTGTATGAAAATGAGTTGATTGAAATTTAAAATTTTCATAAGCTCCAAGTATGCTTACTCATTCTTGATTAGGTTTTCTCTTTGGATTATATTATATTTAATGTATAATTATCTTAAGGTTCTCTAATTAAATTGGATACTTTATTATAACTAGTTATATTTTTAATTGGTATTCTATTTAATGATAAAGATATTATATAATAATATTTAATATATAATTTAGTATCATAGTAGACTGAATAATGGAAGATCAGTTAGTAGATTATTAAATAGCAATACTGACTCACATTTTTTTTGGAAATATTTCTTAACATTTCTTTCTAAAGATTCTTATCCATAAACATTTTAGAAGACCTTCAAAAAATTACTATTTCTTTTGATTTTCATATTTATTAATTATTTTCTTTAGTATGATGTTAACACTTCGAATGAAACATCTGATTGTAAATAATTTGATATAGGATCTGATCCTTATGCCAAATTCAAATACATGATTCTATTCTCAATTAATTAAAGCGAAGAATTCTCTAATAAATCAACATTATTTTCATATATAGAATTATCATATCTTTTCTATTATTTTTTATTGGTCTTATAATCTTTTTAAACTATTGTTTCTAATACAGAAGATTTGCATTTATGAGATTTTTTGCAGCAACATAATTTCTTTCTATAACTTAAACAAGTCAGACAGATTATAAGAAATATAAATGTAATTCCAAGGACAGTAAAAAATGTTATAATCTAAGAATTACAATCATTCAAAATATAGCAAGTTATGTCCAAAAAGACTGAGCAATCTGAATAACAATTATCTTATGATTGATCTGAAGCAAGAACTTCGTTGTCTTATATGTTTTATTCGTCATGATTTTATTCACTTTCATGTTAAATTTCAGTCGTATTAAATTCTATTTATTTCCAATCCAAAAGAGTACCTTAATTGTTCAACAAACTAAAATTGCAGATATTTGATTTATTCATATCACTCAAAACATTTACATCCTTCTTAACAATATAGCTTTCCAATGGTTCTAAATATAAAGCAGCTGAATTAATAGGAATTACATTAATCGAACAATTTAAATACGTATTAAACTCACTTGCAATATCCCCAACATTTGTGATTTAAGCATAAAGCAATCCATTTCCAGACTTTGCTTCAAAGTCTTATATTTCTGCTAAATCTATTTTACCCTTCCCTAAATTAACCACATAAGATATCAGACCATTTGTTTTTATCTCCAGAGTGATCATCGTTTACATGGAACCCTCTACACTGTACTACAAAAAAGTCTCATTATTCAAATATATAGACTTAAATTTCCCATATCTTGATAATAAATATTTAGGTTATGAATTATTGGCTACTAACGCTTGATCTTCTAAATAAAAATCTTCCAATTAGTTCTTTAAACAAGATTTCACTTATTTCTTACATCTCTCTGCCTCTGTACGAAAGGCACTATAAGATACTCCAATCTTATTACACTCACCCTTACCGACTTAATCCTTTGAAACTATCATAAATGCAGCTGAACCTGCCTAAACTCTAGCATTGCTACTTGGTGAAGATGGTCTCATAAAGTAAAATGATTCCAAGGAAGGTGGTGGACTCAAAGGTGTGAAGTCTCCAACAATTCTACCAATCAAAGTCTTGCCTTAAACTACTTTTAATTCACTCCCCAATTGTAATTTCTCTTATTCTTAATTTGAATAAGTAATAGAAATTGTTATATTATAAAATATGCTATAAGTGGATATCTCATAAGCACTTAATAATTAGTATATTCATTACCTATACCATAAAGTTGAATATCTAAGACAGAAGGCCATTGTTGCAGTAGTCAATCCAGCCTTATGACATATGTTTCCCCTTGCAAACTCATCGCTAAGACCAATTAAATCAAGAAGACCACAAGAGCAACAGAATCCTTGACTATCAAATATTTTGTCTTTGTTTTCATATTGAAATCCACAAGTAGGAGAATTTGAATACCAACTATCATCACATGATAAAATTGCACCTGCTATTTTTACTTCATATGGTTAGCTATTATAATCTTATATATATTTTAATGGATAGAAAGCATAAACTGGTGTTTTAGTTATTGAAATAATAATAGGTGTTTTAAGTTATGATATCTAATTATCTATGGTTGTTTCGCTGATTTTAATATATTCTGTCACAGTATTTTAAGCATTCTCTACTGTAAGAGAGATAAGCATTTTCTCAGAACATTCAGTATTATTTGTTGAATTTGAATAGCATTTGTTTATTTGAGATTACGAAATAATCTCAGCCGTAGATTTAAGTATTAAACTAGAGACAATTATCATTATCATTTATAATATTCATTTTTTAGTTATGAAATTAAATAAATAAACAAAATTTGAACTAAATTTGTAGTTACAGTTATAAAGCACCATTATTTTATAAAATCCAAATTATTCTTGCATATATATAATTTAAATTATATTATTTAACTAGAATGAAACCTAATTATTTATATTTTATAATGAGATAAGTTCTTACTAAATTCTTCTATACAAGTGGTATTACAGAAACAAGAGAAATCTCTTATGAAAAGGGTTTAGAATTATGTAATTTAGATTTATATTCTCTAGCAAGACAATATTAATTTCCATTCTATGAAACAAGAACTAAATGGCTGACTTTAATTAGATTCCAAAAATATATGAGCTGTGCATTATAAATCAAAAGCAGTAGTTTGAAAAACATCAAATAAATGAAAGTATAAATCTGATGATGGCTATGATAATAATAGGATAAAAGAGTAAGAAACAGATTTATTTTCTTGATTTTATATTTTAATTATTAATAAATAACCTAAGAAATAAATGATTTATTTATAAATATTTGATTTAATTTATACTCATTCATTTTCTTTACTTAATTTAAATTATCATCTAGACAATTATTGAATATTCAAAGAATATGAATTTAGCATGATAATCACCTTGTTTTTTACTTCTTAAAAAATGTGAATAATTCTGCTCTTCTAATTCAGAAATTTGATTGTGATTATATTATTTAATTTATCGTCTACCTCTTTATATAAACTCATTATTTTTTTTTATCATGTTTATAAATTCCATTTTGATGTTATTCCTAAGAAATTAGGCTGTAATTATTGTAATTTTTGATACTTTCTAAATTATCATTACCATTTATCGAATTTTATTGTCTTAAAGTGAATTTGGTCGAAATGTAAAAGAGCACTACCAACGAAAGCAGTATGCATAAATACTTATTCTATGGAAGCATATTTGCAATTTTTCTTTGCAGCATTCCATAAAATTTAAGTTATTTCATGCATAAAAATAACATTCCTCTAGTTGATTAACAACGCTAATTCAATACACAATGTTTCAAGACTTCATTGACTTTAATCTAGGCATCATTGATGGACAGATGTACGAGAAATGATGACTTTCTGGAGTTATATCAACGATTACAGAAAAGGATGCTCCATTACCATAAGCATTTGTTAAGAGATTAGTGCGCAGCTGGTTGTTGAATATAATTATAAGAATGTGAAATGTTAAATATCCCAGACAAGGACTTATGAAAGCAATAAAAACCAATAAAGTTAGTTTGATTTTTTTAAATTAGGATATTTAAAATGCAATTAGGTTTTCCTTATTGCTATAATGTGAAGATGCCAGATAGTTAAGGGAAGCTTCAGCAGAAGAACTAAGGCAAATCTTGTAGTTAGGGGATTCATCAAATTTTAAAAATGGTAAAATACAAAATGTCATGAGATTAGTTTTTTAACATTTACATATAATATAGGAGAAATGGGGGCTAAGAAATGGCATAGTAGAAATTAATCATATATCAATTAGAATAAGAATGGATGGGCATTAAGAAATATTTGGAAAAATGAAAAATATTTCTAAAGAAGTTGGAAGGAGAGAATTCTGAAATCAAATCACCATTTTCAAGTTGACCAAGAATGATGGATTAAACTGAGTTAAGTACTTTGAAAACAAAACGACAATTACTGAAAAAACCAATACTTTCTAATAAACTAAACACAANTACAAGTGGTATTACAGAAACAAGAGAAATCTCTTATGAAAAGGGTTTAGAATTATGTAATTTAGATTTATATTCTCTAGCAAGACAATATTAATTTCCATTCTATGAAACAAGAACTAAATGGCTGACTTTAATTAGATTCCAAAAATATATGAGCTGTGCATTATAAATCAAAAGCAGTAGTTTGAAAAACATCAAATAAATGAAAGTATAAATCTGATGATGGCTATGATAATAATAGGATAAAAGAGTAAGAAACAGATTTATTTTCTTGATTTTATATTTTAATTATTAATAAATAACCTAAGAAATAAATGATTTATTTATAAATATTTGATTTAATTTATACTCATTCATTTTCTTTACTTAATTTAAATTATCATCTAGACAATTATTGAATATTCAAAGAATATGAATTTAGCATGATAATCACCTTGTTTTTTACTTCTTAAAAAATGTGAATAATTCTGCTCTTCTAATTCAGAAATTTGATTGTGATTATATTATTTAATTTATCGTCTACCTCTTTATATAAACTCATTATTTTTTTTTATCATGTTTATAAATTCCATTTTGATGTTATTCCTAAGAAATTAGGCTGTAATTATTGTAATTTTTGATACTTTCTAAATTATCATTACCATTTATCGAATTTTATTGTCTTAAAGTGAATTTGGTCGAAATGTAAAAGAGCACTACCAACGAAAGCAGTATGCATAAATACTTATTCTATGGAAGCATATTTGCAATTTTTCTTTGCAGCATTCCATAAAATTTAAGTTATTTCATGCATAAAAATAACATTCCTCTAGTTGATTAACAACGCTAATTCAATACACAATGTTTCAAGACTTCATTGACTTTAATCTAGGCATCATTGATGGACAGATGTACGAGAAATGATGACTTTCTGGAGTTATATCAACGATTACAGAAAAGGATGCTCCATTACCATAAGCATTTGTTAAGAGATTAGTGCGCAGCTGGTTGTTGAATATAATTATAAGAATGTGAAATGTTAAATATCCCAGACAAGGACTTATGAAAGCAATAAAAACCAATAAAGTTAGTTTGATTTTTTTAAATTAGGATATTTAAAATGCAATTAGGTTTTCCTTATTGCTATAATGTGAAGATGCCAGATAGTTAAGGGAAGCTTCAGCAGAAGAACTAAGGCAAATCTTGTAGTTAGGGGATTCATCAAATTTTAAAAATGGTAAAATACAAAATGTCATGAGATTAGTTTTTTAACATTTACATATAATATAGGAGAAATGGGGGCTAAGAAATGGCATAGTAGAAATTAATCATATATCAATTAGAATAAGAATGGATGGGCATTAAGAAATATTTGGAAAAATGAAAAATATTTCTAAAGAAGTTGGAAGGAGAGAATTCTGAAATCAAATCACCATTTTCAAGTTGACCAAGAATGATGGATTAAACTGAGTTAAGTACTTTGAAAACAAAACGACAATTACTGAAAAAACCAATACTTTCTAATAAACTAAACACAAAAAATAGATCTACCAAGGAGACAGCCTTATAATTTTGAATCATTATCTGACACCTTCCCTATACCGTAACCTCATTCCTTAGTCTAGCATAATCATAAGGTGAGTCATTGATAAATATTTTAACGGTTTCACCTTACCTGCTTGTTTTTTTTCAGTTCTTTTTGTAATCATTCATAAAATCTTAATGAAACAAAGTGTCTAAAAATATTGGTTATATACTTATATCATTCTTCCTTAACCCAATGATACTTAATGTTTTAAATGGCTAAATCAAATATTTATTTCTTTTATTATGATGTAATATAAATCTATATTTTCTGGTAATAAATAACTTATAGCCAAAAAAATCAATATTTAAGCGTGTGGACAACATTTTTAAAAACATTAATATTAATATATGATTTCCCTCTTACTATTTTGTTTGATGTAACAATAAGCAACTGCTGCATGCAGCCCAACTGATCCAACACTTTGTGATGCAGAAACAGGTTGCGGTTGGTGGACAGATGGAGGGTGTTATGAATGTTCCTAATGGAATTAAGCTGATTGTGAAAATATGTGTGGATGGTATAATTCGGCTTGCATATCATGCCCCAGTGTGCCAACTGCATCATGCATTTCATCAGGATGTGGTCTTTCCACTAGCAATTAGTGCATAAATTGTGCAGGACTAAATAGCTCAGCATGCCCTAACTACATTGGATGCTATCTTAAAGATGGAAAGTGCTATCCAGTAATATTTACAGCCTAATCTAATTGCGTGTCACCATATTTATGGATTAATTCAAAATGTTAAATTACAGCTTGTAATTCAACGAATAAAAAGAGCTGCATATGTGGAACATCTAATTTAGCAGTTTGTGGCTCGTCATAAAGTTGCCAAGATTTCTCAGCGTCTACTGGAAAGTGTTTATAAAAATGTTCTTAAAATTTAAATTCAAATTCTTGCCTTTGTGGAAACGATAATGTAGAATGTCTTAGCACTACATATTGTTTAGACATTGCAGCTACATCAGGATAATGCAAGTAGCCTTGTTAAGGATCAAATATTTCAGATTGTATATGCGGAACTTCCTATTGTGATTCAAATATGTTGTGCAAGAATAATTCATGTGTAGCTGCTTGTTCATCAATTTATTAAAATAATTGTTCTTGTGGAAGAACATCAAAACAAGATTGTAGTTCAACAACTTATTGCTAAGATCCTAATGCAACAAATGGAGTTTGTGTTAATTAATGTTAAGGTTCAACAGTAAATAATTGTGCTTGTGGATCTCAAACGCTTTCATATTGTAGTGCAACTTAAAGATGTGAAGATGTAATGGCAAATTCAGGTAATTGTTTGAATATATGTACTACTAAATTGTAAAATAATTGTTCTTGTGGTTAAAGTCAATTTAGCAATTGTAATAATTCTTAATATTGTGTGGACCCTACTGCTACTAATGGATAATGCTATGAAAATTGTACAAATAGTATAAGATAAAATTGTATTTGTGGTGTGGCAACAAAATCAGTTTGTTCAAATTAACAAAAATGCGAAGATCCAACTGCTAATAACGGTAATTGTATTTCAACACCTAATTGTATTAATAATCTTGATAAATCGTGTTTATGTGGTTTAACTTAGATTTCTGAATGTTCTTAATCTACTTATTGTATTGATGTAACTGATTAGAAAGGAGTTTGCTTATAAAGTTGTAATCAAAATTAAAAATCTGATTGCGTTTGCGGTTCAACTTAAAAAATAGTCTGTTCTAAAACTTAAGTATGTTAGAATCCGAATGATGCGGATGGGATTTGTATAGAAAAATGCGTTCGTAATTTACAAACAAACTGCATCTGTGGTAATTCAGCAACTCCTTTTTGTGGTTCAAACGAACATTGTCATGATATTTAATAGCTAACAGGTACCTGTGTTTAATAATGTAATTAATTCCAAAGCAATTGTGTTTGTGGATCATCATACTTATCAAAATGTTCATCTACAACATATTGTTCATCAAAATAAGAAGGAGTTTGTTTAGAAATTTGTACTCATTAATCTTCCAATTGTATTTGTGGAAATAAAGTCAAAAAGGTCTGTTCAAACTAAGAAAAATGCATTGATCCATATTCCGATAATGGGGTTTGTAATTAAGGTACTTGCACATAATAATTTTAATCTAATTGTACTTGTGGTATAAATAATCCAGACTATTGTAATAAAAATTAATATTGTTTGGACTTTACAGCACCAATGGGAGCTTGTTATGAAAAATGTATTTAAAATCAAAATAATTGTTTATGTGGAATGGATTCTTTTGAAATATGCTTTGAATCATCATATTGTATTTTGTAATCCAAAGGTTTTTGTATCCCACAATGTACTTCAACTAATTATCAAAATTGTTTGATATTATCTGAAAACCTAACTTGTCTTGATTAATATGATACCATCTATGATGATATCACTCGAAAATGTGTGCCAACTTGCAAAGAAAATGGCTAATCCAATTGTTTTTGTGGTAATAAGTAGAATGGTTTAGATATAAAATTGATTTGCTAATCTGGTTTTCAATGCTAAAATCTTGATACAAACTAGAGTGGTTGCTTAGAAAAATGTACAATTAATAAGACATCAAGTTGTTATTGTGGATAAGAAAAATCCCAATATTGCAATGAAAAAGAGACTTGTCTAGATGTGACTTAATAAATAGGTTCATGCAAATCATCTTTAGATGTTTCATAAGTTGATTATTCCACAAGTCTATAAATAGGGTTGTTTGCGATAATCTGCCTATTCAGTATAATTTGAAATTGTGATTATCCATTATATATAATAATTATATACAAATTATTACAATATAAATTTAAATAGAGTTAGTTAATAAACTTCAACTTTAACTAATAAATTGAATCTGATATTTGATTTCTTTATGTTGAATTGATTTAAGGAATATTTTTCAGGATGATATATAGTATTTAATATAATAGGATTGTTTTGATTCCTAATATGATATTGCTAGTATTATTCCTTTTAAATAATTTGCTTTATATTTTTTGCCAATATATGTTTTTGCCTTCTGTCAGTTAAGAGATTTCCAATTATTAGTTTAAGCAGATAATATGAATTTATGATTTTTATCAATCTATAATATCATCATTAGTAGCGAAAAATAGATGATCCTTGTTATGGATTTTTATCGCCTTCAAAACTTTGTTCACGGTAAATCCTTATTTTTAATATATTGATAATCTTGAAGGGGAGTTATTGTTTCACTACATTATTAATTGTAAATTTTGTGTTATTAATGAAATTTTTACTATGAATATTTGTAATAAATCAACCCTCTTAAATTTCTCAAAGCAAGTGAAATAAATTTTACGAAGGGCCATATTCTTTCTATCAAGTTTAAATGGGATGTTATGAGGGTAAAACAAAGTACCTTATTGTACTCATGATATCTGACCTTTGAAGGTTTTATCTAATTAAACTATATGATTTAAAAAAATATCAAAATTAGGATGCTATATAGAAATGTGTTAATTGTCAAAATCATTTTGAATAGAATTAAGTTATATAAACTCGTTGTTAACATTATTATTGCAAAGAATGTGCAATAACAAAGAGTGATTATCAAAATAAATTTATGTGTTTATAAAGTGGAAATTACATTTAAGTAGATTACATAAATTGGTGTTATATAAGCACAATAAAAATTAAGATTAGTAATGCTGTAAATGCAAAGAATTGTTTAATGAAAGCCTTTTATTTCAAAATTAATGTTTTCATTACATTTGAGCTTCTTGTCTAGAAGCTTGGGTTTCAAAATAAACATATTTGAGATGTCCTAAGTGTTATAAGCACATCAATATTAACGATGCAGATCTCCACTTAGATAGAATATTAACTTTGAAAATACAATAAACAGAAAATTTGAAAGATTAACAGCAAGGATATCTAGAGCCAGAATAATAAATAATTATACAAGAACCGTTAAATTAAGGCAATAAGGAAGAATTACCTTCAAAACCATAAAAAGAAATGTAAAACAATTTATTTAAAGTGAAATATTTTGAGTAGAGATAAAATATGAATTTAGAAGAATGTATATGTGCTATATGTGGTTTGAATTTTAGAGATTTCGAATAATAAGCCTAACTTTAGTGTTTGCATGTTTTTCATATAAAATATTTCCAGGATCAACTAAAGGAGAGTGCTGATTGTGTTCTTTGTCAAAATGTATATTGATTATAATAAACCTATATATTTTGAAATAATCAAAATGAGTCATAGTGAAATATGTTTATAATAGTAATTTAGGGAAGCATTACTTATCAGAATTTCATTTGAATACAATTATTTTTTTTATTTATAAATGAAATAGAGCATCGATCCTAGTGAAAGTGAAAATCAGACTACCTAGCTTTGTTTGATTNACTTACAATCATTAATTATTATGATATTGAGTTATAAATAGCGTATTTTAAATTGAGCATTTTACAGTTTGATCTAATGGCCTAAGTCTAAGGAGTTTTCAATTTAGTAGATGGATTCAATTAATAAACAGTAAAAATCATTATCTAACCTTGAACCTATTAATGGCTGAATTCTGATATTAAATATTTTTATATTTAAATAGGTTTCAATCTCAAAATTAAACAAATTTATTATCAATGTTTTAAAGTCTATTGTTTACAAAAAACATTAAGATTTTTTCAATTTCTAAGATTTTGATTTATAATACAATTCTAATTGTAATAGATGATCTTAAATAATAGTATTTTAGTAATATAAATTTATAATTGTTAATATTAATGATATTAGATAAAATAAATCACAGATATTTATTTTCTATTCTCCTCTTTAATATTATTTAATATGATATAAGGGCGGCAAGAATGATTGAAATAAAATACTATAATCTTTATAATTGCTTGTATATTTTGAATTTAAAATGCTCAAATTGCACCAACAATTCTAGGAATAAATCCTTTAATTAGCTCAATCACAGGCATCATTCTTCCACCTGATGGTCCCTAATCATCACCATTATTTTCATCATCGGAATACTCTTCTTATTATTGCAAAGTTTCATCGGAATCCTATTCTTTTTGAGTGGCTTCTTCAACATATTCACTTTCCTATAATAAATATTCGTTTAAGAGAGATCTGACAGGAATTGATTAGACTTTATTCTATGAATAGAGTGAATGATTACCTATTCAAAAAAGTAGACTTTATCATTCAAGGTGATTTCAGTGTCTGGGACAACACAAATAGCTTGTCTGATATTTTTTAGGAATGTTGTAGACAAGCGTGCAATCATTGATAAACTAAAGTTGATTAATTTATTTAATGGGTTTGATTAAAATATTATATTATTTTGTTGTTCATTTTTTCATGGTAGCACCTTATTGCATGCTGGGTTGATAGGTGAAATTTGAAAAATTTTAATTTGGTAATAAGGTACCATTGACAGGTGTGTCTTTAGCAATTTATTTGGTCATTCCTTCATCAAAATACTTCAACTCCTTTTTGTCGAATTTATAAGGCGGTTGGATCTACATATAGAACATGTGTTGATACTCTATGCTAAATGATTTCTGCCATATCGATTCCAATAAAGAAATCATGCTTCATTATATCATATCCATCATTTTCATATCCCAAACGTTTTTTTGGCTAAGAAAATGAAAAAGAAGTAAGTTACATCTACAACCAAGAGTTACTCCAATAAAGATCGAGCATTTTCAGATAAATATGAAGGATATGGTATAGGTTATGTTAATATCCTCCGAATCATTTCCTTTTTGTTTTCTTTGTAATGAGGAGGGGCTCCGACTAACATTTCATACAGCAAAGCTCCGAAACTCCACCAATCACAGGTCTTATCATAGCCAGTTTCTAAGGAAAGTGATAGGAATAATAAAAACTTGTGGTCAGTATTTCAGGAGCCAAATATTCAGGAGTTCCACACAAACTGAATGCTGTTTCATCTTCCTCCAACATAATTTTGGAGAGACCGAAATCAGTCAATTTGATGTGACCATTCTCATCAAGCAAAATGTTCTCTGGTTTAAGATCTCTGTAGATGATATGGTTTTCATGTAAATATTGTAATCCCAATAGGATTTCTGCTGCATAAAACTTAGCTACATCCTCCTTGAATCTTCCCACCTTTCTTAAATGATAAAATAGTTCTCCGCCTGGCATATAGTCTACAACAAGATACAATTTATATTATGATTAAAATGCATATCTCAATCTTACTAAAAAGATACTAGAACATGTTGCCAAAATGATTCTCTCAGTCTCTGTATGACGTTTTTATCTCTCATTCTTGATATTCTTCTTCTGCAACACTTTCATTGCGTAATATTTTGCTAACTCTAAATATATTCAATACAATTCGATTTATATTGAACCAACATAACCTTCCCGAAGGATCCCTTTCCCAACACCTTCAACAATCGGAAACTATCGATGTTGACTTTCTGAGTTTATAAACCCTGTCCCTCAGGTTCTGATGTTTTAGATGCTATGTCCAATTATCTTGTATTTTCCTAAAATTCTAAGAAGCACAATCATACGTTGGACAATTTGATGAATTCATCTTTTTCCACTTACAATTCTGGGTCATCTGTCATCTCTGTTTAATTCTAATTTGCAATTTCGTTTGTCTAACCATCTCCACTAGCTCCATAATCGAAATGTGTATTTACGTTTAGGCTTCATAATTGACCCTTAAACTGATTCTGGTTTCTTGACTTCTGATCCTCCCAATAATTTCTCCTCGTCGTAATCACGATAACACATATTCCCCATATTAATAAAAATAATTTATATTAATATTAAGTCATTCGAAACCAAGAATAATTATTAGAGAACGCAAAAAGGAGGGGATTATCCTGTGCAATTTTAATCTATTTAAGTCGTCATTAAAATAATTATAAATATGGATTAATAGTTTGGCATCAGATTTAATTAAAATAAAGAATAAAATACCGCATTTTTGAGATATAATGAATGAATTTTATCATATACTCAATTCACTTTTTGAATTGCTCAATTCGAGATTTCTATTAATATACAAAATTCTTACTAATTGTTTTATGGCATAATCTTGTCGCTTGGTTAAATTATCCCTTTGATCAATTGCCTTTTGCTTTTGTTGTTTCTCCTCAATCAATAGATTCATTACAGACTGTATTTCTCCTCTTTTTTGTATAAAATTATAAACCTTACTCTAATGACCTTTGTTGTTTTCTCGGAGACTGAGGCAACATAGTGTCGATCAATTAGTCTATAATCGACACCCTATCGCAAGGCATGGAGCACGAACGAATATGAAAAAACCTACTTGCTTGCCTTTCCTGATACTATTGTCGGATTTATTCAACTATTGCAATACATTGTTGGACCACCTCCTATGATTTATTAGGAACGGGTGTGACAACAGTCTAAATTTTAGTAGATGATCCATTGACTGTCGATGCTTATCTCGTCAGTTTTCTAATGAATTTAATTGGAGACGGTGCATCCTATTAAATTATGATGCTATTATACAGGATTAGTGCAACCAGAAGGTGGCCTAGTTGCAAACTCCATAATGTTCAATGAATTTCTCTTTTTGATCATTATTTTTTGTTTTATGTAATAAATGTATCTGTTTATATAATAATTAATAAATTGATCAAGCTCTTTTGCCTCCTAATGATTCCCACAATGATTGCATACACAATTTCCACTCTCCATTCCTATCAAATTCTCTCATCAAGAAATATTGCTCTTGCAAAGTTAAATTAAACCCTAATTCCAACAATCCTTATGACAATTCCTCAAAATCAATGTATCCTTTAAGTTATTTATCCAACTTCCTATTTTGATATGTGGCCATTAATACTTCATCAAGTCCAACAAGAAACTATCGAAATTTGGATATCCATCGGCAAATAACCTTAATTTGGCTATGATTTGAGAGATGTCAGCCTCTTTGAAAACGTCTGGCTTTTGTCTCATATAATTGATAGTGAATTCATCTGCCCTCATCAATTAGAATTTGTAGACGTTGAATTAGACGATGCCTCCCAATTAGAAATCCTTAGATTAATCGCAAATATAAGTACCCTCTCAGTATAATAATCATTGGTTAATGGATTCTTTTATCTGGATCTCTCTTGGAATTTGCCACCCTTTTACAATAATCATATTAGTATACCCATATTCCACTGTTCCTTTCAGATGTTTGATACACCTAGACTGTATCATCCCCGCAGTAGAAGGATATTATGAATCTTCTGGAATTCTCCTCTCTAACCTCACTGATCTGTCTAGCTTCAAATCTGAGGATGAATTAATCTTAAGTGAAGTTCTTTCGGACATCCTTCTTTGGCGGTTTTGGTTACAAGGAGTATACTGATCCCAAGGAATCCTCTTCATACCCATAACCATTGTAGGGTGGAACTGGCTGATAAAACTTTTTGCCTCTCTCCTATTTTAATGTGGCAGGTCTTTACATAGATTCAAATATATTACTTTTATTGGATTCCTAGAACATTCAAATAATATTCCTTTGTGAAATCATCACATCCATAAATGAAGCATTCTCTTCCATAAATCTTGACTGTGTTCCCGCAAATTAGATCTTGAGGACTGTAAAATTCTTCCTTCTTTAGTGTCATTCCTGGATAATGAGTCAGAATAGGAGTTTTAGGGATCTTCTATCTTCTCAACATCAATGGATAGGGATCCTTTCCTGAGTTCTATTTTCTCACTTCTTTGACTTCGCATGTATCATCAGCCAAGTAATAGTTTAATGTGTAATAATTCAGTTAGCCTTCGATGGATGCATCATCCCAAATGATATCAAAAGAGAGGACTTTCCTATCATTTTATAGATATTTATTAAGTCCTCCATTGGGATGTCCTCCTCCTAGTTTGACTTCAAAATATTCTTTGTATTCTTTGGTGTCAGGTGGATTGATTTTGAGCTCTTTAGTTTCCCGAATGTTTTCAAAATTATCTCTTGGCATTTGTTCTGGTAAACGCAAAGGCTTGCCCATATATTCGTAGAATTCTCTGGTGTAGGTGTCGCAATCTTGAATTCTGAAGACCTAGAAAAATATAAAAATTTGGATGTTACTCTTTCATAAAAATTGATGTTGGAGCACAATTGAATATCTTCCCATTGGTAAAAGTCATTCTTTCCCAGTTTTTTCGGGATCTTCTGTCTCTTGATAAATAGGCCTTGAGGGATTCCAGCATTGGGGACTCGGGGCTACGAATTAATATAAATATAATGTACTTCTGTCACATGTATTGTTCCATCTGATAAATAGTAATAAATGATGACTTTTCTGATTCTGAAGTTCTCGTTGGGGTTTTCAACAACGGATTCTTGGAAGTAACCGTAGAAACGTAAAACAGCTCGATCATATTTCAACCATGGTGGTTGGATGCGAGGAATGTAATCATTTTCTGGTGGTTGTCTACTCCCATAAGTCAGATTGGGAGGAGCATTGAATTTCATGGAATCCATTAGGTTTGGATCGAATTCCTCGTGGATGAAGTTGGTTTTCTCTTGCACAGTGCCATTGATGTGTGAAAATTGCTGAGTTTTGTGATGATTTTCTTTGAAGGGATCTGAGAAGACATGGCCAGGCAGGAAGGGGACTTGCTTTGGGAATTGTGAATTGAGGGACATGTATATATAATAAAAATATAACTGATTATCTATTGTGGGGGATATGCAATATGAAATAAACAAAAAAGAGAGTTAGCTATATAAAAAATTAAAAACCTACCAACATAGAATGGATCCTCAATCTCCTGGATCAAATACCCAAATATTAGCTACAGCAATCGAATATGAAGAAAATTTCAGCAGCTTAATTGAGCAATCTTCAAGAGTGTGATCAATTGCTGAAATCGAGTTTGTACACTTTCGATACCAAAATCAACAAATTCACATAGATGTAATTTACACTCTACCCCAACATGCTCATTGGAGACAATCAGGAGTACTTGGTCTTGTCGTCCTGCATAATGACCAAGAAAGTAATCCAATATAAGGAATTTACAGCGCAAGGAGTCCAATTGCTCAACAGTCAAGGCAACCTATTCTTATTTTACGAGTCTTACGTGTAGCAATTGAATGTACAACTTCGTCATTGATTAATTTCTAGTGGGAGAAACAATTGAAGAGATTTTCCAAACTATAAAATTTTTCCAATAAATACACTATTCAAGAGAAACTTTCGATATAAAATCATTACGCTTGTGTGAAGAACAAAAACAGTATATATTTATTTGAACCAAAGATCGTGTCTATACAGTTTAACTCATAAGGTTGTCGAGTTTGAGCGAATAACTTTATGAAGCTCTGATGAACGAAATAAACATCTTAATGTGTTTCAAGCAGAATGGATTGCATCAATTCCACTCTTTATTTGAAGATGGAGATATCCTCTACATATTGTATGACTATTGGGTAGGAGACACATTGTACAAATTGATCCAATAAGGATTTAAATTGACAGCCTCTTAAATAGCTCAAATAATCTTCCAGATAATCAAAGTGGTTCGTTTTTTGCATCAGAATAATCTTTATCATGGAGCCATACTTCCCACCAATATAATCTTGCACAGAGTGACAGCTCCTTAGAGTCAATAAGGACAATAATTGAAAATTACATTATTCAACTTTGCCTATAGAGATGCAAATCAATACAGTTTGGCTTGGTTGAATAAGAGAGTGCCGAAGTAATGGATACCACCTGAATTCAACAACCTACAGATCAAGCCTGAGTTTTCAAACATTGATGGATATCAAATTGGAGTCTTTTTGTACTATTTGACCTTCCACACAAATACTAACAAATCACAATTGTCATTTTACAAATCGCTGGATAATTTCAAAATCGATTATCAATGGTTGAAGTCAATAAAATAGGAATAATAAAAGGAATACTCTTTTTCTCTGATTGAATTGTTGTGTGGGTTGTTGGACCCAGATTTTAAGAATAGAATCACTTTGAACAATGCTTTAGCTCATTAGTGGTTAACAAATTAGAGATAGAAATAGAATGGATAGAACGAGAAACCGAAGATATTGCCGTCTTTGAGGACAATATTGGAATTGAGAGAGCAAAGTTCTTGTGAAATGCTTTCATCCAGACTTGGTAAGGAGGAACTGCATGTAACAAGTTCTAGCGAGGATGATGTGGAGTTCTGTGATGATGAATACATACATAGAATTTCAAAAGAAAATAATAAAATACCATATTATTAAAATATACTGAATTTGATTCCGAACAAACATCCATCTAGAAGTAAATAAGTAATAGATTAATGTTAAGAGAGTTAATTTTGATTAGATATCTATATATGTATGATTAACAATGATTTCAATATAATAATTTAAATATTTAATTGGAATCAAAATATGTTTTATGAAATCTTGCTATGTAGTTCATGGCTTTGCAATACTTTGTATTCTTTAGATCTTGAGTAATCTTCCATATATAATTTTGAAAGTTGTGGTTATTGATAATTGAGTTGTTGATACTGATAATGTTTTTGTTGTTATAATATGGCAAGGAACGAAACAAATATTGTATGTTTATTTCTCCGATCATGATTATCTCACTCAACATAATATGTATGAAATAGAATATACCTTAGAAATCTTTGACAACTACAATAGATATTCCTTCATCACATTCCTACTGCCAACAGTGATTTATTAATAAAATGACAAAGAGATATTTGTGAATCGATACTTTACGCTGATCAAGTTGTTGCATCTCCTCTTGTTGGTGCTCTATTATACTTTGATAGACTTTGATGCTGGTTAGCCTCTGATCCAATTTCTGATAGTGAGTTTGCTAATCCTAGCCAAAAATCATCACCATGAAGGGGAACCAAAAGGAACTCAAAACAACCTAACAATGATTGAGGAAACATGCAATTTGAAGACTCAAACTGAATACGATAAAATAGTTGATATCACAAATGGAATAGTGGGAATAATTAAATTAAATGAATAGTTTGAAATAATTTACTAGAACAAGAAATCTTCCTATTTAATGGAGGATAAATCAATCAACGAAATATTAATGCAAGCCCCCACTCTGATAGACAAATAAACCAAGCAACTACTCCAAGAATAATGCAATATCAAATTACAATCAGTCCAAGACTTCAGAGATTCCTTGACATTGATCACCCTGAAGGAATTGCTGGAGAACATTAAGACAAACCTACCACTTCCTCATTAATTGGATGTGTATGTTCTCCAGGATTTTGAGATGTTTTTCTTTTAAATTCTCGTAAACAAAGAGAATTGTGAGAAAACAACCTACAATGTAGTGTTCTAGGAAATGTCTGATTATTCTCATTACATCAAGAAGAAACACTCTCAAACAACAATGAAACAACTATTCAAGAGTTTTAGTCATGAGTTGAACACCTCTTTGAATTATATCTTGGCCCTGGCTCAAGTGGCTCAATGTCATGAGAATGTACCTAAGACTGTGTCTGAAAAGTATTTTCTGCCCATTTTACATTGCGGCAGAATAATGCATAGCTTGATTAGTGACATCATGGATTACAATCTAATCTTAAGCAAATAATTCAATGTAGAAGTGAGCAATTTTAACATACCATAATTAATAAGCGAGGTTGTCGACCTATTCAAATATTAAATAAATCAGAAACATCTCAAGATTCAATTCCAAAACAACCTCCTGAATTACGATTTAGTTAGTGACAGAAACAGAATTAGATAAATTTTAATCAATTTAGTATCAAATGCTCAAAAATTCACTTTTTCTGGTCAAATCAGAATCTAGGTTGGAGCAGTCGTCAACAATAAATAATTATGCGTTATCTTCCATGTATTCGATACAGGCATTGGAATGAAACAAGATGAAGTGGAACGATTGCATCAACTCTTGTCTTCAGGCATTCCATAATCAGCTAGAATCTCACAAAATACAGCTGGATTTGGATTGGGACTATATATTTCCAACAAGATTGCTGAAGTGCTGAGTCAAACTCGATATGAAAAGGGAGGAGGATTGAGATTCGAGTCAATATATTAATCAGGGTTTCATGCTTGGTTTATGGCTAGAAATTAATCCTACAGTCCTGCCTATTAATAAAGCAATCCTACACCCATTGTTCGCATCAGAAAGAATATTCAAATAGATACCATGGAATCACAAATAAGCAGAGTCAATGCATTACCAATGAGATAGAAGTTTTCGTAGATCCTTGGAATCAAAGATTTCAAATCAGAAAGAGGTTTGAATAAGGAATTGTCCCTCAAATTACGTAAACCACCATCCAAAATAGCAAGAGAGTTGTTTCTTGCTGCAATTTCATCGGAAAGGAGAATTGAATCACTTAGTATCAATCAAGAGACAAATGATTAAGAATTTCAAAATAGAATCAAACATTTGAATGAACACTGTACAACTAATCAGAAATGCAATTGTCCTCAAATTCTGATCGTTGATGATGAATAAATAAATATTATGGCCTTGTCAATGATGCTTGATCAAATGGGCTACTCAACTGACTCAGTATTCAATGGAGAAGAATGTGTCAACCTCATCTTCAGTAATCAGAAGAAAAGTAATTTATAATCTTCTATCCTGTAGCCAAATGTAATAAATGCAGATCTTAACAATATCGTATGATCTTCATGGATATCAACATGCCAATCTTAGATGGCATACAAGCAACAGTCAGAATCAAATCCAAATACTCCAACATCATAGTTATTGCATGCACTGCCTTCTCGGACACAGAAACTCGAAATACTTGTTACAAAAGCGGGATGAGTTATCACATTCAAAAACCAGTCAAAAAAGACTAACTCATTGAAATACTATCTTATTATTTAAATTGATTATATATATATATAAGTATTTAAGTCTATTTCATAATTATACAAAATAACAACTTTCATTTGTCCTCCTTACCATATACCTTATCTATCTCTGTATGATTCAATCCCTTTGTCTCCTTTACGGAAAAGTAAAAAAATAAAATGCTGCTGACTGTCAATATTGCGAATACTACAAATGATCCACTCATCTCCAAACTACTCAGCATGAAAGGGAATATGTATAAGACCAGTAATTACCAGGCGTATAGAGTCACAAAACAAAAATAAGTTCCCTCACTTGAATTTATCTCTGGAGTCATAGACTATTTATAATTAACTTAATTACCCAAGTGATTGGACCTAATGTTAAAGCATACAAAAATGAAAACAAACATATTACTATAAACTTTACTATTACTGCTGCCAAAACGTCAGTGTAACTTAACCCAATTATTAATATTTGACATATTATCATAAAAAATAATCCTGACAATAGGATAATTCGTTTTCCCCATCTTCTATAAACAAATGATGATATGAAAGCAGGTGTAAATTATACAATGCCTAAAATCAATGTAAAGAATGTATTTAAAGTCACATCTCCATCTGACATAGATGCAAAAAACTGTGAACTATATGAGAATATGGCAAATAATCCACACCAAGTGTAAACAAACATCAAGACGCAACCTATTGCTAATGTTTTTCTATTTTTTCTCGTAAAGAGACTCATTATTCCTTCTTTATGTTCTTCATCATACTAAACTCTTAATTAACTTTTTTGGAATGCTTATTCAACACACACTGGCTAATAAATATATGCTATTATTGCCTTAGCCTTTATTGGCTTATGTTTGATTATCAATGATATTGGACTATCCATCCTATACACAATTGTCAACACTGTGAATCGGAATAAGAAGACAACTGCTGGAATTGCAAACACAATCTACCAATAATGAGAGTCCTTTCCTCTCAAATCGCTGTTTATATAGCCTAAGCCCATGAAGTTTGCAAAAAGCAATCCTCCACCCACAAAGAAACCTGACATTACTGAAAACTTATCATAGTACTTTTATGGACACAATTCCTTTAAATATATTGGCATGATTATTGTTTAAATGCCAATACAAACTCCATAAAAAAATCGGAATGTTAAAATAACTTCTCGATTTGGAATCACTGCAAATATACTTAAAAAACCACAAAAATCGGCGATTATAAGTGATTAATTCCTAGTTGTGTATTTTAATAAGAATTTTGTAAAAATTGCACCAACAAGACAACCAATTGACAAAATTGCACTAAAAAATCCCTATTCAGATGTTTCTGATCCCTTTAATTCACTATCAGTTATATTAAATCAAATACATCTAAGAAAACACTGTAGAAAATGACATCGATAAGTAAGGCAAAGAGTAGCCCAATCCAAAATTACCAGATAATATTGCTACCATTATGACTGTAAAGTGAAATTTAGAATTCACATCTTCATCGATCTCATGATCTAACTGGACAGTATGGGTTTTATCGATTATCAATTGATCCTTTTATTTATAAGCAGGAGGTTTAAATTTAGATAGTGAACCATGAGTGTGCTCTATTTCAAAATGTTCTAATTCATTCGTTGAAAATGGAAGCTAATGCTACATTTGTCAAATTTAATCACAAATATACAAACTTTATAAAAATAATATCACATTTAAGTTAATATTCTGTTGAATCATATCATTTAATATTATATATATGAATAAGTAACATTGACATAATTAAACGATTACCACTATATAATTGTATGAAAACTGACATGATTTTTCTTTTTAAAAAAAGGAAGTCTGATAAGCAATCTGATTTCCTGATTAATATAAAATATATTTGGAAATACGCACTTTGAGTTTTTATGAGTAATTAAATTTTTTAGTAAAATATGCAAACACTTGATTCAACAGTTAAATGGTTCAACAAGACCGAAGGAAGGGACAAGATATGCAAAGTCATGCAATATGGATCCAGATTTTTAATGTGGCATCTCAAAACCAACAATGGCAATGAATAATTATCCAATCAATTTAAGAATTTATTTTGTACTTGATTTGTTTATCCTTATATAGAAAGCACAAGAGATGCCAGAAAATTATTCAGATTAGCCAAATCTTTGAATGAATTGTAAACTATCATTGATAAAGTGGGTCAGAATTGCAAAACATCTCAAGAGTAGGTTGCTCGGGCATTAAATATCCTAACAAGAGTATGGTTTTTATTATATTGGTAAAAATTTGAATTTAAGCTTTAGGTTCTATGATAACTTGAGTGTGTTATCAACCATCAAGTTCACTACCAGCGACCCAAAGCCTTTGTAAAAAAAAGCAATGACATTTTGGTTTATTGCAATAATTACAAACTTGATTGACACAATAAGACAATTGTTTGTCAACTTCTAATATATTTAACAAAACAAAAATAATCAAACTGCTTAGCAATAGATTGCTAATAAGTACGATTAAAATAAGACTCTTTATTTAAATTTGATAAAGATATTTGGAGATTTAATGCCCGCTGGTTAAGGATCAGAGTTTTTCCCCAAAGTATTGAAAATCAACCTAAACGATGGAGTTATTGGCCTTGGAGGTCTTGTATCAGGTGCTGTTGCTGCTTATTAAGCATATTGATTAATATTAAGGAATCATATTATAAAATAAAATAATAAAATGAATTTAAGATAATATGAAATATCTCTTATTCCTATCAATCTCAAAGCTTTGTCTAGCTTTACAAACTGGATTTGTGTAGGATAATTAATAGAGGAAGCAATGCTTGTAGGATTAATTGAGTATCATATTAAAGTCAACTAAGTTTAGATAATCTAATCATAATTATTTGGGTCTAATTAATAGAATTAGGCGATGTAAAAAATTAATACCTTACTCAATAATTCTAAAAACAAACCCAATAGATTTAAATCATTTATAGAGGAAGTCAAAATTCAAGATCCATATGGTATATGGTTTAAGGATGCCATTAAATCATACTTTCGATATAACTACAAATCTTGTCCTTCAGATTAGTTTAAGTTTTTATGCGACACTTTTAAAGTCTAGTTTGTGGTATTTGAATAACCAAATTCAAATTCACAATTATTATATGGTATTGAAACTAATGGAGGAATTAATAAAATCATTTTATACAAATATCACGAACAATATTACCTTATCTTGACAATATTTGAAAAGAAATGTCATTTATGCAAAACTAAAATCAAATTAATTGATATAAAATGCCAACATTAAATATGTTTTAATTGTATTTAGAAGCAATTTGAACAATCAAAATCAGTATAATATATTACATGTAATTTCCAAGGATGTAGAGAATTTATATTTAAATCATTCTATTTGGATCTCTAAAAAGAATATTAAAAAAGTNCAAAAGTTTAATTCTTTTCATATTGTGTTGATATACCTCAAAATTCATTCGTTTAGATTTGTGACTATAATTTCCAATTAAATGATTTTCTTATAATTTCACCATTTGTTTTATAAATATTAATTAAGATAATCAATAAGTCTAATTTATTCTAGCTATCAATAGAGTATAGAAAATCTTTATAATTATATCCAATTTAAGATTAGCCTAATTAAGTAAGCAAATTGACTTTATTACTAATAGATATCCTTAAGAGTGTATATCAATAATTCAGTTATTATATAAAATTTCAGAATCCTATCAAAAAATAGATTTAACAACAAATTAAGACTCATTCTTTACTAACTCAAAAGATTATTATTATTTATATTCACAAATCAAATAAATTAAAAGAATTTTGATTTGTGAGAATGGCTTGTTGATAGAAAATCACCAAAATCTAGATTGAATATGGTAATATAGAGTAATTATATTATCTTACAGATATTTCTAAAAAGAATAAAGAATATGTAAATGATATATCTTTCAAATCAAAAAAAAGTAGCCAAACTGCATAAAACATGTAATTAAAATGAATTTATTTGAATAATATTGCCAATACATTTAGGTTTAAACTAGGGTGCTGAATAGAAAATTTAGATTTTCTATATTTCATATATTTTGCTTTATTAGTTAAATGTACAATTTGTAGAATCGTTATTTGCACGTTGATTTTATTAATTCTTTAATAATTTTGCTTAATAAATTGATCTTTCATCATTATCTTTGAAATTTTATAAAATAAAATAATAAAATGAATTTAAGATAATATGAAATATCTCTTATTCCTATCAATCTCAAAGCTTTGTCTAGCTTTACAAACTGGATTTGTGTAGGATAATTAATAGAGGAAGCAATGCTTGTAGGATTAATTGAGTATCATATTAAAGTCAACTAAGTTTAGATAATCTAATCATAATTATTTGGGTCTAATTAATAGAATTAGGCGATGTAAAAAATTAATACCTTACTCAATAATTCTAAAAACAAACCCAATAGATTTAAATCATTTATAGAGGAAGTCAAAATTCAAGATCCATATGGTATATGGTTTAAGGATGCCATTAAATCATACTTTCGATATAACTACAAATCTTGTCCTTCAGATTAGTTTAAGTTTTTATGCGACACTTTTAAAGTCTAGTTTGTGGTATTTGAATAACCAAATTCAAATTCACAATTATTATATGGTATTGAAACTAATGGAGGAATTAATAAAATCATTTTATACAAATATCACGAACAATATTACCTTATCTTGACAATATTTGAAAAGAAATGTCATTTATGCAAAACTAAAATCAAATTAATTGATATAAAATGCCAACATTAAATATGTTTTAATTGTATTTAGAAGCAATTTGAACAATCAAAATCAGTATAATATATTACATGTAATTTCCAAGGATGTAGAGAATTTATATTTAAATCATTCTATTTGGATCTCTAAAAAGAATATTAAAAAAGTNCATTTGTTTTATAAATATTAATTAAGATAATCAATAAGTCTAATTTATTCTAGCTATCAATAGAGTATAGAAAATCTTTATAATTATATCCAATTTAAGATTAGCCTAATTAAGTAAGCAAATTGACTTTATTACTAATAGATATCCTTAAGAGTGTATATCAATAATTCAGTTATTATATAAAATTTCAGAATCCTATCAAAAAATAGATTTAACAACAAATTAAGACTCATTCTTTACTAACTCAAAAGATTATTATTATTTATATTCACAAATCAAATAAATTAAAAGAATTTTGATTTGTGAGAATGGCTTGTTGATAGAAAATCACCAAAATCTAGATTGAATATGGTAATATAGAGTAATTATATTATCTTACAGATATTTCTAAAAAGAATAAAGAATATGTAAATGATATATCTTTCAAATCAAAAAAAAGTAGCCAAACTGCATAAAACATGTAATTAAAATGAATTTATTTGAATAATATTGCCAATACATTTAGGTTTAAACTAGGGTGCTGAATAGAAAATTTAGATTTTCTATATTTCATATATTTTGCTTTATTAGTTAAATGTACAATTTGTAGAATCGTTATTTGCACGTTGATTTTATTAATTCTTTAATAATTTTGCTTAATAAATTGATCTTTCATCATTATCTTTGAAATTTTATAAAATAAAATAATAAAATGAATTTAAGATAATATGAAATATCTCTTATTCCTATCAATCTCAAAGCTTTGTCTAGCTTTACAAACTGGATTTGTGTAGGATAATTAATAGAGGAAGCAATGCTTGTAGGATTAATTGAGTATCATATTAAAGTCAACTAAGTTTAGATAATCTAATCATAATTATTTGGGTCTAATTAATAGAATTAGGCGATGTAAAAAATTAATACCTTACTCAATAATTCTAAAAACAAACCCAATAGATTTAAATCATTTATAGAGGAAGTCAAAATTCAAGATCCATATGGTATATGGTTTAAGGATGCCATTAAATCATACTTTCGATATAACTACAAATCTTGTCCTTCAGATTAGTTTAAGTTTTTATGCGACACTTTTAAAGTCTAGTTTGTGGTATTTGAATAACCAAATTCAAATTCACAATTATTATATGGTATTGAAACTAATGGAGGAATTAATAAAATCATTTTATACAAATATCACGAACAATATTACCTTATCTTGACAATATTTGAAAAGAAATGTCATTTATGCAAAACTAAAATCAAATTAATTGATATAAAATGCCAACATTAAATATGTTTTAATTGTATTTAGAAGCAATTTGAACAATCAAAATCAGTATAATATATTACATGTAATTTCCAAGGATGTAGAGAATTTATATTTAAATCATTCTATTTGGATCTCTAAAAAGAATATTAAAAAAGTCTTTGTATTTAATGTCATCAAATTATTCCAATAAGTCATTAAATCTGTTAGAGTTGTGAGGAAAAAAATCAAAAATAATAACAAGAAAATTTTAATGATTAAAAATAACCTATTAGTAAATAAAGTGAATAATAATAGAATTAGACCTAATAGAATTAAATAGATCAGGAATAAGATAAAAAATAAGAAGTTACCTAATCTAGTATTTAGAATAAAAATAATAATGTATAAATGGAAATAGAATATAATACATAGGATGCTATACAGAAATGTGTTAATTGTCAAAAACATTTTGAATAGAATTAAGTTATATAAACTCCATGTTAACATTATTATTGCAAAGAATGTGCAATAAAAAAGTGTGAATATCAAAATAAATTTATGTGTTTATCATGTGGAGATTACATCTAAGCAGATTATATAAAATTGGCGTTATATAAGCACAATAAAAATTAAGATTAGTAATGCTGTAAATGCAAAGAATCGTTTAATGAAAGCCTTTTATTTCAAAATTAGTGTTTTCATTACATTTGCGCTTCTTGTCTAGAAGCTTGGGTTTCAAAATAAACATATATGAGATGTCCTGAGTGTAGTAAGCACATCAATATTAACGATGCAGATCTCTACTTAGATAGAATATTAACTTTGAAAATTCAATAAACAGAATAAGAATCATAAGTTATTTAGACAGAATCAAAGAGTGAATAAAATTAATAAATAGATTAGTAACAACATTAACAAAGTAATATCCAAACTTAAAAGGTTTAAAACGAGTAAAATGATAAGAATGAAAGTTCTTAAAGAAAAATCTAAGATTAAAATAATTTAGAAAGAAGCTTAATTCAATTTGATGAACCATTATATTGTACATTTTGCGGCTCTCCATTTACGGAATTTAATACTCGGCAATTTTTATCTCATTGCTAAGATTCAAGACATTTTATCGGAGTTTGTTGTTCGATATTTCCATTAGATTGTCCTTAATGTCAAATCAAGTCACTCAAGATTGAAAAAGGTTTAAATTAATTTTAATTTTAGATAGCTTTAGATTTTACTTACCGTTATCAAATAGTTATGATTCTTATGTTTTTAATTAATATGTATGAGTTAAATTTAAAATCCAATCAAGTATACATAAAATTCTATTGATTACAAATTCTTTTAGGCTCTTGCTTAATTAAATCTTAATAGCCAAGAATTATGAAGTCATTAGTCATAAAAAATAATCTATTTTTTGCACCATTAAGTAAAACAAAATAGTTATTGACAATTTACAAATATCTTCTGTTCAAATTTATACTAATTTTCTTCATAACATATAAATTCATAAATTAATGTAGTAGTAATAATAAGAACTTGAAAATTTTTCAGTAGATTGGTCTTAAGTAACTAAACCTAAATTGAGTGAAAAGAGAATTAAAAAGCAAGAAATCAAATAACATATACCAACAGAAGTGAATATCTTTGACAGAATTTAAAATTGTTTTAGGTATAGGATCGCCACTTTAATAACTCAACTGGGATAACCATAATATTACTGCAAATTTGATCCGAAATTAAAAAGAACAGTTTAATCCAATAATAACTAAAAGAAAAAATTAGAAGAATAGTTATCTAAAATTGCTACACAATTAGAATTGAGTTGTCGTTTCATCACTAGATCAATGTTTTAAATAACCAGATAACCTTTACTCAAATCCATGGGAAGTAAATATTGTAAAAATATGAATCAGTCGATATACGAAGCATATTGAATAAAGCCATGAATGATAAAGAATTTTAGAAATTATATTTGGATTTAGATGATTAAAGTGAAGAGTAAAGAAAAAAGGACGAAGAAACAGAAAAATAATTGGCTTAAATATAGCCGTTGTCTGAACCTGAAGTCAGGGAAGAGATTGAAAAATTGCGGAAAAAACACAATTTAAATCAAAATTAATATTTATATGTAATACAAGGAGAATACTTTAATGATATGAAATCCCTATTTAATTCATTAGGTAAAGAAAATTATGCTACATTTTCTTAGGTTGGGTAGAGATAGAAGATGTTTACACATAAGTTTACGATTTCAAATTTTGCTACTTAAAGAAGTTTTTGCATAAACCTATTCCAGAATAGGTTGTAAGTAGATTTGCTAGTTCAAAATTATTGACAACAAAGTTTGGATTGGCAAGATCTTTGAAAAGTTGTTACATTTTAGGAGGAGTTGACTCTAATATATTCTTTCCAAGATGTTATGATTTGAGTGATGAGGGTGATTTTGAAGATTTTTTGGAAGAGTACAAATTTACATTTGCAGAAAACTACATTAAGAAGAACCCTAAAGATGAATAAAAGATATAAATTGCAATATAAATCTTAAATTATAAGTTGATGTCCATTTAAGATAAAATCAATCGAATCGTACAATTTACTTTATATTTAGTCTGCTGAAGATTATCCAGTTTGTACGCCTTAACAATGGTAAATTTTGTATAAAAAACCAGAACCAAAGCAAGAAATTATTCAATTTGACAATCCAAAGATAATGGAATCAGTTAAATAAATATTATTAGACCTTAGCAATGTTGACCCATAATTTAAAATTTCTAAAGGTGAGAATATTTGGGTTACTAAACCTTGTGGATTGTCAAGAGGAAGAGGGGTGAAATATTTCAAGGAAATCGAAGATATATTGGCTTATACATTTGGAGCTAAGGATGTGAATTTTGTGGCTTAGAAGTGTTTGGAAAATATCATGACAATTTAAAAAAGAAAATTTGATATTAGATAGTGGATGATCGTGTCTGATATTCAGCCATTAACAATTTGGATGTATAGAGAATGCTATGTTCGATTTTGCGGTGTTGAATATAATACAGATGACTTAAAAAATAGGTATGAAATTGATTAGAAATTAATAGATACGCTCATCTAACTAACTTTAGTGTCCAAAAAAATAATGAGGATAATTAGGAGGAGAAGTTAATGATGACTTAGGAGGAATTTGTTTAAATATTAAAAGAAAGAGGGTTTGACTTTGAGAGTCAAGTGAGAGAGAAATTCAAAAGCATCATTATAGCTACAATGAAATCTTGTTAAAAGTCTTTTGAGATAAGAAAGAATACTTTTGAAGTGTTTGGATTAGATTTCATAGTTGATGAGGATTGCAATCCTTGGTTAATAGAAGTGAATGCTTCTCCAACGTTTGCCTTTTCAACTCCAGTAACCGAAAGATTAAATAAAATGGGACTTACAGATTTGGGACATTTCATTGTGGAACATATCTACAATAAAACAAAAAAAAAGAATTACGGTGGGTGGGAATTAATTTATAAATAAAAATTATGAATTTAATTTAAACTTATATTCCATCTTTACTGATGTTCTTATTTTATGAATAATTTTTATAGATATTTTTAATAATACAATATTGAATACTAATTCAAGATCAATTAATAAGATAGCATAGAAGTTTTTGTAATTCATTTTTATTGACAGGTTTACTGATATAATGAGACATGCCTATTTCATAACAATATTATTTTGTTTCGCTATCAGTGAAAGCTGTGCAAGCAATAATAATGGGAGCATCATTTTTATATTTCTCAATTATGGCTTTAGTTGTAGCAAATCCATCCATGATTGGCATGTTGATGTCCATAAAGATAAAATTATATAAACAGTGAGCTAAATAGATATTTATATGAATGCTTACCTTACTCCAATTTTTTAAGTGCCTCTTGGCCATTGTAAGAGGAATCCGATTCTAAATTGAAAGACTTTAACATAAGTTGCAATCCAAGGATATTGATCATCTCATCATCAACAATGAGGATTTAATTGCAATTGCAATTAACAATAACATTATCAATTTCATCATAAGAACTTTGTTTGCTGGATTTATTTTATTGTGGAAAAGTAGAAAGTTTGATATTTTAAAATTGTAGTCTTTTTTAATAATCCCCTTCTTTAGTTTCCTCATTAATACTGTCTTAGTCCCTTTTAGTATGTTGCATTTATATTTTAAAAAGACTTCCCAATTTATCCTTCGTTGTGATTCTCTTCATAAAGTGTCCTATCACATGATCATCATGAAAACTGTTCACCTTTGGCACCATAATCGTGCTAAATTTGTTAGTTAATGGATTTTTAATAGCATTTAATCCAAAATCAACTTAAGATTGCTTGACATCTATAACAGCATTTCTTCCTACTTTTATTATTCCACTCGAATTATCTTAAGGAGCAGTAAGAGTATAAGTGAGACTAAATGGTTCATTAATAATCTTGAAAACTACTTTTGTGCCCTTAATTTCTTGGCTACTATAATATCTTATTCCGCCTCCTTCTTCATATTTCAAATTGCCCAAGCTCATTGCTATTTTATTACATAAGAAACTGCCCAATCCAAATCCAGCCGTATTGGTAGAGATCTTCTTCTCTTTTTTATAATCATATTTAAGCATTTCAGTGAGACCATCTATTTCATTTTTAGTCATTCCTATCCCAGTGTCTGATATTTCAAATTACACATATTTATTTTACTCAATTGATTTTACTATTATTTTAATACCTCCTGAGAATGTAAATTTTTAAGCATTCTGAATCAGAGTTACTAATATTTATTTGAGCCTTCTGCCATCAGTTAAGATGGATTTCTCAGCTAAGAAGATTTCGTAGGTGATTTTGAGTCCCTTTTATTACAGAGTATGGAAAAAGATGTTAATAACTTCTTCCAACAATTAACTAATCTATTGTATTATGACATTTTACATCTATTTTTTCTAATTGCAATTCGAGTTACTTGCCTTTGATATTATTGTAATCAACCATATCTAATACAAAATTATGCATTATCAGTCCCATTGATTTAATGGGCATAAAGTAGGAAAGCAGATCAGAATCAGAGTATTTTTCTATGGCCACTTAGGCTATGGCCAGCAAATAATTCAGGGAAGTTCCGAATTCATGAGACATTGTGCTTAGCAGTTATTTCAAAATTGCAAAAACATATTTCTATTTTTAGTACCTATCTCGTTCCTCTAATTCCAAAAATTATATTTAGAATTCTCGTTGATAAATTATCTTTATGAAGTGACTATTGAGCTATGGATGACTGTAATCCAGAATTCTAATTATCATTGGTATTCTGTTTGCTCTAACTTAATCTAACAAATCTTGCAGAGAACACCCTGAACTCTTCCACTGGAGTGTGGATTTGGATTAAGAGTCAATTTTATAGACAATTAAATCATGCAAAATTGATTTCAAACCGTTTTCTAAATTGTTAATAATTGAGCTTGATTTCTCAGATCCTATTGCATTAAATTGATCATCCAAGTACAATATTGAGAAATTGGGATCTGTTATTCTTTCAGTTAAGCTTCTAGGGTTCGAATCATACCCTGTGTACAAAATTTTTGAATGAATCATGATTTCTGGCTTCTTTTGATATTTTTCAAACCAGGCTTAAAGTTCGAAACCTTGGATTATTAATAAACCAAGAAAAGCAAATATGCTACGAAAAATTTGATGTATTTCAATCTCGGTTCCAAATATAAATATGATGAGAAGTAAAACTATATTTTATACTTGTGAAGTAAATACCTGACCATTCTAGCATTAATAGTCGGGAAACTTGTGTATAAGCTTTTAAACGAACTATTATGTGATATGCCCCTGTAAAATATTTATATTGCGAATTCGGCATCAGAACAAAAATCAAGATAGCTTAACCCAACAGAATGGCCCTTTATAAAACCTCTGGAATATTAAATTTATTAAGCAAAAACAATGCCACAATGCCAGTGAGCTCTAAAGCTAATGCAATAATTTCTTTAGGTTCTTCAAACTCCGTGAACGCTATAATTGTTGAAATAGTCTATGTTGTAATCAGACTAATAAAAATTTTCATAATTTAATAACTTTACTAGAAAATAATTTTACTAATCAATAACAACAAAACAATCAAATAGAAATTGTTTTTATCACAATAGTATGAAAATATAATTTACAATTATTGTATTTAATGCAATTTATCAACATCCTTTTGATTTGCACTTGATTTCTATTTCTATTTCAATGCAAATATTAAATTCAATTTAAATATTGTACATAAGTATAATTTTAATTACGAATAATTAATATAAAATGAAATAATTCGACTAACAGCTCCCTGATACTGTGCCTCTAGATATTTTATTGGCTCAATTGTAAAACCCTTTAATTGTTAGAGAAGATCACTAATAATGTATTTGGCATATAAATATATCGAGTTTTAAAATAAAGACATCATTGCATGCCTGAAATAATTAACAATAATTATTAATTACTTGCCGATAAATATTTACTACTAAGCAATGCTTTACCAGGATGTTCTCCCGAATTAATCGTTGAAGAATTCGAGAAAGTCGTGTAAGTAGTTGAGAAATGTTGCAATTAATTTATTGAGAAAATGAAAAAAGTTATAACAGATCTCTAAGCGTTTGCCAATTATGATACCCAGGTATTGAAAGGCTATCTAGTTTAATCAACTGATATCTTTTAAAGATGCTTTAATCTTATTGACAAAGATTTAACAAATTAGGATGTTGAATTTTTAATGGAGAATTTCACTAATCCTGAAAATACAATCTAAAGACATTTGTTAACCCTAATATTCGAAAGAAATCAAAATCTATAGAACGTAATGTAAAAAGTCTATACAGAATAACTGGATTTTTCAGCATAATTTCGTGCTTAATTTGAATAATTAGGTAATACTAACCATTTCGAACCATTAAACAAATTATTAAACAATTAAAAGAAATTTTGGTCTAACAGAGTGAAAAAAGAAATTTAAACCTAAAAATAATTAATGGAGGAACAATTACCATAATAATTCTTAGTTTAGTCAAACATTCAATTCGCACCTCAAAATTAACAATTTTAATAGCAATAATAATAATAAGTTTAACCCTAAATTTAGTAATAACCTCAATAAGATGTATCGTGGTTAAATAAGTCTCAGTCCATTCAAATAGAACCTGGAAATCAAAAATTAATAGAAGGTCTGCTTAAATTGAGAGCTCATACGCATGAATTAATGTAGAAACATGAAAAAGAATTAAAAATGGATATCAGAAAACACTGCAAATTAGACGGAGGTGGTTCCTTTGGGTAAACAATTCATAGATTCATATTAGCTATTGTTGGACAGGTGGATATGGATGGAAGGGAGCTCCATATGAAAGTTTAGAATTATCAATTTAATGTCCTCAGTGCTAAAATTTAAATTAGGACATGAATAGCACAGCTAAAAAATTATATGATCTAGAATACAGGGACAAAGGGACTTGGTGGGTTAGGGCTTGGTTTTTATATAAGAAATGAAAATGTTTAATTTATATCGTCAATAATTGCATAATTTATCATCTTTTATCGTAAAGCTAATATATCACTTGGAAAGCTGTATTTCAACCTTTTATTTTTTCACATAATCAATAAAATAAATACATTTACATAGCTTTTTCTAAGAATTAAGAATTTTTATCCTTAAAACAAAATCCAAATGATAATTACATTTATCCAGGAATATTGTATTTCATCATCAATCTAAACATGAATTTTTATAGATTTCTTTAAGCCTTGATAAATGTATTGTTTTTAATATTTTTAATTCTTGACTATTAAAATTGATTAAAAATTAATCATTATTTATAATTTCTCATTTTCTATTAAGATGTCTGCAGATGGATTTAAGTGCAATTTGAAAGGCTATCAATAACCAAATTATTTAGAGTATGTCTAAAGTAGTATCGATACTGATTAAACCCTTGAAAATGTCTTTAATGATCATTAAGGATAATTTGAAGAGTTTAAAAATTATCTGAAAAGAGAGATTTTTAACGATCCAGATTAATTCCAATAGCATCTTAATTATATCTATAATTAATGGGACACTTAATTTAAAGTTGAATTGAAAAGGATAGAGATTTTCAGATTAATCATGTCGATGTACTTAGGATTATTAGAACGAAATTTGTCTAAAGGTGGATTTTATATTGTAGATATGAGTTCAATAAAAAAATCCAATAATTATATTTCCAAATAGAAATTGATGTGCTTTAAGAATTATATAAAAGCATTTTACTTAAATTCTGATCAAATTTAAGAAGAAAAAATAGTGTTTACTAAAAATTCTGTTAGCAAAGAAGATTTCAAACAAAAATTTGAATAATCTAACTATTAAAACATTGATTTTGAATTCACTTAACTGAAAAATGAAGATCATTTAAATTCTACTGTTGTAGACTTTGCTGATGAAAACATCGGAGGACTAGTTCTTGATACCAGAAATTGCGCATAGGAAGAAGTAACATTAAACACTAAACCAAGATTGTTATGCTTATATTTGCTGAAGCTACAGTATGTATGATTTTTATTCCGCCCATGACACAAACCGAAGCAGTTTTGATTTAGAATTTGAAAAAATATAGCAATTATACTGGATACGAACAATCATTTCAATGCTCTCCATCCTTGGATCTTAAAGGAAGCTATAATATGTTAGTATATCTTAATCAAAATTATATAGGCTATCGACGCAAAACCTTTTTATAGTGAAAACTAATTTACTGAAGAAAATATTTATAGAGAATTGATAAAGAGCTATGCTGGATTTGAGATATCACTCAAAAATTCACCAAATAGCTATATATCTACAGGAAGATGGGGCTGTGGAATATTTAGAGGCAATCCTTATTTGAAGACATTAATTTAATTTGTGAGTTTTGCAATGGCAGTAAATTAAGTGAACCTAAAAGATAAAAAGATAATAATGAACTGTGTTAATGACTAATCTTTTTTTAACTTTGGAATGAAATTAAAACAATTATTACAAGAAAAAAATACATAGCTTAATTTAATAAATCTAAAGAAGTCATTATTGTTTATGCAAAATGGAGTGAATGATACAATATTTTAACATTAAGGAAATAATATTATAAGCCAGGTTTATTCGATTTTGACTCAGAATATTCAATAAGCAGAATCAATACAATAACAAAATGATGATTTAAATTAACCTTTAGTGGGTTAAGACATTGAATCAGAAAATGATGATTTAATTTAACCTTTAGTAGGTTAAGACAGCAATTAAAAAAAATTAGTAAATGCTCAAAATATTGAAGAAAATAACAAAAGTTAAATAAAAAATGATGCTTAAATTATTGAAGAAAAAATAGAGATGTAAAATTAGAATGATGCTTAAATTAATTAAGAAAAAAAAGAAAGTGAAAATAAGAGCATCGAGTCAAATAAATATAAAATTTTGTGTGAAATAGGAGTTATTATTATTGTTTGCGGTTTTGGAATTTTTGTTTACAAAAAGGTTTTTAAATGAGATATATTTGTTATCATTTAAATATTTATTATCATTTCTATCAAATTAATGACATATTTAAATCAGTTATTTTGAATCTAATATTGTATATTAACTAAATCAATTAAATAAAATAATGAGTACTATATCTTTTCCATTTTAATATTCAACAAATCTTAACCAGAATTTATCCTTTAAATCCGGTTCAATCCATCTATGGTTTTTTAATCCATTCTATATAAACCAACCTCCACCTCTAATACTTTTAAAGTGAATTACAGTCTCTTCAAATTTTAATTATGATGCTTCATCATTTCCCATTTTCCTTACTTTATGTCATTTGTGTATTCTCCTTCATATAATATTTAGAATTTATAATGATAGAACTCATCTAATTCCACCCATTTTCCTATTTTGATTCCATATTTTTAGTTACAACCAGCTCTAAATTAATTTACATAAACTATAATATTGTGTAAAAATTATTCTTAGACTAAAGCGAAAAAGAGGGAATATCTTGCTTTTTTATTAATTGATAGTTTGGAAGTTCCATGTCCCTTATTTTATTTCTTGTTGTTAGTATCTAACATGTAAAAACTTAACAATAGCTATAAATATGATTATCATGCGAGCTAATCCATTCTCCATGCTTCATTCTTTAATTATCTAATTAGATGAAATACATTTTTTCTAATTTTTTTTCGCCTAAGTTTTTCTTGAAAAGAGTCATCTGTTTCCTTATCTGATTCCATTTTTATATTCTCCCCTTTAGATAACAAACAAGACCTAATTACCTTTGAATCATTTTTACATTTTAAAGTTCCATTTTTCAATCCAACTTCCATTCTGTAGACCTTTGAATTATATTTGCCTCCTCCTCTTTTTACTTTATTTTATTAAATGATTTACATTATGTTAATCCTTTTTAATTCTCCAGCTACCCTGCCTTAAACCATCATTATATTCTCCTACAAAAGTGATCAATTTCGCTTGTAGAGGATATTCAACTACGCTAACCTTTTCATTTTTGTAATCTTTTTGGAAAATGAATCCACCTTCCGTGTTTTTTCTTCTTAGCTATATGAACCAGTGGCATTATATTACAATTTAATAAATTGTACACAATTTTAATTCAATATTAAAGTATTCCATGTACCAATTTTTCTATCATGATTGTATGAGCCATAACTTACTGTATCATGATAATGGCTATATTTATTTAATATAAGAATACTATCTATAATGCTCATCTAAATCTAACCAATATCCATTTTCTAATTCATACTCATCAACATCCCATTAAAAATCTAAATTTAATTTTGGCAAAGATTTTTATTTCCGTAGCCAGCTAGGTAATCAAGAAGACTTACATAAAACCTGAATCAATTTTTTGCTTCAGTACAATATCCTTCAAACTAAATTGAGGAAAAGCTCTAATTTTTTTGTAGTAGATTTCTCACAAACTAGTCCAAAATAATTATGCATGATTTTTGCTAGAGTTGAGATTTTTCCAATTAAATTCTAATGTAAGCATTATTTCAAGAGAATTTATGCAACCTTGAATTAAATTTATGATTAATTTAACGGTATAAATAGATAGAAATATTAGTATTAATTACTAAAACATATAGGTATTTTTCAATTTGAAGTTTCAGTATAACATTATTATATTGTGATTAATTGCATTGGTTTTTTGTTCTATTCAATAAATTCATTGATTATTATAAATGTTATTTTTGAAATGCGTCAGTATACAAAAAATCTATGCCCAAGAGCTTTTGAACTCGATAAAGGTGATTATTTTCTTAAAATTTAATATCTCCTTCTTGAGGATATTTTGATATATATCTCTATTTAAACTCAAGAAAATAAAATTTGCAATCTGTTTATTTGATTTCTTTCAGATCTAGCTTATCTATAGTTGCTGATGTGCAACCAGACCATGTAAAAATGTTTAAAAGCAGTTCTGTATTCTGCTTTCAAATCACATCCTCTATAAAGCAAACCTCTCTAAATGTCTAAGAGAATAATACACAAACTTTGCGAAATAAGAAATGCGGTTGTCTAAAGATCCTTACAGAGAAAAGAATATTTAATAACATATTTTATCATTGATTAATACGATTTATAGGTTAATTAAATCAATTTAAACAGCATTCTTAAAGTTGATAAAGCTCACTGCTAAAGTAACTTTAACATCAAGACTGATTAATTAAATTGAATAAAAAGCTAAACAAATAGTATTTGAAATATAAAAATGAAATTTTTTATATAACACTTATCAATTAATTTATTTTTTTATAATATTTTAAATAAGATTAACTATTAGAATTTTCTTTTTGAAATAAAAATAAAATAGAAAAGAGTATTAGATTAAATATTTAATCGTGATTAATCTTTTATATAAGTTAATATTTCTAATTTATGTTTCATAATAATTCTTAATAGAATTTAGTAATAGATTTAGCTGAAGAGCATTGATTTTTACCCTTTAAATATTTAAAAAGCATGCTTAAAAACCAAAACACCAAACAAGTAATTTTAATTGGATATATCGGTCATGGTAAAACAACTCTATTTAATAAAATTTGTAAAAAAAATTAAGCAGTATAATTTGGTGGACCGTCGGTCACTAGGGAATCAGTCCTTAGTTAAAGTGCATATGGAGAAGGTTTTAATTTATTAGATACTCCTGGTCTTGGGTCAGATTAAGATAAATTGGCACATGTAATTTGCATAGCTGCAGCCTTAACAGTTGGATAAATTCATCAGATTTTAATAGTTGTTTAGTTAGAAAGGTTGGGAACAATGAAAGAGAAGTTAAGACCAATGATCTAATAGTAATTTAAGAGATTTAAAGATATCATCACAGTTGTTGTAACTAATTGGGATAAAGCAGATTAACCTGAAATAAGGAAAAAAGAAATTGTTGATTTACTTAAAGGTTTTAATATTAAATCTTTGATTCTTGTATCAAAAGAAACAGAAGGAAAAGAAATATGTTAAATAATCGAAGGAATTCTTTAGAAAAGCGATTAACAAGGAAAAAGTTGTTAACTAACTTAAGCTGAGATATAATCATATTTTGATATTATTGATTTGTAGGATGATGTGATTGATTAACTCAATGATGCAAAAGGGATAGTTAGTACGTATTTTGATAAAATAGCGAAAGCAATAAAAAGTTTCATCATAAAATTTTCGGAAACTGACCCAACTATGCCAGAGGTGATGCATCAATTAACATTAGCCATTAAAGAATATGCAGATGAAACACTCTTAAAATTTCAAAAGGATAATATCGAACTTTTTAATCATTTATATTCCAAATTAGAAGATGAGAACTTAGTCTATATAATTGATGCACAATTAAAATAAGAATTAGTAATTTAAGTAAATGGTTTGATTTCTCTTGCTTAAAAAAAGATGAAGCTATCCTAAAATTAATGTTTTAATTATATTCGACAATGCCCCCATTGTGGAGAGATATGGATGAAAGTCTTTGGATGTGAGGATAAAACATTTTGTGGAAAATTACCAGAGAATGAAGCAGAACATTTCAAATAAGAGAAGATTCCCAGAAGATTTAAATTTTCATTCAAGGAATCTGGAGTCACATATAATGAATTAGAAATTTCATTTTAAAAAATAGATAAGAGTAATTAAACAAAGAAATTTAATCCAATTGAAAGGAGAAATTACATTATGGCAAGAGTAATTAGTTAACATTCTGAATTTTACAGGCAACTTATTCAAAATCGGCTAGAAAATACAGAAGTAAGCTTTCAGTACTTCCATGAATAGTTATAATCGAGCTTAGATTTGGAAATAAAGGGTAAGATTGGTTGTGGTAAATCATTTATATGGCATGAATTAAAGCCTTTAGCTGAAGAGTAGTTAAAGGAATTGTTGGATCCTGGTGTGTTGGATTATTTGGCAAATGTAGTAGATGAGGAGAAAAAAGCTAAATAAATTGAATTAGCAACAAAAATTGAAAATCTTTTGAAACCAGCAAAGTACAATTTTTAGAATGAAATGAATTAGTATGTTGGAATATTCATCAAATAAATAAATTTTTTTTGATTAATTTTGTTTTTTCTTTTTAATAGAATTAATAACATATTCTCAGCATGAATTCATTTTTTTACTTTTTATTTTTATTATGTAGCCGCTCATTATATTTCTTGGTGAATGTAATTCTAAGAAGGATTCATTATTTTAACTATTGCCTAACGAATTTAATGAGATTGTATTTGAAAACTTGAAAATAAAAGAGAGAATTGACTCTAATGGTTCAAAACTGCTATTAATTAATTTTCCAGAAGAAAAAGAAATATCTTAAGCATTTTCTTCACTATTAACTTTATCATAATATTTTAGAATTACATAGATTGTCTTCTGTTTACATTATCATTAGACAATCATACAGAAAGTAGAAAACATATAAAAAAGGTTTAATTAAGAGTTAATATTGGAAGTAGAAAACATTTCTACGTTTATCATAAGTAATTCCCCTTCGAGTTCTCAAATTAAAAATAGCAGAATATATTAATTTTAAGAAATTGATGAAATAAATAAAAAAAATATTATTAGAATCTTTGATGACATTTGCTCTCAGAACAATTACTACTCCTAAATTTTTTTAGAGAATAAAATATTGTCGTAATAAAATGAATCATTAAGGTAAAGAGCAAATATATTGTAAAAATAATTTAAAGATGAATTTTTGTCCATTTATGGAGAAACTAATTTAGCAACTTAATTAGAGGCCAAATTATAAAAACTCTTATCCGGAGAAGTTTAACCATAAATCAAACCTAGTAATGAAATATATAATAACGATATCAAATTAAATCAAATCATACTATATAGCAATGCAATTTAATAGCTTTGTTATTTAAAACACATATAGAACTAATATCCACCAGAGTTTTTAGGAAAATGGTTCTCAAATTATTTTTATTGTAGTAATTGCAAAGTATTGTATAAAAAAGAAGGTGATAAATCAATACTTTATGATTTATCATTATTCTCATTAGGTCAAAATGAAAATGATAATAAGATAAAAAACCAAAAAGACAAATGTTTTAGATGCTAATACTAACTTACTTAAAGGATTTTAACCATTCTTCCTATTATAGAAAAAATCTACTTTCTTAAATAAATTAAAAATTATTTGAAAATAAAAGAATAGCATATAGAAGCTAATAAATTATATACTTAAGAAAGTAAATTGTAAATAAAAAAAAAAGAAGACTACATAGCTATTCTTCTTTTGAGTGATGAGGAGGAACTAAAATAATTTGTGATGAAAAAGTTGCATGATGATAAAAACTTCAAAGAAAGTAATCAATTCAAGGAAGGACATATATTGAATGATTCCTTTTATCTCATTGATACTCCAATATTCTCATTTGATGAGGACTCAGATGAATTAGAATCGATTTACTCTAATTATATCAATGCTAATCCTATTCATTTTATTATATTTTGTCTTAAGTTATAGAGATCAAGTTTAATTAAGGAGAGACTTTTGATGATGTTAAAAAAATTTCCCAATATTAATAGATAAGCATTTAGTGCATTCATAATTGATTAGAATAATGATAATTCAGAAAAACAATCGTGTGAATATGAAAGTATAAACAGCATCAAAAGATTAATTCCATAGGCAGCTCTAATCTAAAATAGTAATACAAGTATGGATGTTATAAAGAAAATCTCAGACTTTATTGTGAAAGTTGATAAATAAAAACCAATATCATTTTAACAAACAATATTTTATAAATCAGATAATGATTCAGATAAGAATAAAATTGAAGAATCTTTAAAGTTAATATCAGAAAATATTAAAGTTTAATTTAAAAAAAGTTGTGAACAAGAATTAAAAGATGAAGAAGCAAGGTAAATGGACAAACAATAATAACAAAAAAATTTACTATAAAAAAAATCTTCTATGACAATATAATTTTAAGAAAAACAAAAGGAACTAACAGATATTATCATATCTATTAAATAATAGCTTAATACGGAAGAAAGTAATTACAAAAACGCCTTAGAAGTTTTAAACAATCAGCTTTCTTAAATTGAAATGGATTTATTTTACTCCAGATTTAATATAAAAGAGAAGAAAACTTAACTAGATTAAATGGAATCTGAGAAAATTAAAAAGAATTATTAATATCATAATCTAACTATAAATTAGAATAGGAGAACAGAAAATAGAGGATTTTATTGAATTAACATGGTAGTTTCATTATTATTTTATAAAACATTTAATATATGCTTCTTTTATGTTAATTTTTTTTCTCATCCCAAAGCTTCTGCATAATATTATGAGCAGTAAACTAAATTCAAATAATTCAAAAAAAGGACATTTCATAAAAATAATTTATTAATTTCTAATATATGTTTTATATATCATATTCTAATTTATATACCTATACGATAATCAACTTTTATCATTTTAGTATTTTCATGAAAATCTATATATGAAGAAGGAAATCTTTTAATAATATAAATTAAATAGCAGTTTTAAACAGAAATTTCTTTCTTTTTAAGCCAATTGTCTATAAATAATCTTCAGGTTTACAAAATTGAAATTGATCTTGGCTTATAATGTTTCGGATTTTTAGTTTTAATAGTAATAAATTATCAATAAAGTTCAAATTAACATATTATAATAGTACGAAAGATTTGTTATTTCAAAAGCAAATTATATAGCATTAAATAAAAAAGATAATATCAAGAAAATTTAGTGATTCAATAGATAGATTAGGTAAAGCTAGATTGTAAATAATGCAATAAAAGTCTGAAATTCTTAGAAAGCTGAGTGCTATTGATGGAAATTGAAATCTAATGATGGTTAAAATTTTTGATTTTTTGCTAACCCATAAATTTAATGAAATGCTGAAACTGTTATCAGTTTAGAAGGATAAGAATCAATTAAGAACATTTCTTAAGAAGCGAAGTGTACGATAAATAGTTTTGCAATGGTCAGATTTTCTGACTCTAAGTAAGCGAGACTAACTAGACATCATTGGTTGAAAGTTAGATTAATTTATTTCCACTATTATTAATTAGATTATGTTGGTGTGCTAAAGTTTTGTATATATGAAATATTATCTAATTTTGCTAAAAATAAGTGTAAAGTTAGAATCACAGAATTAAATACAATAATATTGATTATAATAGATTAAATGTTGAAAATATGCGATTCTAATTTGTAAAAGGATAAATTAGGATTTTTAATAAATTTCCTAGTTTATAAAGTATTTTCCACTTTTTAATAATATTAAAAATAACCTAGTGAGTTAATGGGCGACATATAATTCTTTTCAAAAATCACTTCAATCAAAATATATTTCCAAGTAGTATAAAGACAACATTAAAATGGTTTAACTTTTGAAATGATTCTATTTTGCACTAGGGGAGCTAGTACACAATGGTTTTAGTATAATTTGATGAAATATTCGGTGGATATATACTGTATATTGGATCATCTATCCTTTTTGCAAAATGCCTATTTTTTATTAGTTTAATCCTTCTTTTGAATCTTCAATTCTGATTGATTCGCACAAATCAATTTTGTTGGCGAGCATATACCATCTATTTCCTAAATTTTATTTTCCCAATAATAACTTTAGAGGTATCCTCCTAAACTTTTTGGCTAGAATTATGAATTTCATGGAAATCATTTAATCAAATTTTCTGAACAAAAAATTGAAGTATTTTCACCCTATATTTATTCCATTCAATTAGTCTTCGTCGACAGGCTTTTGATTTTCGCAACTTTATTTCTAGGGTACCTTGGCTCATAAGACTTAATCCTTTTTGATCATCAGTAAGGCAGATACTAAGAAAATCTCAATTGTTTTTATCTATTAAGACTGTCTACTAATAAAGTTTCTTAATCCAAAATTATCTATTAATACCTTACAGCCTCTCCTATTCCCTACTTTTTTCTAAAGTTGATCAAATATCAATCCAACCTCCTTTATCTTAACTATCCATTTGCAATATATGAAACTAATATTCTTTTCACTTAAATGAGAGTCAATATTATGGACTATACAAGTTTACCTATTCTATCCAGACATTGCTCGCTTCTTTGTAGGTAGGCCATATTCAAAAAGGGATTTCGTAAGTTAATCTACATTTCACAAATTATCAAGTTACCCTGAATATATATATTTGAGGAACAGCCTACTAAAGGTTATAGACTTTCACTCATTATTTAAGACTTCATTCTAAACAATATATAGGACTCTTTTTATATGAATAGTGGAAAATTAAGCTATCCTTAGTTGCTCCATCTAATATCTGTACCAATACTACTGAGCATCTCAATTACTAATCGAGTCATTCTTCTCTTTGATATGGTTTCAATTTAATCCTTTAAATCCAGCCATTACAAGATTTTCTATAATCAGTTAGTTATATCGTGCAAGAGGAACTTTTGTAAAATGATAGATTGAATGGTTGTATGACCTAATTGGTAACAGAATTATCTTAGATGCAGAATACATGAAACAGAAGCACCGGACTTTTGAAACTGTCCTAAAATATGCACAAATACATGAACCTGTAGCTACTTTAGATACAGAAGAGTTTTACATGCAATGGGGCTTTGCGTTAAATTAATTTAGAAGGTGCCTAAGAATTGCATAAAAGAAGTATATATAAGGCAAGAGTAAATATATACTCATCAATTTCACATGTGACTCAAGGAGAAAAAGGAGCCATTCATTTAGAATCATCATACATTATTTGAAGTGCCTATTCATGTCTTACTGGCACTTAATAATAAAATAACCGAATGTATTAGTGGTACAAGTACTGCAAAATTAGAATACATAAGTGAAGCACTTTATGTTTGTAGTATCTATTAAAATATTGTACTTAGCAATAGGAGCACACAGTTAGTACGAGAAATATTGATATATATGACTATATATAACACAAGAAAAATATCCATTATGACCATTAGAATGATAAAGGATGGACAAGATAAACAAGACTAAGTGGCACAAGTTCAGTGTTAGTGGATATGTTGATGATGATGATCATTATATAATAACATTTGAAAACTTCCTTAAACTAGCAAATTATTCCAGTAATTAATTTAAACTTCGAATCAAACAAGTTTATTCATCAAATGAATGTGAAGGCTATTATAAAGATGTAAATAATTTGTAAATCTCTTTTGGTCATTGCGTCATTTGTACTGCTTAGGGAAATAGCAGTTGTCTGATATGTCACCTATAGTTAGACGTTGGAGAAGCTATAATAATAATTATGGATACTCTAAGACTAAAGTTTTTTTCAATTTGAGATAAATTAACTGAGTCAGATAGAAAGGCTGATTACCATTAACTTAAAAACTATATTAAAAGTAGATACATATTAGTTCTATGTTTACTCTGATACATAACTATTCAAACCAAACTAAGCAACTATCTCTAATGAACCATATGACTCTGATGCCACAACTAGTTGTAAGCAGTTTGCTAAACTCTGTAAAATTTGTAATATCATCAGCGGAGTTTATGAATCTTCTTTATTAAATTTAGTAATCAATTTAAGCATTTCAGCTCTTAGTCAGCTGTTCTGGAGAGAGACGTGCCACTTTCGAACTTAATTTATTACTTAATAACTCTTGTTAGAAATATCAATTGACCTGTACCATTTGCTTCATGCTTCTGCTAAAAGTTATGATTATAGTACAATATTTACTTATGTCATCGATTGCACAAGATTTTATTAAGATATAGCATAACTCGAAACTTAATTGCAAAACTGACTCTACTCTTCTAAATATCTATTAAATTGAATATGCAAATAGTAAAAAATTTCGCTACAATAATTATTTTAAAAAACTTCAAAAAACAAATGTCCAAAAAAAATACAGTTCCGGTTCAAAGTAAAGGAGTCCCTATTAGGGCAATTAGAAATCAACATCCATCTAATAAGCCAACTACGAAGATTCCCTGACCACAGACTGCTTAATTAGGATGTTCATGGAGAAGGTGTAATATGGAGGACCCAATT